CAGGAGAAGGTGAAAACATTGTTAACAATTAATGTTAATGTAAGTGAGATTTTATTTTATGCAATTTTGGAGCATTTCTATTGGTTTCGTCAGGAAACTTTTACATAATATAAAGGACAGCTGCTGTGCTCAAAAATGGAGACACATGGAGACATAGTAATGATATGTATTGTTAATAATGGTAAAATAGTGGTAAAACTGAATAAATAAGTTTTCATTGGGTTATATTTTGGTTTTCAATTAATGTATTTTAAAAATATATTTTAGGCCAAAACGATATTCAGAAAGTATTGTAAAACTGTGTCACAGACATCAGGCAGTGTATATAATAACTTTCTGTAAGGGAGCTTTTAGAGGCACTATCCTCTTCAGATAGTTCACACTACCACTGTGAACAATTCCAACTAAGTTTGTTTCTTTAGAACAGAGCATTTCCTATTAAACTGAATGACTTTGTTTACATCTTCGAAAAATGGAAACAAGAAGTGGACAATTTGGTGGAATAAATCACACTGTACTGTTTCTTAATCCTAATGACCTAAATTAGAATTTAAATAAATGTATAAAATTCGGTGCTCATCTCCTTTTAACTTGGGATGGCTGACGTTTTAAGTGAACTAAAAGTTTACAGGTATGGTTTACAGTGTATAGACTGCCATCTGCTGGCCTTTAACAGTACAGTTTAAGATGTGCCAGGTCGATTTATAGTTTATTACAATTATTTGTTATAGTTTATTACATCCTAAAGATTATTATTCAGTCACTAGAAGAATCACACAGCAAACTTTTACTTTTATTCTTATTTTTTTTAAAGTTATTTTAAAGTTACAGAAGTGTGTAATAAAATTCCATTATGCATTTACCAGATCAACCATGATGTTTATCAAGTACATTTGTAAAAAAAATTAACAGATCAAAATCAAATCCAAATTCACCACAAATGGATGAATTAATTTGTACATTGTGAGGTTTAGTGCCTTGCCACTTACTGTAACACTTACATAACACATCACATGACAAACTTTTCATGTCCAGATTATTAAATCACAAATTCAGATTTCTTTCTTTCATTATTTATTTAATAAACAGAGCTCTTGCTCAGCTTTAAAAGTCATGAGCTGCCTTGTGTTTCTAAAATCTATGAGACATGCATTCAGCACAAAAGTCTGAAAATACTGCAGGACCCTGAGCACCGTGCTAACACCTTTTTAACATTTCTTCTTTCAGGAACCAAGCATAGATCAATTACAGGAGTGGTTTTTAACCTGTGGGCAGTAGCCCCCCCCCAGTGGGCTGTGGTAGTATTGCTAGGGGGGCACTGGCCATCCATTTTTGTTTAAGTGCAAACATTTGTTAGAATATAGGCATGTAAGAAAATGTAATTTAAAAAAAATGTTGTTGTCAAAATAAAACAATATATTATCATTGAGCTCATTGATTGTGATTGTTCTGGCAAAATGCTAGCTAGTTATATTTCCTTTTTTCAGTGCAAGTGAATGTAAAACATTTCACCTTCTATTCATACGGAACTCATTTATTATGGATAAATGATTAAAAGAGTCTTTCAAATAGAAAAAAATCTTCAAGTGAAGGCCAACATATCTCAGACTGAGAAAAGTGGAGAAATCACACATAAACCAAAATGAAGAAAATGCAGCAGTGAATAGCATGTGCTGGGCTTCACGTGCATGAGAGCCGAAAAAGCTCTAAACCCAACAGTTTAAACCACCACTTGGAGACTAAACATAGTGAATATCACCTAAATCTATCAATCTGAGCCTGTTTACAGCTTTCCTCTTTTCAGTCTGACATCCAACACTTGGTAGCTGGCAAACAATTCAGCAAGATCTTATTAGGTGAGTCAGAAAAAAATGATAAGATCAGTAAAATCTATTTGGTGGCCACGGAAGCTTTTGTGGTCATTTGTGTGGGCTGCGAGTAAAAAAAGGTTGGGAACCACAGAATTTGAGCAAGAACCTCTTGGTGTCTGAATAGAACATAGTATTCGGATACTTAATAGCTCTCCATTCTTACAGAAATATTAATAATCTTAATACTCTTGGTCTATATGTTTTAAATGTATCTGCTTTTTATTTTGTTAATCTTTACGTTTACATTATGTATAATACAAGTATGTTTTCTATGCCGTAACTGTTGTGCTGTTTTTATTGTTATGAGCACACTGAGACAAATTCCTAACCACTGTGTCAGTATGGCGATGAATAATGCAAACACGTGAGAAAGCAATTGGATGGATGTTCTCAGGACTTTAAAGAGATATTTTGTGTTATATCAAATTTTAACCAGCACCCACAATGGTTCATCAGGGTTTCTTCGTGGTGCCAGAGTGCCTGATATATGCCGCAAATATAACAGAAATGTGCTTGTTGTGTAGTTTCAATCTGAGTGAGTACTTTTGACTTCCTAAAACAAGAAGACTTAAGGTCATGGTTGCATTTAAGTAAGGGCACATGCTTGGACCTTCCAGTTGATTTCTCTCAGTGAGGGGAGCTCCTACAACACTACTTGGTGTATGGTTGGGGGGTATTAAGATGGAAAAAAAGAGAGAAACAGCATGTGATGTACCGCCACCCAAAATATTGTCAGTCCCAGAAATGCATTTCATTAAAATATTCAGGGTGTGGATACATACATTAAGAGCTTTAGATGTTGACTGTGTGCTTTGGTTGATTAGTGATTGTTTGCGCTTGTTGTGTGTGTATGATAAATGGAGCATTATATGCTAAACCAACAGATGCTAATAGGATTTACACTTGCAAGAAAGCTCTCTACAACTGGTGAAATCAAACAGGCAGGTGGTCATGTGAGTAGGGAAGGGAATGCTACCCTTTTTATATTTTAAGACATATAATTAAGTATTGTATTGTGTATATTAAGATACAGTTGCGAACCATGACTAGAGCTAGGCCTTCAGTTCTGGTCACAGATGCCAAAAAAAGAGCAGATTAAACACAGACATTAAAAGCTTCTAAAAGACATTCAGTGTTTTACTTGAAGCTTGACAGATATATTGCCATGTATTTTACCTTTAGTAGTTTCACAGTGCCTCTTTCGGTAGAGAGTATAGAGCTGTCGCTGCTTTTTTCCATTTCTAACAACCCACTGATTGGGCTGCCACATGTCTGGGACCTCCAGAAGGCCTAGAGTGATGTTTTTTTTTCTCATGAAATTGGTTCCACCCACTGGAAATTAAAACATGATTGTTTCACTTCGTAATCATGCACATTATTATCCTAACACCTTAATGCCTTCTCATCAGAGCTTGAGGTCCTAATCAAGAGGAGACCTCGCTTATCTACCTAAAGACCACAGAGAAAAACAGTGTCTGATTGGTCAATTTTCCACTCAGTGTTTCCTGAAACTGTTACGTTGAACATCTGTCAGAAATCAGAATGTTGGAGCTTCTTGTTTATTGGGTGATGCAACTTTTGTAACTATTACAGATAAGGCAGACATGCAGAGTGTATGTCATACTATACACATATATTGAGCCTCAGTTCAGCTCAGTTTTACTTGTAAAGCATTGTGGCTTTGTACAACAGACATAAAGTCACAAAGCATCTTTACAGAAATTGAAACTTCTAGTGTGCAAGCTGAGGGCAAACATAGCTGGAAAAACTTCCCAAGAGCGTGAGGAAGAAACACTGAGAGGAACCAAGATTTAGAATTTGAACCCAACATCGCCTGGATGACAACAAATACAGTAATGTATACAGTAATACAGTAATGACACAAATAGTACATAGTAAATATTAAAAAGTAATTTCATAGATTTTTCAAATTATTTCTGCATAATCCAATTCTTGAGATGTACACAATGTCAATGTCAGAGTGTTTTAATGTGAAATAGTGCATTGTATAGAGACTTTCCAAGCTGGATTTCTTTATAATTATGGATATAGGAACCAGGGCTTGTGATAGACTATAAAAGTGTTACCATTTAATTTACTTTTCAAAATGACCAGTTTTTATATGTAACATTGATAATGGTAAAATAATGGTAAATAATCATCCTGCATCATCTTCTCTCAATGAATGCATATTAAAAAAAATAATTAGGCCAAAGACTTATCTAAAGAACACTGGGCCCCCTTCACAGTAAATGACTATAACAACTAAATAATCTCCAGAGTTTGGTAATGTTTGAAGATTCATGTTGCTGATCTATTACATTAACACAGCTATTGCTTATTGTAATTAAATTGAAAAACAAAGTTGTATAAATTAAATGACAAATATTATTTTTACAATTTTGTTAGATTTATAAATCTAAATATTTCAAAACAATGAGCCATATTCACCAGTCTTACTAAGTTTTTTCTTAAATTTGTTTTTGAGTAAAGGCCCCAAGAAAAGCCTATGTCAGATTCATAGTGTGTTCTTAAGCTGCAGAATTGTTCATAACTTACGTGCTCCTGAGTGTGTGTAGATTCTGTTCTTACCTATAAAACAGATCCCAAACAGGAAAACATTGGTGAAGGTCAGAATCTTAGTAGAAACTGCATAAATGGGTTTTAAGAATGAGGCCCAATGTTGTATTCAGTGTATACATTTTCTGCAATAACTTTCTGAGATGTGGCTTTAGAGGCATTAAACACTTCAATTGTCTGGTTCCCATCAGCACTGAGCAATTCTGACTCAGCAATTGTTTTTCTAGAATTTCTCTTTTCACGTCAGATGTTGGTGAGAAGGATCTTCATATTATACAATATAAGTTGTTTCAAATCAGGGAAACTGAAAAAGGAGTTATTCAGTTTCTATAGTTCTGTGATAAACACAGCGGGAGCACTTTACATCAATACAGTTTGTTTCGGAAATGAACAGCAAGATACGTTTTTTTTATTCAACTGCAGCTACTATTGGTGGATTTTAAACTTTGATCTACTATTGGCTGATTCCTCATGTTTGTCCCGCACCGCGGCAAATTATCCACCAATGATCGCTGTCAGACACACCGTTACGTCATTGCGATATGTCGCTGATGCAGACGCAGGCGACAGTAGCGCTTACAGCTGGGGGTTTACACTCAGGTGTCATGATAAATAATTTTAGCTAACTCTGTGTTTTGTTGCCTTCAGACAGCGGATTTACGGCTCGTACAGTATTAAAACTGTGTTGTTTTTTAGTAGTCGAGAAATTATGGCCTCCGTTAAAAAGGATGACAGACTGACAAATTCTCAAAGTTTGCTGTGCGTTGGTTTTGCCGGTGTTTTTAGCAAAACCGTCACATCGCCGCTCGAGGTGGTGAAGATTTTAAGTCAGGTGGGGACGTTTCACTGCAAACGCGGCTTCATGCATACGTTTCTTCTTCTGTATCAGAATGAGGGTCTGCGAGCGTTTTGGAAAGGAAATTCGGTTTCCTGCCTTCGTTTGTTCCCATACAGCGCCATACATTTGGCAACTTACAAAAAGTGAGTACCACTCCCTGTCACGCTTTGAACCACTGGTTTATGTCTGTGTGTATTTATAATATTCTTGGTGTCTCCCAGTTGAAGTGTAAAACAACTTCAACGTCTCTGAATTTGAACTCGCTGTGCAGGAAGTCAGCTGGCTAGCCAGCAACACAATCAGCTGCTCATAGCGGTTTTCTTTAACACACAGCTTTTGAATAGAATATAAAGGGCTTTTAAAATGTACCTATGTTCATATCTTTACTAAGTGTCTTGCGCTGTTTTTAGGTCGGCTGTGGCGGTAAATTTCTTTCCTTAAGGACTGCGGCTAGCCAGCGTTAGCTACACTCAAAGTTTACTTCAGTTCATGGTGATGTCATCGTGAAATCACGCCTTTTTCGCTCAGCCAATCGGAGCGCTCCAAAGGCCTCTGCACATGGTGGCGTCATTCGTTAGTAAAGAGGGCGTTTTTAATAGAGATCGAGTTTAAATACCGTTTCACATTTTTTGGATGAATAAACTGGCTTGTCATCCCTTTCAGTCCTGCGTGTCAGGATTTCCCCTGATAAACTGAACTCTTCAGGTCCCCAGAAGAACAGACTGCACACAGTCTTGTCACGTGTAGTCGCATAAGTAAACACGGTCCTCCACTCCAGTTTAGGAAAGTCCTATATACAGTATTCTAGGAAACAGAGGAGTCAGCTTATCATGAGCAGTCTTGCGCAAGAGCGGTGCTGCTGATAAAATACGGCTGAGATACGGCAGAACAATGTGTTTTTAATCTTTTGCTTTGTGATAAGAGGTTCTCTCTAGGGCCACTTTTGGCAAGATCTGTCATTCTAATCTTCTAACTTAAAATAAATAAATAAATTCAGCTCATTCTTTAGTTTTTTATGTTATCTGTGTAGAACCATTTAATGCTAAAATAGTTTTTTTGCATGTTGAAATATTCTTTAGATTGATGAGAGATTGTTGTATATAGTTCTATATAGGACCTTTTTGAAAATGGTTCTCTATGGCACCAAAAAGGGTTCTGCTATTGTTATGATGTATTATAACAATAGAAGAACCCTTTTTGGTGCTATGTAATTATGATGTCAAGCTTATAACAATAGAAGAACACTGTTTGTTATTTTTGTCTTGCAGGATTGTCCACTTCCATATGGATGATCTTGGTCGTATCTCACAGTGGAGGGCCATAGTGGCTGGAGGTCTGGCAGGTATATCTGCTGCTCTGATTACATATCCGTTAGAGGTGGTTGAAACCAGACTGATTGCCCAGAACTGCAGAGAATCCACAAATAGGGGGCTGCTGCACACTCTTTCCATGGTCCACCGAAATGAGGGGTTCCTGGCTCTCTACCGGGGTTTTTCCCTCACTATTTTAGGTATGCTTTGTTTGCCTCTCTTGAGTCACTTCTACAGTATGTATAGAATGTAAATATAATACAGTAAAACTGAAGAAAGGCAAGAGACCATGATGCATATTATAAGAGGAAGTTTGCTTACTATACCTTTTTTTTAGCTAATGTAATATTCATGTTCATCACTTCTCTTAGATATGTTGCCTGGTTTTGGACTTTGACCTGTCTTAAAGGAGTAATTAGTAGCATTTTAAAGTGTCCTTGTCAGTCACATGTTCCTCGCTATTGGTCATGTGAATTTGATGGGCGAGTTGCTGCAGTTGTCCTTCACGTCACCTTAATTTACTGAAATGTAATGTTCACTCACCAAAGTGAAAGTTAAGTTGCAATAAGTAGCCTAGAAAGCTCTAGGCTGCTAATTTCTCCTGTATTCTTCTTCATGTATGATTTAAAATAAATGTGGCTTGTGTTTTCTCAGTATAGTTTATTAACAAGAACTTGTGTGCTTTTCCCTCTTAAAACATATTACCATATTCATTTATAATAGGAATGCACTGATCGTGATTTTTTTTATGGCCAATTTAAATTTCTTCACAGCCAGTTTTACTAAGACCTTTACTAGTGCTTTCTCAATGAACGTTCTACCACACTTTCAGTACTTTTCATTAGCTGAAGTCACAATGCAAATAACATTATTTGCTCTTTAATGGGTCAAACTCACTTTTAAATTCTTAAATAAAAAAAAAAAACAGGTGCCTATTTAAACTTGAATCAAAAAAGTAAAATACAACTGTCATGCATAAGGTCACTGTATAGGTCATTGTATAGGTCATAAAACTGCTACACAGATGTGCCAAAACAGAAATGATAAATCTGCAGATTCTGATCTTGCGCAATTCTGATTATGCATCCTTAATTTATACACAGGCAAAAACAAAACATTAGTGTCCCCAGATAAACATGGTCTGTCTTCAGCTTTAACACTACAGTATATTTGCGAAAAAGCTGTTTTTTCTTTTGATTATGTATCCTCTTCTCTCTGTGGAACAGGTGCGGTGCCCTTCTCAGTTGGCTGCTATGTAGTCTACATTAACTTGGATAAACTGTGGCAGGAGCACCACTTCCGTTTCAGCTCTTTGCAGAACTTCATCAATGGCTGTCTTGCTTCAGGAGTGGCTCAAACTCTCTCTTTCCCTTTCGAGACCATTAAACGGAAGATGCAGGTGAGAGAATGCATGAATAATTCAGGTTGCATACTTTTAAAAACTCTTGCACAAATTCACCAAAACAGTGTTCATTTCACACAGATAATGTTTCAGCAGACTGAATGGAAACAAAGTGCTAGAACGTTTTTTTTTCGCCTTCTTTTCTTGCATCATTTCATTAAACGACGAGTTCAAGCACTCTTTCTATATAAACAATTTGCCTGAGTACATTTGCTGTAAAGATAACATATATTACATGATTGCATTTATTTTTAAGAAGCAAGAAAGTGTACCTTTAGATTAGGCCACATTTTAGATAATAATAAAAATTACAGATTAAATTTACATGGCATCTTTCTCAAACCCAAGGTCACTTCACAACAGCAATGTGTTGCAAAAGTAGCACTACACGGTATATTAAAGTAGAACTGCACATACTAACTGTAGGCCAGACATGAAGTACATGGAATACATATATGATACATACAAAAACAGAAAGTTGTTAAATAATAACACCACCATAAACCCTAAATAATGGCATATAGTAGTTGCTGTTTTCTTGACTTGCTTGTAGTTCTGGGATAAAATTGAAACTTGAAACTTGAAACTTGAAAAACCTTGAAACTGATAATCATGAGCTAAAATAGCTGTTGAGGAAGGGTGAAATGATGGAACAGGAAAGAGAGAAGTGGAGAGCGGAAAAGGAAGACAAGTAGAAGTCAAGTGGTCAGTGCAGCACAGCCCAAAAGATGTGGAAGAGATTGTCATGTACAAGAGCTTGCTGAAACAGAAACCAAAGAGTTGGAATGTGAAAGAGAGATCATGAGCAAGCTGTTAGAGAGAGTGACAATGACAAAAGACATGGTTCTATCAGCAGTTCCTCTCATGGAGTCTTTTCCTGTTTGTTCAGACACTAGAGGGCGTTTGCTAGAGAGTCCAAAATGAATGTGGACCTATGGAGCTTTTATACAAAATCACAAATTATAAATTAAGCTTTTGTGAAAAATAGCACTTTATAAATTCACTTGTTTACTCACCACAGAATAACATAAAATATTTCAACATTGCTGTTATTTTTTTTGTATTATTTTAATCTCCAGTCATAGAACTAGCAGTGCCTTATGTTCATGACATCAGTAAGTCTGAACTGCTTTACTTCAGAAGCAGGGTTAGTATAGTTAAATATTATTAAAACAAAAACTAGCATTGAAAAAATGTGTGTGTTAACCATAATAAAAAATATTTGGAAAAACACAAAAAATAAGTCAAAATTATAATGTCCACCACAAAACAAACACAAAATAGAATTACTGAGGGAAAAAAACTTTAGTTTTGTTTTTTTCAGTGTGTGAATGAGAGTTTAGTAGGTGAATGCCTTCTGTGTTTGGCTGTCTTTACTGAGCTGAGCTCAGTGTAGTGCTGTATTAATTTTATTCTACTGATAACAAATACCTTCTATTACAGCATCCATTATAAGTAAAAACTAAAATGAAAAAACAAAATAAAAATTAAAACTAATGAAAATTTCAAATTTATAATAACACTGCTCTGAAGTCGTGTTGTCGTTCTGTAGTCACCCCTCTACTTTCTTTCTTGAAAACTTGTGTAATACTGTTGTTCACTACTAGGTGGTGCAACTATAACAGACCTTATCTGGCTTTGTTGTTTCCTGTGTGTCGTGCTGTACTATTATCTGAAATAAAAACTATATACTTTTACAGCAAAGGTTAGAAAGCAATACAGGGCACAGTCTGTTACTAGAGAGCACAATTGGCTGCAGCAGCTGGGAATGTAGACAATGTCTTCAAGCTAAAGATAAGTTCTTTGAAAGATAAATGACCGATCACTATTGATCTGTTATAGATCTTCTTAATTTGTTGTGCAAAAAAAGTTTCTGTATAAGGATGTTAAAGTTTTGTGTTCTCAGTACCGTCTTGCAAGTTAAACCATATTGTCAGGCAGGACAATGGCCTAGTTGCCAACACCCTACTGTGGAGAAAAGCTTGCTGTTTGGTGCTACACACAAGTGTCTATAGAAACAATGATCAACACAACCCCCATCAATCCAACCATAGTGCTTAAAGAAGCTGTGGGCTTCCCTGGAGCTCTTGTTTCTGAGCAGGATTATGTTACTTTAATCATTTCACATTCTTAATTGAAAGGTCTTACAAACAGGAGTGTGTCTAGTAAGACTTGTAAGTCTAGAAAACAGGTTTATCCTTCTCATTGGATTGAGCCTGGCTTTTACAACGGCCACCACGTATCCCTAATCAATGTGCCAGTGGTAAATTCTTCATGATGACGTTGTCCAACTATGTAATTTGATGCCGCCTTAACTCCTTGACCCTGTGGCTCATTGACTGTGCTGACTACGTTGGATCCACCTTCTTCCAAAGTACACACACAGGACACTCACTGAGCTACTTTTTTTGGGTGTCCTTTTGTCCTTTTTCTGTGTTTTATGGCTTCTGTTAATGTGCATTTGTTTTTAACGTAATGCTTACTGTGTCTTTACTCATAACGATTTATTGAATGTTTAAGGCTCAGAGTCCTTTCCTGCCACATTGTGGAGGAGTTGATGTCCACTTTACTGGGATGATAAACTGCTTCAGAGAGGTCATCAGAACCAAGGGCATGTTGTCCCTTTGGAGTGGCTTTACAGCCAACACAGTCAAGGTGAGATGTTTAAAATTGTGACTATGGATACACTGGTAGTCTCACTACTTTTCTCCCCTGTGTGCCTGTATGATGGGAATTTGGATATTGTTTTTAAACTAAAGATAAACATTTGAGAGATATGAATAGGAGCTGTTTTTTTCTTCTCTTCATGTTAATTTAAGGAGTTGAAGCTATAGTTGATTTCTCTGGGCCAGTCCAGACAAACCTTTGATTTCTGATTTCTATTTCTATTTTTTTTTTTTATTTCTATTTCCAACCCACAGTCCTCAAATGACAAAACACCCTGTAGGTCATTCCATTGTCCTTGAAATATTCATAGTTTAAAAAAAGAACTTTACTGTTTGTGCTCACTTTGGTTGATATTTGAGTTATTCTATGTAAATCAAAGAAACGTAAAAATAATTAAGAATTATAAATATTAAACTCATCTTTGTCCTCTACAGTCCAGTACTGTTGTATCTGTCACTGAAAGAGCAGGTATTAAATGTTGTGGACAAGCAGCCATCGTGAACTCTGGCATGATTTCAGCAACCAGCTTGATTAATCTAATTGGTCCATAATTTCCCAAAGGCAGGGAGCATCTTTGGATCTTGTCCAATTAATGATTGTGTGGATTGTGTGTACATGCAGTCTGAAGAGAATAAAATCAATGTTTTTGAAGATCTTCTCAGAGAGGCAAAGTACAAAGTCCTGAGCTAAACTGTATGTGATAGGAACTTGGGATGAAAATATAAAGGAACAGACAGTTATTTCAGAAGAGTCGTTGTAATAACTTATGGATATAGAGATTTTTGATTGATTGTAGTGCAGCAAAGTTACATTTTCCTTTATTAATGTAAGTATAGATCTAAGTATAACTGTTAATAATAAAAGCAGTGTCAGGTAATTGGAAAAGGAATTGTTTAATACAGGAATTCTGAGAATGAGGACCAGTCAGGTTCCTTCAGAGATGCATTCTCTTTGCTTTCAGGTGCTGCTTACTATCACATCATTAGTATCAAGTCATTTTGAGGAAAACCTATTTTTGTTATTGATTCCTTGAAACATACACATTGATGCATATCGTCACTGTTTAAAAAAAAAAGTATCTCCAAAATAGTAACTTTACAGGAGAAGGCAAAAGCAGTCTTTACTTTTAATATTAATATTTATAGGCCTACGCATGTTTACTTTTATGGCAGATGTTAATTTGTCTGTGAATTTGTGAAATTGATCATTGGAAACAGCATTTTTATTCATGCATAATAATTTATTATTTCTTTGTTCTGAACTATTATCTCATGTGTTGTTCACAGATTGTCCCATACTACGGCCTGCTCTTCAGTTGCTTTGAGATGTGTAAACAAGTCTGTCTTTACCAAAATGGTTATATTGTGTCTCCGCTGAGCTACAAACTCAAACCAGGAGTGGACCAAAGCCTTGGCCCACATGAACTACAGGAGTTTAAGCACTACCTGAGAAACAGGAAATTACAGGCACAAAGTTCATCAATGGGAAATCGCTGGTAAACATGTTTCTCTCTGTCCTTGTGATGTGCAAAGAGACAGAAAATGGACGAAACAGGAAAATAAAACTCAGTGGGGGGTTATCAGATCATTTTTTTCTGATGTGGACAAACTTCCACACCACTCTTCAGGACACTTTTGAGTGTTCTCAGCTAATATATTTTTGGCACCCTGGTGTTTTTTTTTTTTTTAAAGAACACTTAAATTCCCTGTGGATCTGGTTGTTTTTGGATTTTTTTTTTTTGAGTTACAAAACTTCAGATGTATGGTTTGAATTGGGTGCCTTTTGGTTTGAATTGGGTGAACACTCCACAAATTGTGCACAACAGTGCACTGAGAAGCATTCAGTATGGTTGACGTTGGGTAGATACTGTCAGTATTCAGTAGACAATATGGACTTTCTCCTGTGGCCTCAGAATTGATTATTGGTTTTACTACATGATGCTGTTAATTACTCTGCATCATCTGTAACACTACTTGCTGCTAAATGTGTAGTTGTCTAAAGGGTACTACTGCACCTGCTTTTGTATTCAGTACAATCTGTGCCATTTTAGAGATCTTGGTCCAGCATACTTGAAGCACAACCTTTGTTTTCTGCAGTACCTCAGAATATATACGACAGTGATAAATGAAAACTATCACACATCTTTCAGAACGTAGTAAACTTCTGTATTTTTATTAAAAGAGGGATGCTTTCCTTTTATTAGGAAAACATGTAAAAGGCCTGTCCGGATGAGATATTTCAGTGCCTTTGTTTGACAAATCATGACGATGGATTTTAGATTTTACATGTATTCTATTATTTATGTTTTTCCCCTGTGTTCTGTACAATATGTACAAATAATACTGTTTTATATATTACAATTGATTGTTATTACAATTAATAGTTTAAGTTGCGTTGGTAGCAATCATGATGAAGTTGAGTGTTAGCAATATAAATATTAAACTCATCTTTGTCCTCTACAGTCCAGTACTGTTGTATCTGTCATTGAAAGAGCAGGTATTAAAGGGGAACCAATTTTACAAAACTTCAACACCGTCAGTTGTTGAGATGTAAACAACAGTGGTTTGAAGTGAAATGGGCATCGTAAAGAGATTTACTGACTCAGATTTCTTTTCAATGGTGGTGATAGGAACCAAGGGTTGCAATGCCTACGACACAAATATAGCCATTTTATTTGCTAAACAAAATGACCAGTGACCACTCTGCTGAAAAAGGACCATTAGAAACCAGAAGGATTAAAACTTAATGGTTTTGCTTTCAAATGGGAATTGGCTGAATGGTTTAATGTAGAACCTTTAGATCCCATTAAGAAACCATTAAGTGCATTTAGAATCAGCCATCGGTCACCTGTTAAACCATTAGGATCCTTACGTTGTGATATCAAAACATTACAAAACCATCAGGAACCGACAGAAACACTTAACAGTTTCTATGGGTTTTTTTAACATGGCAGTGTGTGTTAATAATGAAAATACATAAAAAATAAACATGCTAATCCATTTGGAATAAGCTCTGGGTCTTCTATGTAAAGTTGCTGACTTCTCTTCTAGAGTTAAGTGGTAGCTAGGCTTTTAAAACATAAGAACTGAACTGATTTTTAAGAATTTTAAGCCTCCTGAAGTGCTAGAGTTTCTTGTTTGTGACTCAGTGACTGAATGCAATTATGTCTAAAACGAGTTGTGTGACTTCTGCTTAGCAAAGGTAAAAGTACTCAGATTCATCCAGAGGCTTCTTCTGATACCAGCTCTCGTTTGCAGAGAGAATGATCTAAAGTCCTTTGGTCACATTTGCATCGAGTCAGTATGGACACACGTGCGATTCGGATAAGATTTCAGAGTTTGTGACTCTAGGTGGACAGTTTCTTGTGATAAGGTCTAGCTGTTTATCGCTAACACTGCGTTGTACAGTCTCCTTTTGGCACACAGTAGAAGTCGTGTCAAGGACTTTTTATTTGGGCAGAATGGGTTGTGTGTGACCTGACGGACAAAATGAGGACACTTCTTATAATAGAGCACTTAAACTGGACATTTTACTGAATATAAATATTCAGTATATATCAGTAATTAACTTTTGAAGCGTGAAGACATTTCTCTTTCTCCCGAGAATTAAAGAGTGGAAAAAGAGAGTCGTAGCGGTGACGCCCGATTCTTTGATGACGCTTTTCTTCTGCCTCGTGATTTCAAGCCCGCCCCTTCTCTTAGAACAGAACATTTAGCTCCGCCCGATTTTCCAAGAAACCAATCAAAACTCCTCATTTATGTTCTCGTTCGGTCTCGCGAGCCCCACCGTTTAAATTCTGTTCGCAGCTTGTCGATCGGCCATTTCGACCCGGCCGGCATTCCGTGTAACTCCTGCTGCGGCTGAGCGGGATTTGTCTCCTTCACACGACATCACGTTAACACCACCCAACAATGAGTGAGACCGCCATTTCTTTCGCCAAGGACTTCTTGGCCGGGGGTATTGCCGCTGCCATTTCCAAAACAGCTGTTGCTCCCATCGAAAGAGTGAAGCTTCTTCTTCAGGTGAGTAACGAGTAAAGATTCAAGCATTAAAAAATATGACCTTAAACCGCTGAGTGACGGTGAGCGGCGGGTTCCGGAAATGTTAGCTAGCTGGTTAACTGGCTAAATCAGTTCTGTCCAGTGAAGTTCAGTTTAGGTACTTAATTTAAATTGTTAGCTACATGTTGACGTTACGGCAGGTTACGTTACACGATTTAACAGTAGCGTTAAGTGGTAGACGCTTTGTTCACAATCTGGCTCGTCACCAATTACTCGGTTAGCTTTAAAGCTAACGTAACTCTGTAAGAACACTAGTTAGCTCTGACGCTGGCTAGTTATCAATCCTTTATAAAAGAAATCGCTACGGAAACGTGGTTATCGATGTGTTTCTCTAACTGTTAGCTAGCTGGTTGTCCCTGATACCTGATTTGTTGACCATTGGTTCTCGGGCTTGCCGCTTTCTAGTGAATGGAAGCTAAGGTTAGCTGTGTAGTATGACCTTAGCTAGCTGCAGGACCCGGAGAGCATTAGCCACCGAGCGGAACGTTAGCTAGCTAACAAAGCCGGCTAGCTTTTGAGGGCGAGGCTAGCTAACTATAGCACTTCGACACTTGGCGTTCCCAGCGCAGTCCTTGTGTAATATTACTGGCCAGAAACCAAGGTATTTTCTGCATGATACAACTTGCTAGGCGAAACTGTTCAATTAGTCATGCTGGAACACTATCTTAAGAAGTGTAGTTAAATTATGTATTAAGATAACTTTATTTAACCAGCTACTGTTAGTCTCAAGATGTAGTAAAGATCTTAGCTAGCTGCCCGTTTATAGGTGACCCGTGTAACCTACAATATATTTTTACTTCCTCTAATTATTGGCCAAGGTCGTAAGACGAGGAGGCCTTGTGCTTCTGAAGTTTCACTTGCTAGTTAGCTATTCATTCATCCGGCGTTCTCAAACTTTCATTGAACTATGGGTTTTTTAATCTTACCAGTTGTTTTTCGAAGATGTTTTACGGGTAGATGAGTACGCTTAGATGCGGTAGAGTGGGCGTATTTATGCGCTCGACGCCAGGAAACTCATTCATACGTTAGCTAACCTAGTTAGCTTGTGGAGATTATGTATGCGGTGTTTGTGCTTGCCGTTTGACGTTCGTTTGCTCTTCTAACCTGCGTCTGTTTGCTGTAATTGTATGCATGTTCAGGCTGTTTCAGTAATTAGTTAATGTCACAAAAAGCTTCTGCTGTTCTGTATAACTTAAACCTGAACCTTTTTATTTTATTTGCAGGTGCAACATGCCAGCAAGCAGATCACGGCTGACAAACAGTACAAGGGTATCATGGACTGTGTTGTCCGTATTCCCAAGGAGCAGGGTTTCCTGTCATTCTGGAGAGGAAACTTGGCCAATGTCATCAGATACTTTCCCACTCAGGCCCTCAACTTTGCCTTCAAAGACAAGTACAAGAAGATCTTCCTTGATGGTGTAGACAAGCGCACCCAGTTCTGGAGGTACTTTGCTGGTAACTTGGCATCTGGAGGTGCTGCTGGTGCCACCTCCCTCTGCTTTGTCTACCCTCTTGACTTTGCCAGAACCCGTCTGGCAGCTGATGTTGGCAAAGCTGGAAGTGAGAGAGAGTTCACTGGTCTGGGTAACTGCTTGGTGAAAATTTTCAGGTCGGATGGCCTCAAGGGTCTGTACCAGGGCTTCAATGTGTCTGTCCAGGGTATCATCATCTACAGAGCTGCTTACTTTGGCATCTATGACACAGCTAAAGGTAAGTGTTATTTGTCTAATGTGGAGATTAAGTGCAGTTTGGTTACTGCTAGTTATTAAACGTTCCCTCTGTGTGTAGGTATGCTGCCAGATCCCAAGAATACTCACATTATCATCAGCTGGATGATTGCTCAGACTGTAACAGCTGTCGCTGGTCTTACATCGTACCCCTTCGACACAGTGCGTCGTCGTATGATGATGCAGTCTGGACGCAAAGGAGGTAAGTTGGTTCTATGTAAAATGTGTTCACCTTGGGTTATCCCTTTTGTAAGTGAAATAACATTGATTTCTCTTGTTTTGCATTGTAGCTGACATCATGTACAGTGGCACAATTGACTGCTGGAGGAAGATTGCTCGTGATGAGGGTGGCAAAGCCTTCTTCAAGGGAGCCTGGTCCAACGTCCTCAGAGGCATGGGTGGCGCCTTTGTGCTCGTCTTGTATGATGAGTTGAAGAAATTCATCTAAGTGTTTGTTGGCCGTTAATGTTGTGGTGTTTAACTGTAACATAACTTGTACATTTGGAAGGACTCAAATTCCGCCTTATTTATAGGGACCAGCTAGTATGTCAGTACTAGTTGTACTGGGGAATCGTTTTGTGCTTTTATTTTGCCCTTTTTTCTGTTTTGTTTTTGTTCCCCTTCACCATGTCATTCCCAGAGAGAAGGAAGCCATGCCAGGTACTGAAACTTACCTGTCATCCAGCCGGTCTGTTTTTAGGCATTACACTTAAATAAAGACTCACTGAACTAAATCCTAAATTTGTTTTCATCTGTTTTCATATTTATGCTGTAGGGCATTTTTTTATTCTGGGCTACAGTCATTTCGAAGCATTAGTTGTTTGGACAAAACTATAAGCCTAGTGTTGGATAAAATATTGTCAGCAGCAAATCCACAGCATTATAGTCTTTAAGATCTGGTTTGTCAAAGGGAAAGTGGCCTAAAGTGTTAAATATGTCTGATGTAGTGCTTCAAGATGCAGACAGGCAGTGTCTTATTTCATGGACTGCAAATTCATACTCGGGCACTTGCCCAGTCTTATGTCTGGGTCTAAGCCAAGAGCAGCTGTGAGAGGCCTGTTTATTTTGGTGCTTCTTGAATATCATGCATGCCTGACCATGAAGATGTTTACACTAGCTCATCAAAAAAAGGAAGAGGGGTGATGCATGTCACCCCCTTGCTTGCCCTCTTATTCAAAACGTTAAACTGTGAATTAGATTATGTGCTAGGTGACTTTTGTAGGACATGACTGCTTTGTAATTACCTAGACTAGAGGACACGTGGTTATGCAGCAGTCTAAAGTACAAAGCATATGGAGTGTTTCATGGTGTGTTCAGGTTGATCAATAACCCAGCTTTCCTTTCAAAAGCCTGTACAGCCTACAAGAGAAGTTTTCTAAACAGGTTCAGGTTTCATGAAGATTGAAGGTTTAGCAGGATTATGGACTGGCATCACAAACTGTGCTGTTACATCTACTTGTGTCTGGATTAAGATGATTGGGACCGCACAGAGTCTTATGCCTGTAATGTCTGTGGATGACACTGTAAGGTCAGAGTTCAAGTTATTAGCCTTCATGGTTGTCCACTTTATCAGTAATCCGAGTTGGGTAGTACGTTTACTCAGTTTCGTGTATCTAACGTACAAATTTGAGAAATTGTTTCCTGAGTATTTTCAAATAGTTCACTATTTACTATAGTATCTTAATATAGTTGGCCTACTATTTCCTCTTTTGGGTTTAATTTAATTCACTTGTGTTAGTCACGCCATCTGTGCGGCTTTGCAAATTGTCACACCTGTGACCTTGGAGCGTCAGCATTTTTAGACCAAAATGAGCCCAAAAATAGAAGAGCGCCTAATAAACATAAGCTCATATTTTGATAAATGTTAGATGTACTGAAGTTGCGTTCAGACTATGATCGCAAACCGAGCCCAATGCACAACAGCAAATGGGAGGAACATGTCGCTCCTACTGAATGCCCTCGGTGTTCCTGTGTTTGAGAGGGAGGAGTGTGGCTCTCGCGTGTTGCCGCTTGCCATTCACTGCAGGTGATGTGTTGCCTGAGACAGCTGCTAAAACCCTCTAGTAAAAACGCTTTCTGAAAATAGACTCAGTGCTAGAACAATTGTAGATATGATACAGGAAAATTATAGCAAGGTATTTAAAAAGTCCCTGGACTCAACAATAAAGATTAACAATAAAGCTAACAGAAGACCATTCATTCATAAATCATGTTGAATAATACAGTGCCATGAATAGTGCCATCGTGTGGCAAACATGAGGAACGACAGGCACCTTAAAGTGAGTGTGGGCTGGACCATATAGAAGCAGCATAAAATTACTGCCGTAGCTATCTATCTATCTTATCTATTCAATGATAGATCTTTCAGTTAAAGAAACCGCTAGTGAACCAGCCTATTCGTCAGATGTAGGTTAAAGGAGAACATCGCCGAATTTTCTAAATGTTTGCATTGGGATATAAGGTCGAAGTTTGATGTGAAACAGTTCATTATAGAGAAATTAACTCGGATTTCTTTACATTGGCGGTGAACTAAACGCAAATAGATCCCTTATAAAGGCCGACCTACACTTTGTTTTCTGTTTTTTAATGCATTGCTGATAATGGTGAAATATTTTGAAAATCACCCTGTGTGTACCTCTCCTTTATTAATGCAATAAAACTACGTTTTAGACCAAATCTTTACCTCGGAACTATCATAAAACAATGTCTCAGAAATCAGGCAGTCTATTCATTACCATTTCATTTGGACGCTTGATCTCCTTCAGTGTTAACAAGCTGGCAATTTTGTCTAGAATGGAGCATTTCACATCAAACCACTTGTGTTTTCATATTTATGAATTATGTAATAATAAAAAAAAAACATTTTGGGTGGAAACCCTTTTAAAGTCATGTATTTTTTGTCTTATTCGTATTTTAAGTATTGTAGCCTGGAGGGGGCGGAGGTTACACAGAGAAAAAGGTAGACAAGAAGCTCGTGCTCATAAGCAGCTTTATTTCGGATTGACTCAGCAACAACATTACAAGGGGAAAAAATCGTTCTTATTTCTGAAAAAACGAATATTACTCTGAAAGTCTACGACGCGATCATGTCCTTCTATTGCAGCCCACACATACACACATACCTGGGGGGCGGCACCCCCCAGAACCTACCTAACCGGCTCAGAAGTTCGCATAACCTGTGAACACTAATACGGAAAAGCTTTACTTACTGTTTTTAGAACTAAGCACAGCCCAGCTAAGCATGAGGTATCGTGGGTACCCAGGCGTGCTCTGACTCCTCAGCGTGCTCTTATTGTTAATGGACTAACTGATATAATGACATGTACTTATTCCAAACGTATTGCACAACATTGCTGACCTGCATGTGTTGCACGCTGTCAAGAGAAAGTGAAGAATTCTCTTCAACCAATCGCAGTACGTTTCTACAAGGTCTTCCCTTCCGGTTAACGCTCCGGCGGACTGTCTCCGCGCTGCAGTCAGCTCTCCTTCAGTCTGAGAGCGGAAACAAGGCTGTGAACTTGCGGAAAGTTTAAGAAAGCGGTGAAATCTCCACAGAGACGAAAATGTGCTTCTGGCATTATCTGTTCGCTACCATCGTAAGTCTGACCTGGTATTTGTCGGAGTCCGGACAGTTGTCGTTTCTGGCGGGCATTTGGCTTCTGTGTTTTCTGCTCATCTTTCCTGCTGCCTGTAACAGGAGTGAACGCAGCACTCAGACGGACGGCACCGCGGAGGAAGCGTCATTTCAGGTACTTGTGGTCTTAAGATCATTGTAGTTCAGCTGTTTCACTATTACACACAGCTACTGTCACCCACCACACAGAGACATGTCGTGAGGGAATTTTGATGGCATTTAAAAATACCTTTCTTAACCCTTTCATGTCCAACAACTACATGTAGAGTGATGAGTGTAGAAGTCGACTTCTTGTGATGGTTCTAAAGTGATGGAAATTGGTATGGTTATATATTGAATGAACATCTAACATTTGAAATGTTTTGCTTGTATATCATTTTATGTTGTTATTTACGATTAACATTGGATTTTTTATTGTTCTATGGGTCAGGGAGGCCTGGCCCTTTGTACAAATGTTAGACTTCAAGCATCCAAATTATGTTCTTGTGTTTCCTGGGTCAGTCTGATAGTTTAGTGCTTGCTTGTGAATAACTGAAGTTTAATTTCATGACTTTCTGGCAGATTTTAAACATAGCAAAGAATCCTGTTTTGGAGAATTCTTGGAATTTGATATACACTACCATTCAAAAGTTTAGTATCTGTTTTCAGTAATATAAAACCAGCATATTAAAGATACATGTGTAAAACTATCCTATTACGATGCTGTTATTCTGCAAGATTAAAAGTTTCACCTACCTTGTAGGAAGTTGTAATAAAATTGATATCCAGCATGCCTCATATTTGAAAAGTGGTGATCAAATGTCAAGACAGATAACTTATCAAGAAGTTTCTGTAAACAGCGAATTACGGTGTATTATTTATAATTTGATCATTTCTTGGCATTCCCCAAATCTATTTTGAATGAAACATCTTACCGTCTGGCGGTGTAGCTTACAGTATTTAAGACAACACTGTGTAAGTTATTAATGAATAGAATAACAGCAATTATTAATATGGCAAGTGATTCCAAACCTTAGAATGGTAATTTAAAGTACACTCGCACTGTAGTTGGTACATGCCGCATGCCAGCCCCAGATAGAGTTAACTGTGCCTTCTTAACTGTAAATACTGGCTCTGTTCACTATTTCAATGTCACACAGTGGAGTCTGGGAAGTAAGGACATTAGGGCACTTTCCAACATGTTGTATGCTGGTTCAAAACTTGCATGCAACCTTTTATGACCTGTATTATTAATCTTTCACAGACAAGTGAAAGTGGTCATATGGCTGGCAGAGATGAGACTGATACAACTGCACTAAAGCAGACAACACTGAACAGGTCGCAGTACCCAAATGTTCAGAGGTCACTTCACCAACGTAAGTTTCAACTTTCAATTTCTTTTTTAGGTGTGCAAGTAAATTTTGGTAGCCACATGACTTCTCAGAATAAAATACATACCAACTGTCTTTTGCCATCTGCAGCCTGGTTGATGAGTTTTAGGAAGTTATATTGATTCTCAGTTTGACAGTGATGTACTGCCTTCAAAAGCTCATCAAACTGACTTTATAAAGAACACACAAATCCTTGTAGTTGTTTAGCAATGTAATGTTCCTGGAAAGTGCCTTGAAGCTACGTATCTTTTATAGTGTTTAGGTGTGCCTATGCTCAGCTGGTCTTGCCCTGGTACATGGTCCCAGAACTTGGAGACAGTCAGCCTTTATATGCAGCTCTCCTCAGGGAATTTAACCTCATTGTGGACCAGATTATTTGTAAGGCCAAGGACTTTGACCTCTCAGTCACTAGTGTGGGCTGCATTGACATCTTCACCCAGCACCTCCACTGCGCAAAGCAGTCAGACAGGTAAGCATGTTTCTGTAAAGCTTCCTCATGTGCTTGTTACGCAAGCCTCATATGAATGGCACACCATACCACTATATCTCAAATTATGCCATTATGTGCTTTAGTACCATCATAATTGTGCTTTCATCATAAAAAAGCATTTTATTTTTATTGCAGCCTTGAACTTTGATACTTGTTTATCACCATAAGTTTTGTTCCTTTAAATAAGAATTCCACCAGTTTTTCAACATTTCTTCGTAATTAAATTGTTGAGATGTAGACAGTGTCATTCAGGGTGGTTTGATGAAACGGTTGACTGTAAAGAAACGTAGCAACTCTAGAATGGTGGTGATGGGAACCAGGTGTCGTAATGTCTACAGTACAGTGCCATTTTATCTATTATCCAAAACCACCAGTGAACTAACACGTGTGCTCTGAGTTTTTACATGTAATGCTGAGAACGATAAAACAGTGGTGAAAATAATTTCCTCTTTAACTTACTGGCTGCCTTTTTCATGTGGTTAGTGTGGTCCGTTGCAACCTCTTCTCATAAAAAGCATGTAGGCAGCACTTCTGTTTTCTCCCTTTTAGTTGTACTTTTATAACTGATGGTACAGACAGTTCAAAGATGATCACTAAAATCCTTTTTGTGCATGTGGATTTGTTTCATGATTATCATTAGTATTAGTATTTATCTCCTTTCTCAGGTCCCCACTGTTCATCAGTAAAGCTGAAGAAATGGTTTTCCTTAGGTCTTTGTCTGAAGCCTTAATACACAACCTTTTCCCTCTGCACCTGTGGGAGCCAAATGTCTACCGCTGTGCTTTACGAGAGATTCTGGCCACAAAAGGTATGGCCTGTGCTCTGTTCTTGTTCACCTTCGCTCAAACGTTATTCTAGTCAGGAACATTCCTTTTAGCATATTCAGAATTACAGAGTGAATCGTGTGCATTTTTCTGTTAGATAGAATCTTCAACACTAACCGTTATCAGCATGTTTTCACTTGTAGTTACAGTGGCTTTTCACTACAGAGTAACTACATCAGCTGACTTGCTCATCCACATTTCTATATTTAGTAGCAATCTTAAAGTATCAGAACAAAATGTACCTTTCACTCAAACTTTTAGTTTTTTCTTTCATACATAGTACATACTGTATATACAGTGCAGTCTGCTACTGGACAGTAACTGGACAAAACATCTTTGTTTTAGCTGTGCTTTCCAGCACATTTTCACAGAATGCTGTCTCTTGACCAGCTGTGTGTTATTGCATCATTAGTTCATGCAAAGAAGAGTTGATTGTAGAGTTGATTCTAGATAGAGCATTTGCATTGGAGTCTGCTGCTTTTTGTCTCTCAGCATGAAGACTATTGAAGTGAACACCACTAAAGCAGGCCATCCAAAATGAAATCTTACCCCAGATGTAGTCAGCCAAGACATGTTAGGCTAACAATGCTAACAAGTCAGTAGTCACCCAGATCGTTGCGGAAAAAAACATCCTCAAAACTTTTTTCATTCTGCTCAAACTGGATCCAGGTCTTTAATAAGGTCGCAGTGACTAGTTGAAGTGAGTTTTGTGAGATTGTGATGGAAATGTCAAATATATTTTTAAAAATATATTTCAACATATATGTTAGATATGTTTTACAAGTAAAAAATCAAATTGTAACACTATTAGTGAAAAAGTTGTAAAACGGTAATATTAGTTACCTAAATCATTTAATAAAACATTTTAATCGTTTAAAATTACCATTAAGTATAAAATATGTGTGTTGGGAGCAGCTTTCTAATCAAAGCCAGCTCTCTCGAAAAGACATTTAGAAACTAAACGTGCACACCGGTCGGCAAAACCATTTGATTAAAAATGTTTTCATACCTAAGGTAACAATGTAGATTAAAGCGGTTCAGCTGACACAAAAGTTTGGGAACCCTGCTGAACCCCTCCAGTTTAGACAACAACAGAAAATATTTGCGCAACCATTTTTGTCAGCAATGTTTTGTCAACAACGTTTAGCCTCACAGCTCCAGCGCTAACCTAAACAAGCTAAATTTGGACACCATACATGTCTTGGCTGATCAGCTACATCTGGGGTTAATTTAAAAATATTGTGTAAGTTTGATTGCTCAGCGGTTCCTTTCAGCCAAAACATTAAATGTGTCAAGATCTAGTGATTGGTATATTGATAATAGGAATAATGAACATGTGGGCTTAGCAACAGCAAACAACCAGGTGGTGGAGTAGTGGATGATTAAAGAAACTGCTGAACAATTCAGAAACAGAAACTAATCAGGAAGTAGGCATATGACTCAAAGACTACCATAAAGAGAAAAACACATCATCGTGATGTCAGAGGGAACGCCACAAGATGCAAATTACTGGTAAACCGTCAGAACAGGAAGGCAAAGTTACAAGTTTCCTTAAATGTGCACTAAAAAGCCTGCATAGCTTTCAGGCAAAGACTTATGGACAGATGAAGATGAACCTGTACCAGTATGATAGAATTAGGAAAGTGTGAAGAAAAAAGGAGCTGCTCATGATGCACAGGACACAACCATCTGTAAAATGCTCAGCTGGACGTGTCAGATTCAGTGGATGCTACTTCACTTTGCAGTAAGACAATGGGCCTCATTCACCATCCGTTTTTTCTCTTTAAACCCACTTGCATAGGTTATTACGAAGATTCTGACCTTCACCAGTGTTTTTTAACTGGTATTTGTTCTTAGGTAAGAACAAAATCCATGCACATTCAAGAGCACAAAGGTGTGAACAATTCTGTGGCTTAACAACACATCATGAATCTGACGTGGTTTTTCTTAGGACCTTTCTCAAGAACAAATTTAAGAAAAGACTTAGGAAGATATTGGTGAATGAGGCCCAATGACCTGAAAGAAAGCAGTTTGAGCAGTTTGACCTGTAATAAGTTGAAAAAAGTAGAAAAAAAGTACAGTATTTGGTGTTTTATCATATAAACTTTATTGTTTTATTGGAAAAATATGCTTATTCCTATTTTAATGTCTGCAACACAATCCAAAAAAGTTGGGACGAGAGTATGTTTCCTGCTGTATTACATGACCTTTCCTGTTAACAACACTTAATATTCGTTAAGGGACTAAAGACACAAACTGATCTAGTTATAAAAGCTGATTTTTTGCACATTATTTTGTAAAAGTCTTCAGCTGTGCAACTGTCGGCCTGTTATCATATTTTGAGCTTTATGAGACACACATTTTCAGAGGGAGACAGTTCTGGACAGCAGGAAGGCCAGTCTAGCACATTGATCATGCAGCCTTGCTGTTGTAACGTGTGCAGAACATGGCTTGGTGTTGTCATATTTAAATAAGCATGGGTGTTTCTGAAAACTGCACCTAGAAGGCAGCACATATTGCTCCAAAATGTGTTCAGGATTAATGGTACTTTCACAGATCTGCAGGTTACCCACTAATATACCATTACAGATGCTTTTCAACTTTATGCTGGTAACAGTCTGGATGGTCCTTTTCTTCTTTGGCCCAGAGAACATGATCTCCATTATTTCCATAAATAATCTGAAAAGTTGATTTGTCAGACCACAATACACATTTCCAAAGCATCAGTCTATTTCAGATAAGCTCGAGTTGAGAGAATTCGGCAGTGTGCCTGGACATTACTGATATATGACTTCCTCTGTGCATAGTACAGTCTTAACTTGCATTTGTGGTTGCAGCAATGGAGGGTCTTCATTGACAAGTGTTTTTCAAAGTATTTTTATTTACATTTTACCTACTGTTCCATTTTTTTGAACTACTTCAAATATGCACAATTAAAAAAGTGAAATAGCTCTGGTTTCAAAGAGGCAAAATCACAGTCACAGAAACTGCAAAATGATTTAATATTTAAAGGGACACACTCTTATGTTGAGAGCTTCAGAAACAATAAACCTATGGCTAGCCAGTTGTTCAGAAATTGCTTTTTCCTGAGGCCATTGCACAAAACCTGGTTTAAGAAGCACAAAACCTGGACTCTTGTGCAAGGAGAAGAAGTAAGACGGTCTTATGAGTTGTACTTGTCCCTTTCACCAAATGTAAAAATGTCCCACATCACAACATACATACATTTGGAGAAAATCTCTCAGAAATCTTTGATTTTGATATTTCAGTCAAGGAACGACTAATAATACGAACACTGCTCCCTTATGGTATTTCTGTATCGCCAGATGATAATGTCTCTCTGCACACTGCAGAAAAAAAGAAACATGCAGTTGTTTAATGGACCCTTGTGTGAGGTTATATGTTTTCTGTGGCCTTCCCAGTCACCATATCTAAAGTTTGAACCTTTATTTGAGGTGTGGGCTGGAGTGAAAAAGTAAATTCAGAATCAGGCATTAATTGTATGTTCTCACGAACTGCTCCTTCTCTCAAAGAACTGAAGGCTTTTATTCCTGAAGAATGGACCCATTTCCCACTACACACAGTCGAGTATTCCAAAAAGCACTTAGTGTTCTAAAGGTAGCCCTCTCCTCATTATTTACTTTGCATTAAAATGGTAGGTGTTTTCTTTTATTATGAAATATCCATTTTTGGACTCGTTTAGAGATGGACAGATCAGTGTTTTGGGGGCCGATACCGATCGACCGATAGCCGATAGCGATCGAGGGCACGGGCTGGATGCCACATTTAAAAGCGCAGAGGGCAAACGACACTAGATCTCTGTGGCCAAAAAACCCTTCGGTAATTTTTTACGCATAAATGCCAGGATATAAGGTTAGAACCAAAAAATAACAAAGCAAGTTAATGTAACTAACTTTAGCTAAGTTGGGATTTAGCAAACTCACTAAGATTGCTACTGAGAAGCTAACCACAAACATTAGGAAACAGGACAAATCAGTACTGTTGATTCAGTGAAACAGCAAAAATAAGTTAATTTTACCCACCTGTCAAGTATAAACCCATTTTCATGCCTTCAACTCTTTCAACAACTAAAGTCAGCTTCTTGTTCTAATCTTCCCCTTCCACCTTAAATGGTGCAGCAGTTACATTTTGTCGCCCTAAACTAACGTAACCATTGAAATGACCGGAGATTGCTCAACCCAGTAGAGTCACAAGACAAAACGCGCCTCCTGCTTCATGGGTGTAATGGGATGGGTTTAGGGCTAAAAGGGCTGACATATCGCTTTTGTAGTTCTGCGTCTTACTTTCATTTTCAGTCCCTGCCAAAGCTGTAGGCCATGAAGCTATACTGCAGTGTAAGCTTAGCTAAGATTAGCGCTCGGGTGCTAACGTGCTAACAGAAACAAATCCTCAAAGCTTTGACAACAATCTGCATTCATTACAGCCGTACATGTTCGCGCAGTGAGTTTACATCGAAATAGGAGCCAATTATGTAATATACTATATGAAAATGTTTGTGAAATAGTTATGACGAGGCTGAACTGACCTTGATAAAAATATGTTTTGCCAGTTTGGAAGGATGTGTGCAAATTTTAAGCAAGGTTGGTATATTTTAATATTACAGAGCAATACATTTCAGCTGTTAATGAAAAAAGTTCTTAGGGTGTAGTTACTCTTTCCTGGACATCAAAAGGGTTATTTGCCCTACTGCCTATTTTGCTTTTTGAATTTAAATTACAGTGGATCTCAGCTTTAATTGGCTTAGAATGTAGAAGCATCACTGCCTACTGACGACTTACATGAGAGGTGTAAAACTGAGCATATCAGAAGAGGCAAATGTGTCGTATAATAAAGCAAAGTCAAGAATGCCAATACTGGGCCACTTATTTTGACAGAAACCAACAGTACCTGTAATAGTCACACTAGTAACAAAATAGTTATTGTTCTTTTATTATTAACCCATTTACTGCATGAATTATGAAAGAAACATGATTTTATGATTTTTTTTGTATTGAAAATGCCATAAATGATATAAATATTTATGAATATATAGCGTATGGCAACAGCATGTGGTGATACAATTACAATCCACAATGCATACAATGGGGGTAAACCGGTACACTGCTATAGGAAATCAAGGATATGCACGTAACAGCCATTTATGCATAAGAGCTTTAAAAATACAGAAAGGTATTTGGAAAAATTGTTGTTTCAAACGTATAAAAAAAATTGAAAATGGTAGTGTCCAATTGCATTGCATTCATTTATTCCAGTTACATTGCATATTGCAGTTTTGTTTTTGCTTGCTGTTGCCATATAGCAACAGTTATTTTTATTTGTAGAATATACATTGTTTTAATTTATTTTAAAAGTAACTGTAATTGCCAAGGTTGTGTTCAAGTATGAAATCATACACATAATATGAAAGAGGCCTGTCCATATTATGAGTGTGAAAAAGGAAGTATAGGGATGTGATTAGAAAAAAGTAAACTAAGTTACTCAGAAAGCCTTTAGTTGAATGTAAAGAAAAAAATAACTATTGGGTTGTTCTCAGGCAAAAAAAAGTCATTATTGCCACCTGGCAACACCATGCAGTAAAGGGTTAACAAAATGGTACCGTTTCTGTTTGTGGTAGCTTACCATAACTATGCTGGTCTTCAGGAATATTTCAAGAAATACTTATTGCAGAAATTGCAGATTTTCTACAAAATATTATGTAATCATTACTTGTTTCAGCTGAGTTGTTGTTTCCTAGTACTGGCACTCGTGACATTGCTGTCTGACCCAGACAACTTGAATCGCCTGGTGGTTTGTCAGCTGGATCGAGTGCCCTTTGAGAGCCCAGTGGGAGAAGGGCATGACTCGGACAGAGAAAACACTATTTCCTCTACTGGGGTTGAGAATGTAGAAGTGTGAGTGGCCCCGGCACATCTGCTTCCACAAAGTTAAAAGTAGTATTTTTAAGCATTTTCTTGATTGAGTTTGTTGCAATGGTTGCTTCATATTCTACAGGCTAAAAGAAGAAGTGGAAGAGAGTCCATCTGAAGACATCAAAGCGAAAAAGAAAGGTAAATCGTCCGTTTTATCATTTTAAATTGCACAGACAATAATATGAGGATGCACTGAGAATTTGTTTTCAATTATTTTAGAACTAACTTTCCACACTTTGTAAAACTCCACTTTTTGTTGGTCTCCCTGCAGGCAACAAAGTGATGGAAAAGGTCTCCAAGTTCTTTAAGCCGAAGAAGAAGAAATTACAGAAGAAAGAGAAGGAGCTGATGAAGAGGGCTTTGCTTTCACGCAGGGCTGCTGTAATAGAAGCTGATGGTGCAAGCAGCTGTGATGACTCGATCCATGAGAGTGTGAGCAAACAGAACATCAGCTGTAATTAAACATAAATTTGATTTCAGAGCTGCTCATATCTTATGGTCTTTCATGTTGTTTGCTGTTAGGAAGACAGTGATGTGGAGAGTTGCTCGAGTAGCCTCCCAGAGGACATGATGGAGTTTAAGCTGTCCTTTGAGATGTGGCGGGTTGGGAACTGGCATGTTACTGTCACTAAAGTGAGTCTGTGTTTCTTTCTTTCTTGTTTATTTATGTACTTATTTATTCATGTATTTATCCCCAAGGCAGCAACAGCACTGTAATGAAGCTCATTTGAAAGACAGTCTTGACTAAGAACAGTAGTTCTCAGTTGTTCTGCATGTTTAGGTGTTTTTCCTCCTCTGACATAGTCATATGCAAAAGTATGGGCACCCCTTCAAATGACATTTTGTTGATTTTCTAAGTGAGAGTAGCACATCCTCATGATACATTTTAATGCAATAATGTAATTATTGCTTATTTTCTAAACTTAACACATTGGAAAGAAAGTAATCATATTGTGGCCTTTGTGAAAGTTATAGCACACTTCATATGTTATGTCTTATTTTCCCCCCCAAAACACAATGTCAGATTTTCTGGAATCAACTCAAACTGCCGCTAGAAATGATTAAGTCAGCTCCTTAGTTTCACTTAATTTTAACCAAGACTGTGCCAGAGCTGATGATAAAGAAATTAACCCATCCTAAATGTTTATTTGCATATTTTTTGAGTAGCTACAGATTAGTCATTTGCTGCTTTATAGATTATACCAAGTAATATCAGATAGCTTGACAAATGATTACAGCTGACTGATGTTTCAACACATCTTCCCATCAGCCTGTTTCACAAAAAGAAGAAATCTCGGAGTGACGCATTGAGAAAATCATTACTGTAGTCATAATTCCTTGAAAAGGAACCATTTACAAATGCTTTTTCTTTAAAACGAAAGTCATGCCACATTTTAGGGTAAGCTTTTATTCCAGAACAGCTGGATGTAATCTTGTTCCTCTTTTCACAAGGAAGTTGGTTTCGTATTCTTCAGCTTCTTACATAGACCTTTCCAGTCTACCTTAAATAATGCATAAGTTACCTTGATGGTGCAGAATGTAACTGCAACACTATTTAGGGTGTAACAGAAAATTTAAATACAAAGATAATGTTGGCCAGAAAAATTCCAATTAGATTTTCCAAAGTTGTTCAGCCCTACCTCAGAAACCTGCCTCACAGAAATTTTCACTAGATGAAATGGTTATGAAATATGTGCCTGATGCAAAAAATTGTTTTATGATAGTTTTAAGATAAGGTGATGTGTTCATGGTGGGACCACTCTGAATGACTTTGTTTACATCTCAACCATTGAATTATATAGAAATTTTTAATAATTGGTGCAATTCCTCTTTAAGCCTTTAAACCCTAAATGTGTTTAGTTTTTTTTAGTTAATAAACAATTTTGATGTATTTCTCCATACTAGAAGATAAAAAAAATAATAATAAAAAAAAACCTGTTCACTCAAAACACACTGCAGCATCACCTTTTGCCACCCTTCCAGCTGTCTTCTGTTGCATGTTTTCTGTACTTTTCTATGTGCAGGGAAATTAGTCAAATGTAATAAACTGTATGTTGCAGATATCACAGTTAGAGATTAGATGGAAAAACATTAAAGAGTACTTTAACAGATAATAAATGTATTTCTAGGTTGAGACAGAAGATGAAACGTTGTGTTTCACAGTTCGCTTGGAAGAGAAAAGCAACCCTGAGAATCTCCACTGGGTTGTGAAAAAGACCCAGTCAGAAATAGTTGAATTTTATCACTGCCGAGTAAGACATCAATTTATTTTTTCCCTTTATTTTTATGCTGTATCACTTCAGGATTTTCATCAGTTTGAAACGCAGTTTTAAATGTGTCCATAGGACATGTCTCATCTGCCCTCCATATCAGAAATAGTGGAGCATACAGAAACAAAGCTTGTTGAAGACTACCAAGAGGAAGCAAAAACAATTTTTGAGCACTTCCTGCAAGTAAGCTTTACATTTAATGAGATGGTAATAATCATAAAACCAACAACTGTCAAAAAGAAAAAATAATGATAATTTTTTATGTATGTGCTCATTTTTTTAGGTGCTGGTGGATGATGCAGAGTTGGGTCGTACTGAACTTGTGTTCAGATTCCTCTGCCCGCTGAACAGGTTACTGGGAGAAGAAGATGGGGATGGAGGGGTGTGGGGTCTTCTGGGTGGGATTGCATCCTTTCTCGACCCTGGCCAAGAAGATGATGAGGCAAGTATACAGACCAACTTGTGCAACTGTTGCACTGAATCACAGCTCACAGAATTATTTGAACTTAATAACTATATCAAAGGAAAGGGACCTTTTCCTCACAATACTGGATACTGGAGAGAGTTTGCTTCAAATCGCAGTTTATTTCTGTCTAAGACCCAGAATAAGATAATCCATGGGATTTCAGAGCGACATTTCATCATATTCAGGAACAGCTGTGGAATACCTGGAATTAAGACTGCTTCTTTAATATAAACCCACCCACTTATGACCCTTATTAAAGCAAGTTAGCAACAATTACCAACAAGGTCAATAATGTACAATGTGACATGTAAAACAGTGATTGATTTGAAAGTTAACATTCTAGGAGGAACCACTAAGTTGGTAGAGGTCATTGACATTACATAATTATTCAAAGGGGAAATCCCCCAATTTTTCTACATTTCTAAACAGTACCACCAATTATATGAGCCCATATGGTGTAAAAAAAATGTACAATAACTTTTACTTCATGCTCCATGAGATCCCCAACCGTTTTTCATGATCTCGGCCCCTTTGCTCTTGATCCACCATTTCCAAGCCTAAGAAACACAAGCAAGTTGTATCATGGCACACTTTTGTTTAAATTTCTAGCCACGGCAAATTTCTCATCTTTGTTTCTAAATGCACATTTATGTTCACAAATTCTTGTTTTTAACAGATGTTTTGTTTTGCCCATGTAACTGAGGCTACATGGGCAAACTAATCAAAAACCTCACGTCAACAAGCCATAGACTTTAAATACTTTATTGGTTTCAGAAAGTGTTTAATTATATTATGTCATCATGCAAATACAAATGACAAAATTATAACACTTAAAATTACCGTCTAAAATCTTAGACTGTTTTTTTTTAACCAATGAGCTTGATCCAAATGATCCTTCAAATTAGGCTTTTTTGTAATAAAAATGACGGCCACTGCTCAGCAAATGCCAGTGTTAGTTTACAGTACGTTTCAAAGATGAAGAAATATGACTGTATGTGGACACAAAAGTGACCTATAAGTTTTTGGTGTGAGAAGTAGGGTAAAAAATATCTTGATATCATGTCTCTGTCTACACATCTGTCTCTTATCTAACAAAGTGTCATTATACCCCCAAATCTGGACACATAGCTCTTCCACCTGCCTGTTAAAAGCCTCATCACTATCACAAATGTGGCGCATTCTTAAAAGCTGCCTGAATGGAAAACTTTGTTGTATTGGGGAAGGATGAAAGCTATGATTTCTACCATTCATTTTAACTCAAGCAAACACTTGATTACCTGTACCTTGTTCGTTTCGATTATCTCCAATTTTGGAAAACCAAAAAAAAAAAACACATTAAAAATTAAGTTAGACTTGATTTCTCTGCACTTATTAAACTGACATTTGAGACTGTGAAGTTTGGGTAAAATGATAGCACAATTGAGATAAATTAGTGATGAGAGCTAATGTTTTAGAGGAATTTCTAACGAAAAGCAGGTCTAGCAAGTCTAGCGTGTGCGGCTTCAGTCGAATAGGCAGGCTAGTATCCTGCTGAGTTTGTCTGTGCATGTACTAGTGATTTAAACTGTAATGCCTTATTTTATTCTCAGCCAAATAATCTTAAAGGGGAGGAGAAGCCATATGATGCCAGGGACAGATGCAGTATATCAGATGCCTCACCTCAACATGATGAACTGGCTCATGCCCAGCCAGAGGATACGCACACATTGCAAAGACAATATTTGGAAACAGAGGAAGAGTTGTTGGTCACAGACTCTGGACATTCACCTTCAACTGACCAGACAGATGACCTCAAATGTGGAAAACAATATGCAGAACATTCTGAACGTGAAAGTGTTGGTGAGAATTTGGCACAATTTGCTGCCAGGACAAAAGTCATTCCTAAAATACAGCCAGCTGTCTATAGCTCATTTGACAGTGACAGCGAAAGCCTGGGCCAATATGAAAATGACAGCCTCTCAGACTGCCGTTTGAATGAAAGCATAAACAAGAAGGAACACCTCACTCGCAAAAAGTCAACAGATAAGCCCAAAGGGAAAGAGAAAGTATATCAGACCAAAGAAGAGACGCGGAGTTCTCCACAAGTACAGAAAAAAACAGTCAACACACCCAACTGGGCACAACCTGAAGTCAATAAAGTGATATTTGATTTACTGAAGGAAATTTCTGGTGGGTTTTGAATTAGTCTTTTCTGGCTTAACAGTAATTCCACTGACATAAACTAGTTTATTAGGTATACTACATTCTTAAAAGAGATGTTTCTCCAAGGATTCTTTAGTAAAGGGAATGGTTTTGCTTATAACCGTGAGTTCTATATAGAAACATTTTATGCTTAAATGGTTCTTTACATGGTGAAACGGTTCAGATGGATGGCGAATGTGTTGTATATGGTTCTTCTATTGTTTCAAGCTTGACATTGTAACAGTAGCAGCACCTTTTTTGGTGCTATATAGACCCATTTTCCAGAAGATATATACACATATACAACACATTCTCCATCAGTCTGAAGAGCCATTCCACCATGTAAAGAACGATCTAAGCATGAAATGGTTCCATATAGAACTCACGGGTATAAACAAAACCATTTCCTTTACTAAAGAACCCTTGAAGAACTGTCACCAGAGTGTACCATTTAGCCACTCTATATTGTGTCTCTCAATGAAAAAGGTCCACCCAGGGCAGCTGATACATTGTCAAAAATTGCATATATGTGGTAGGTGGACCTAATAAATGGCCAGTGAGTGTAGGTAAAGGGTAGCTGTGCCTAATAGTTTGGCAAACTCTGTATATAGGCTGACATTAACTGTATAGACCCTAATACTTTGTACTCCTTAGTGTTAAAATTGAACACGTTAAATGATAAATGTTAAAATAAAACACTTGTTTTCAATTTCTTTTCACAGGCAATTCTCGCATGCTTAAAATCATTAAGACTGCTCTAACACCATTTATGCCTTTGATAAAGAAGTAAGTTCCAAGATTTTCACTTTTCCCTTTTGAAATGTAATGGCTTCCTTAAGCACTGGAACTGCTCTCTTGTTCTCGCTGTGGGTTGAATATTGGTAAATGGGGTCACTTCAGCTTGATACTCTATATCTTCATGTGTTTATACTTTAGTGATCAAAAATTGATACTGAGTTCATCTTGCTGAAGGGGTTAAATTGTTAGGGCTATAAACCGATCAGCCATGTCATTATTATCGTTTCTACACTCATTGTCTATTTTATCAGCTCGACTATAGGTGCACTTTGTAGTTCTGCTTCTCTGCCCCCTTTCACCCTGTTCTTCAATGGTGAGGACCCCCACAGGACCACCACAGAGCAGGTATTATTTGCGTAGTGAAACATTCTCAGTACTGCAGTGATACTGATGTGGTGGCAGTGTGTTAATGTGTGTTTTGCTGGTACGAGTGAAACAGACACAGCAGTGCTGTGTCCACTCACTGTCCACGCTATTAGACACGCTTACCCTGTTGGTCCACCTTGAAGATGCAAAGTCAGACAGTAGCTCATCTGTTGCTGCACAGTTTTTGTTACTCATCTTCTAGTCCGTCATCAGTGGTCGTACTATGCTGCCCATAGGATGCTGTTGGCTGGATATTTTTGGTTGGTGGACTATTCTCAGTCCAGCAGTGACAAATGTTTAAAAACTCCAGCAGCACTACTGTGGCTGATCCACTCATACCAGCGCCACGCACACTAACACACCACCATCACGTCAGTGTCACTGTGCTGAGAATATTTCACCACCCAAAAATTACCTGCTCTGTGGTGGTCCTGTGGGGGTTCTGACCGTTGAAGAATAGGGTTAAAAGGGGCAAAGAACATATGCAGAAAAACAGATAGACAACAGTGTGTAATTGTAGAACTACAAAGTGCACCTTTATGTTAAGTGGAGCTGATAAAATGGATAAAGATTTTAATGTTATGGCTGATTGTTGTATGTATGTATGTGATGTCACTTCTGGGGGAGTGGAATACACCATTTTAAATCAGGATCATGAAAAGTAATAGTAAGTGATATAATAGTAGTATTAGGCTAATCATATTAAGGTTATGAAAGTACAGCAGACAAACCACACTGTAAAATGGTTTGTCCATTAAAACTAAAAAATAAATTTGAAGTAATTTTTAGTGTTTTGATTGTAAGCAAAATTTTCCTCTGTCCCTTTTTACCAGTAGCATATTGGCACAGTGTGACAGGGTGTGATTGATACAGCTACTTGTGGAGGCTTATGCAATGTAAACTTTAAACACTGAATTTACTTTAAAAGCAGAGTTGGACAACTTTTCCTAAGTAATTTAACTCATTAATGTCAAGTCAAGTCTATATTTTGATTTCAGCTTAAGTAAATTGTTTATTCTTAAGTATTACATAAATTCTGATGTTCAGATTTTAAGCTTTCTATAAAGGTATCCTGTTAGATGACATGGTGGATTATGGAAAAATTAACCATTAATGCAATATTTCTCAAAGTGTCCTTCTTTAGCAGTATTTACCTAAGCAGGCTGGTGATTACAAGGTGAATATTACAAACAGATCATTACATTTTTGTAGGCATATTTCAAATGATCAAACTTTCTGTACTCAGGTCAAACACCCCCACCGTCCCACCCATTTAAAGGGAGTCGTTCGGTGAATGTTTGTTGCATGTCCTTCATAAGCAAAATTATGCAAAACCATTGGCCTTACCAAGCGTCCGCTTTTGGTCAGCAGGAACTAACTTTAGAGCTGCCCATAAAAGTAAAATTAATATTTTGACACTGCAAAACATCTGGTAAGCCTTATTAATGTAAAAAAACCTCCACCACTGCAATAGGGATAAGTGTGGAGAAAAGAATAAACTATAGATGATCACTGTGACTTGTTGATGTATAGCAGCTAGGGATGTGCATCGTGATCATCATCTGTAAGAGTTTATGAGTATCTGTAAGAGTTCATGAACGTATATCTGGTTAACTGCAGGGGAAGAGAAACAGTGGTTAGATGATTATCAGAGGCGCTGTGCCAACACATTTGTTAAAGAATATATATTTTCATTGTTTCTGGATCTAGCTAGCATCAGCTAGAATAGTTAACCTTGTTAGTGATGCAGCTGCGTCCTTAACAATGCGTCCTCGGCAACACGCTCAAATTCAGGCACTCGTGTTTGGAGTAGCAAAAGGCAGCATAACATACTTAGTTGTAAGTATGATTTCAGTGAATTGTTAGCCTGTATATTTTCTCTCTCTTTCTGTGATTGAAGGTGCAGTGTGTAAGATTTAGTGGCATCCAAGCGGCCATCGGGTTTTCTGCTGTGCCTGTCCCGATTTAGTTGTGTTTCTTCATGTTTTTGCTTCTTTGGTGATTCACTATCCTTTGCCTTTTCTTGTGCTAATTAATAAGTATGATCCTCCATTTGTCAAATTTAGAGTAAATATAGATTCGATACATGTTCTAAAGGAATAAAAGAAAATTACGGCAAAGGAAAATCATTACTAAATAGTGTCGGGTATTGCCAAAATGGCACAATTCTATTTGTGACACATTTAAGGGTGTACATATATAGACATAAACAACACAAAATGATTAGGCTAGCACTGGCAGCAACCACTGATTCTTCTTTCTTCTATGTCTTCCAACCGGTGCACCACCTAATTCAAGCTGCCACTTCAACATCAAACTACCAAAGGCACTCACTAGAGCCAGTGTTTGGTTTGTCCATCCTGGGCTACGGTAGAAACAATGATTGGTAGTGACAGTTAATTATACACTAGTGAAAACATGGTTTTGTTGACTATATTCCATTTCTGCTAGTAGACCCCCCCCAATCTTACACACTGCACCTTTAAATGTCCCCAGGTCCCTACGTTTGCTGCACCATCTGAAGACATAAACTAAAAACATATGCCTTTGTGTTTGGGTAAACATTGCATGGCTTACTGAAAAACATACTTTGAATGAATTTACTTATAATTGTTGAATGAAAATATAACACTCAAATGCATGATGAAGAATTCATTGCATGTTCATGTATTTTACATTTTTCATATTGACATGTATAATCTTTTTTACACACCGTCCAAGATTCATTCATCAAACTAAACTGCTAAAATATAACTTAACTTTAAAGAAGAAAAAAGTAAGTAGTATCTTCTTGATGAAGGTTAAAAGGGAAAAGTTAAACCAGCACAAGCTAATTGTATGCAAATTGGTTGCATGTTTACTTTAAACTCATCACTCTCCTTGGTACTGTATAGGTATAGCAGATTCACTGTCCTAATAATTATGAAGAAATTGCTTATTGGCATCTTTATTTTTTTTGCGATTTTTATTTTTCTACCTCATTTGAACATGTCAGTTGTCCTTTGCATTGTGTGAAATTTCATAATGAACAGAAATTATCCTATATTACTGAAAATAATATATCTTTATATGAATTTTTGTTAAGGTTTTGAATGTTTTTATTTTTAAAGTTTTGCCTTCCCCTGTAAAGTTGCTATTTTTAGGAGAGGCGTTTTTTTATAGTAACATTATGACTTGCTTATACAATAAAGGTAAAATGTTAAGTGCAAAATTGAATTTAGTTTAACTCAAAGCAACAATGCTTTGTTTTTTTTCTCCTTATTGAACAAAACTGTGTATTTCTCTTCCCAGGAAAGTGAACACTTTTCTTAAGAAGTTGAACCCTTCAGAAGCTCAGGTAGCCAACTACATTGACCAGCTCCGTGAGCTCATTTGGCCAGAGATACCCGTCTCCCAGGACCCGCCTCGAAGCAGTGAGAATAAGAACGAGACCATGGAGAAAGCTATGCACCTCATTTCTTCCAAGCGTATGTGTTCTCTCCTTTTGTGCTCTACTCCAGATATGCAGCACTTCAAAGATTATTAATATAGCATGTTGTGATAGTTGCAGGCTATCCAATTTTCAGCAAAACAGATGTGGAGATTATGTTTAAGATCCTGCAGGACACAGAGGAAAATAAGAAGCTGGTTTATGTGAGTGCTGTTTTACCCACTGTAAAATGTTTTCAACAACAGCTTGATACTGCCCTGTAACCGCTCTCTCTCTGATTTGTGTTTTTTTTAGATATTGCTCTTATATCTCCTAAAGAGGTTTCTGCCTGGAGACGTTATTTTAAATGGATTGTCCAAGCTAAATGGGAAGTACAGTGTTTAACATCAGTGGACAGTTTCAGATGTTGATTGTAGTTCATGATGTGACAGGAGTTGCTGAATGAACCCTCTGTCAAATCTACAGTATGAATAATTTTCATTCTTATTTTGCCCACCTTTAAAGGTCTAAGGTGCGTTGCAAAATGTAGTACCTAGATGTTAAGACTGTGATTACATTTCTGCAATTATTTAAAACTATATTTTTGTACATATATTTTATATACGACGTGTTTTATATGTGTTGAAGAAGTGGTCACCAGTATGCCCCCTGGAGATCTACCTACCTGTAGAAATCAGTTCTAACCCACATTTACCACACCACCCAGCGATAAATTTCTTCTGAATAGACAACAGTTTGGATCTTTGCCTATATTTATCAGTTTAAGAACACTGATCTGATGTCACAAATCTTATCAGTTTGTGTAATTCTATCCAGTCTAAAATAAAAGGCCTGGATCAGTATTCTTTCTTTGAGATGATTGATGCATTTGAGCCCAGATCTAGTAGATAAGGGTTTGAACCTCTGCAGGGAGAAGTAGACTGAGTACAGGTGTAACACTTTTTGTGTAACTGTAAATGGATAACGTACTTAATATTTCTTTTCTGGATATTTCTACCAAATTAGTTCATACTGCAGTCCCACAGTAAAAAACAAAAACAAAACTTTTAAGTATTCAGACCTTAGATATGTACAAGGATTATGTTATGACCTATTTTCACCCAAAGCATTAATTGAGATGGTAATAAGCTAAATATATACAAAATCATCACTTTCAAATTACTTCCTGTTGGGAGGGGGCGGGGCCTTTAACTTAGAACAGGAAGTGAGATTGCATCTCTGTCCCTCATGGCCACATGGTGAGCATTTTACATCTTATTGTAAATATAAATGTCAGTTAAAAGTTTGCAATGTGTTTTGACTTTGAACCAATTTGGGAGAATGATCCATATTTGTCTACCAACAGATTCAGGGTAAAAACATGCATATTGTCACTGTCCAGACAAGAACAAAATATATATGTATGTTGCCATATAATATATTTTTTATGATGTATATTTTTCTACATCATTTGAATACAGCTGCTGTCCTTTGTGTGAAAATGTTACGTTGAATAGACCAGTAGAAATGCTGTAATATTACTTGGAATAAAACATTTTTATATTAACTTACATTAAAAGTTAAAATTTGTTTGCCTTCTCCTGCAAAGTTACTATTTTGTAGATAAACGTCTGGGGTTTTTTTTCTTCATTTTTTTCAGCTGGGGGCGATGACATTTTTCCCCCGATTAAGAACACTGTGTTGTGGGTAAAGGAATACAGTTGTTCTCAGGACAGCTGTAACAATGCCATAGGATAACTGTAATTTGCTCTGCTCTGTTAACCAGCCTACTGTATAATAATTTTATAGTCATTTATAATGATAATTTTTCAGTTAATAAGTTTCTAAATCACCTGTCCAGGGTGTATCCCGCCTTCCGCCTAATGACTGCTGGGATAGGCTACAGTGGTTTAAAAAAAAGTTATTTAATGTCCGTTTAAAATATATGCAATAAAAATAAACACATCTATTATTCTTCTTAGGTGTAGCCTGTTCAACTAAGTTACTACCTCAGCATTTGTAGAGAAATTAAAATAATATTTTACTGTATTGCATGCATTTGAATGAATAAGTGAATGTATTAGCCTATTGAAAGAATAACTAAAGATAAAATTAAAGTCCTGCAGGACGTTGGAGTATCTGCCTTTGTGGTTTAGCAGGAATGCTTTTGTAACACTGTAATGGAGATGTGCATGGAGATGAAATTTCTCATGCTCAAAGAGGGTGAGATCATGTTTACAGTAAATATGGATGATCAAAGATATTTAACGTGTTACAACTGTCAACATGTTACAGCTGTACTCTGTCTACGCGAGATCTCCAGCAGGAGGACCGATGACTCCAGTGTAGCCTTATTTTTGAATGAAAACAGATTATATCCTGCATATTTACTACATTTTCTTAGTTAATTGTAAATCACCCTTCAATTACACTCTAACAGTAATTTAAAAAGGAAGCAGTTGGATATGTTCATATATGAAAATCATTATGCATTATATTTGCAGCTCTGTTCAGACATGAAATGTGTTTTTTTTTTTTTGTTTGTTTTTGTTTTTTTAATATGTGAAATCTCGGTTATCTTCAGTGTTAATAAATGTTATCTATTGGATCAGTCCTGTCCTGTGTCACCTCTGTCTATTACTTACGGCAGTGTTTCCTATACCCAGTCCTCAAGCAGCCCTGCAGTCATATTTTATTGAGTTCTGTACTCCAGAACTGTTCTAGTACTCCATCTATTAACCATTCTCTAAAAGCTAATTTTATTTTATTATTATTAATGCTATAATTCATAACAATTACAACACATCACTACAAGTAATTAGGCAATTTAACAAATAGCAGCAAAATAAGCTAAAATAAATAATACGCAAGGTGATTTTGAAATGTATCTCTCTAGGCTTGTTGGGAATACAAAACCTATTAGGTAGCCAAGATCTTTTCCAGTCAATGTATAAAATAAGTGAATACTCTCTTGGGGTATTTTAATGTCGGGAATGAAATTGAATCCAAATATATTTATCATTACACATTGTGTCAAAGATAAGAGTGCCCATTTAAGGACAAAGCCAGTTGGGACTGCTTTGCAGGCAGAGTTGGGCTCCTTAAAAATGATGGGAAAATATTTTTTCAGAAATTGTCCATAGAAGAGGAAGCTGCCGCCATCATTAAAGGTCATCATTATGTGGCAAATACCCTTGTCATTCCAGTGTGCCACAAAAGCTTGTTAATTCCCTGGAGGAGCTGAGGGACAGGTATGTGGTAGAGACAGCAGAGTGCACTGTGGAACAGGAAAAACACTGAACAGTACAGCACTCCAGGACAAGGAAGGGGAGACGCTGATTGAGAGCTTTTACATATCTCTCCTATCCTGAAGGTGTGGGTGGGTGGGGGGTGGATGAAACTGAATAAATATAGACTCGATACAAAGTGTTCTAAGTAATCAGAAAATTACGCCAAAAGAAAATCAGTGACGTAAGTATTGCAAAAGTGGCACAACTCTATTTGTGCCACATTTAAGGGTGAACATGTGTAGGTGTGAAGTACCTCAATTTATTTGAATTAATTATGGTACAATTTAAGTAAACGTGTACGTTGTTTTTGTTACACTTAAATACGTTTTCCCAATCTGACTTGACCTACTGACACCTGCGCTAATTCTCTGTAATCTTTGAGCCGTCGTGTCTCCCCAGCCCGTGTAACACAATGGTATCGCCCAGGCCCGACAGGCTGCCTCAGTTCAGATAGCAGGAGAAACGATAGTTGAGCTAGCGAAATAAGCTAACCCGAAAATTCAAACACTATCCCCGACTGAGACCCTGTAAACTCAAGATTTTAGTCTAATTCCAAATAGACAACATCGTTACCTTATGGTTAAGTTTTTGTTTTCGAATTAAACAAGATGTCAACCCCAGCTCGACGGCGTTTGATGAGAGATTTTAAACGGTAAGTGCGGTGGGAGAGGAAAGGCCGCCGCTCGGCTGTTTTGAGGGAGCCGGCTAAGTGGCTAAGCGGTGTAGCCTGGCAGATCAAACATGGCGACTTTTTTTATGAAACTAAGTAATAGAGCTGTTAGGCTTTTGTAGTTGTTGTCATTACGACGATGTTTAGTTATTGAATTTTTACTGAATATGTCGCCTGGACTCGTCGTGTGAATGCTAATCAGAGACGTTTTTTCCGGCTTTTTTAGACTCCAAGAGGATCCTCCGGCAGGAGTTAGCGGAGCCCCATCAGAAAACAACATCATGGTCTGGAATGCTGTTATTTTTGGGTAAATATAATGGACGTTTTCAGCTTAAGTTTACTTTTATTGATTTTTTATAGACAATTCTTTGTTATAAACTAGCAATAAACGTATAACTAACATCTGTCAGAGGGTTAACGTTACCTGTCAGCTGAAAGGCTGTTGACTCGTTAGCTGGCTAACACTGGCTGGTTGTGTTTAAGTTAACTTAAATAAAAAGCCTTGTAGCTCCCGTAGTTTGGTGGTTCGAAAAATAAGCTGTTTATTTATTCTAGTAAATTCTATATTGGATTATCGTTTGTGTTATTGTGTCTGCTGTGGATACAGTGAATATGACCTACATTCCGTGTTAATTTCAGCCTTTTGTGTGAATTTTCATACACGGCTACATAATGCGTTCTGACGAAAAGTCCTGCTCTAGCGTATATTAATAGGCAGCTCTGTACATACATTTTTTTATAGCCTAGATCACTATCAGAAAATGCAACCAGCAGTAAGACTGCAGGTAGGATGTTACGATAGCCTAAATCACCATATAAAAAATGTATAGGTAGGCTATTTGTTAGATCCTTGGTATAGACTTAAATTACATTTAGCTGTTATTTTTAAGAGTGACTCTTTGCTTCATTTCTTCCCACATCTTTAGCCCAGAGGGAACACCTTTTGAAGATGGTAAGTTATTTAAAACACTAACGCTGTGTGTGTAAATTAAATTTGGTAGTAAGTGAAATGTTCTGTTCTCTTGAGTTCCATGTTTTTCTGTTTTCTTAGTATATTATCAGTCTGAAATGCTTAATAACTGTGCACCCCCATTTTTATGTAGGTATTTAGGTTAGCTGCAGGGGTTATGATTGAGTACTGGTAGATACTTAACTTTTTTAATACAGGAGTCTCTATGAGATATGTATTTAGAATAGGGTTGTCTTTAGGATTTTTGGTTGTTACAGATCGCTTCTGACCCCAGTTAAACTACTAGAGAACATAATAACACCGATGTGAAATACAGACTTACCATAGTTAATGTGGGGGAGAAAATAAAGGTGTTGTGCTGACCCAGCTTTAATGAAAATAAATGGATAGTGTTAAGAATAATAATAAATACTCATTTAAGGCAAATAGTCCTTCATCTAAACAGAACTGTCCAGTGCTCTTTAATGACCTTTAATCTGTTGCATGGTGGAGCTTAGATTACTGTCTGCTGGTGAGTTTGAGGCATGTCTGTTAATGTGGTATTTAGGTCCAAAAGGAGATTTTCTATCTGCCCATTTTGTAATGCCATATGGGTCAGTGATTAGGCCTTTCACGTAATCCTTTTTTTCCTCCTTCAGCAGCAGTATCCCTGCATCACGTATGTGAGGCTTTAAGGGTTCCCTCTGAGTGTTTTCTGAAACAGGCTTTAGTTTAATGATAAGGTTTGATGCCCGTGTTCTTTTGGGGGAACAGAGAACATGGATGTTCTTTTTCCTGAAGTTAAGTATTGCAGCAGATAGTTGTCTGTCTTCAGGACTTCAGGATGCCACTTAACAGATGATAAGGGTGGTCTGAAGTTAGGAATAGATGTGCTTGTCCGGATGGCCAGCGGTCAAGAATCTTTACTGCCAAATGCTATTAACCGAAGGAATTTAATTTTAGGACATCTTAGGACCTTGGACCTCTGTTTTATTTAAACTAAAGCTACATTAAACTAGTCTGAACTTAAAAAAACAAAGAGGTTTTCCTGAGACATTTTTATATGATGCTGAAGCATTTTCAGTTGTGGAATTTAAGACAGCCGTTCTGACTGAATGCATGAATCATGTGTGAATGAAAACGTAGAAATTTGCACAATGTCATTCTTTAGTTGTTCAGTTGCCAAAAACTGAACGGTCCGTATTTGAAACATCCTTCACTTTACCAAATAATAAAGCTTATCTCATTGTTGTGGTTCTACTGTATATGCACTCCTGCCTTAATTATTGGTACAGGTATAGGGAATGTTTATTATTATTCTAGTCAGATGTGAACACCTTGTATATTTTTGGTGACCTGGGATGCATAATATTTCCATCCACTCTGACAATAGAACAATTTGCCTCAAGGCTGTATAATGGCATGCTTCACTCTAGGAGAAATAAAGTATTACTCTGGGAATGTAAACACTAAAATGGTGTATCTGTGTATTAGTTCTTAAGTTTCTGTTTTTTCTTCCCAGGAACTTTCAAACTCACAATAGAATTTACAGAGGAGTATCCGAACAAACCTCCCACAGTGCGGTTTGTATCCAAAATGTTTCACCCTAATGGTAAGTTTGACAGCATCACCACGATTTACTTATTATATGTATATATCTCCTTAACATGTCAGCTCTTACAGTTGCCTTGCTAATGTCTTGCTTAACTCTTCTACACCTGCATGAAGTGGAGTGGGTTGTTATGTGGATTTGATTTTTGGCACACAAATACAGTGAAGCTTAAGGAATTAATTTTTCTCTTCAGTTTATGCAGATGGTAGTATATGCTTGGACATTCTTCAGAACCGCTGGAGTCCAACATATGACGTTTCTTCAATTTTAACATCTATACAGGTATGTAAATTAGTGTATTCAGATGTTTATGAAAAGTCCTTTTGTAATCACAATCAAGATTTCACATGTACTTTTCGATGACTGCAGTCTTTACTGGACGAGCCGAACCCAAACAGTCCTGCCAACAGCCAGGCAGCTCAGCTGTACCAGGAGAACAAACGAGAGTATGAGAAACGCGTGTCTGCCATCGTGGAACAGAGCTGGCGTGATTGTTGACCACCCCGCCCCGAACGTTCAAAGTTTAAACAGTACCTGGCCTCAGCCATCAAGAGGAAAACCATTGCGCAAAGAATAAAATAAATACACATCATGTTTTGAATCCTCCTCTTACTCTGTAGAGTTGTCTGTTCTGTAGCTGTTGCAAAGTTAGAGTGCTGTTGTGTTGTGGTCTCCCTCTTCATGCAGAATCTTATTCTTTGACAAGAACGTTTCTTAATTCAACAAAATGTACCTTGCCTCCTCAAGGTTACTTGCTCTAAGCATTTCTTTGATCTATCCTTGAAAGTCTCCATGCAGGAGTTGGTCATGAACATAAGCTGTTTGGTTTTGGTTTGCTCCTAAAGTGTGGCCTGATTGCATTTAGGATGCCAGTGGTTGCTCAGGTTGTGGTTTCCTGTGTGAATCTTGCTTTATGGAAATACCCCTGCTTGAATCCATTTTATCTCTTTGTTTGTATCAAAAGTTCCTGTTCCTCCAAATCTGATTTAAATGCCAAGGAATTACAAGATGGTCTCGCAGAAAACAGGCTAATATCAGTTCCAGTGTCATAACAGATTCTTTTACTTTCATCTTTGCAGACATTACTGCACTGAAATATAAGCTAAAGACACAATTCTGTGAGACTAAAGTTGTACTAAAATGTGAATATTTTAGCTCTTTTTAAAAACTTGATAACTGTTTATGAATTTGAAATTATTTAATGCTTACAAAGATGAGTCTTTCTTACCCAAATTGAAATGGCATGCTACTGTTCTAAAAGGACTGTCACAAGACTTCCCTGTTAATTTCACAAAGCCCTTGCCATGAGCCTAGGACTTGGAATGTAACAAAAATGGTACTGATGTACTTGCAGACTGTATGCATCTTCATTCTGTTCTGTTTGTGTTGTTTTCCCCATTGCATGACAATTTGGCCATTTTCTTCCGTTCTAATTTGAGTGCAGTTTGTTTTTATTTTTCTGTCACATGTGGATTGCTGATCTGACTGCCTTGGCATGATACTGTTTTATGTTTTTTCTAATGCAGTGTCCATCTTAATTAATTTGGGTCATTATTTTTCAAATGCACATCCTGAGTTCGAGTGTCAGATTTGCACTAGTAATTCATGTAAGAAACTGTACATTTTCTCACTTCTTGTAAATAAACAGTAAAATAAGCTTAGTAGTGTTTTTCTTACGCAGAAAAGGGAGAGCACAATTTCAAGAGTGCTTTAAGTTCACTCAATAGATGACCAGTGAACCATGGACAGATTACATTTGTTTAATATGTATGCCAAAACAAGCAGACACTTCACGGTATTCACAAAACCTAAAGACTTATGTAGAGTAAATCACAAGAATGGCTGCTTAGGCATTTCTCAAAGGGAAGACAGTTCAGTTAACTAGCTTCCAATGATGTCTTGGATCTTTTAAAATACCGCTAACACTGGTTATCTGACTGTAATGTGACAAGTGTGTAATGGTACTCCCCCTTCCCAAACTGTGTTTTTTTTTGTTTTGTTTTTTTTAACATGTTTTTTTTAAATAATTTAAAAGGTCTAACTTACTGCACATGAACAGGGGATGGATATATTGTCCATTGTGAAATTTTAATGAAAATGGAATGTTTCGATTTGAAAGGAGCACATGCTGTCTTAAGATCCACTACTAATGTCCATAAAAATCACAGGATACAAGGTATGACAAACCTCAGTTAGTAAGGTAGCTTGTGTACATAATAGTGCCTTGAGTTAACCTAGCACAAACTCTACAGTAGACAAAATCTATGGCATTGCATGGGGGAAAGGAGGAGTGTGCGATCCATTAAAAATGATCATTCTCTCAGGAATACAGACGCAACAGAGGGTGTTACCTGACACTTTGTTTGAAAAATACATTTCACGCTCTTTTGAAGCAAATAAACAAAGTACTACTGCTTTACTCATAGTAACGGTCATCTGTAACAGTATTTCCTAGTCCTGTTCCAGAGGACCCCTGCACTTCAGGTTTAGTCTGTGTTCTAACACATCCATTTCAAACTCACTAAGGAGCCTGTTAATTAGCAGAGTAGTCAAGGCTGGAGTGTTTGGAGTAAGGAACCCCCTAAAATGTGCAGAGCGTGGATACTCCAGGAACAGGGCTGTGGAAACACTGATTTATAGGTTTCTCTGAGGTTTTTCTTTTTTCCCCCCAGTCAGTGAGAGGCCTGAGGTTTCACAAGCTCATATCGTCCCACTTGCCCCTCTTGCAACAGCTGACCGATTAGCTGCTCCTTCTGCACTCTTCGGCTAACCACAAGGAAACGCTGTCTTCCCTGTCCGTAAGACTTGCTCCGCAGCCCATATTTTTGGGAGACCTGATGGATCTGCTTGCGCTCATCATTATTGAGCTCAGTGGAAAAGCGCAGGTCATCCTGGCGATCTGAGCACGCATAATTACGTATGATTTCCTCAATATCACGCTTAGTCAGCTGATTCCCATGCCTATCCATATCCATACCAAGTCCTTCCCTGGAAAACTGTTCCTTTACCATGATCGGCTCTGCAATGCCCTCTCCCTCTCGACCCAACCCGCCACCTGTCCAGCCCATCTTGCGCAGCAACTGGTTACCGATGTTGTCCTCCTTGATTTCCTGTCGCATGGACTCCTCACCAGAGCGAGCTATAATTTGATTGCGGGAAATGGCATCCACATGCCCCTCCTTCCTGAGGTTGGACTTTACCACTGCCTGTGTCCGTTTCAGAGTGGCAATTGCTTCCTCAGCTGCAATATGTTTAACTGTCTTCTTGGGTCCAATGCCTGCAGCCACAAACTGTCCTTCTATATAAACTTCACATCTCCAGCGATGATCTGGTAGCACAGTAAATTTGTAGTCAGCAGCCACTTTGTTGAACTGCGCAGTGTCATTGATAATGCAAATGGCATTATCAGAGTTTTCTAAAATAACCAACTCACTGAGCTGCTTCTTACGGCCACCATGCTGGCTAAAACGGCCAGTGGGCTGGTCAAAGTTGTGGTTACCTTGAGGAAACTGTTGCTGTTGCTGTTGCTGCTGCTGTGGCTGCGGCTGCTGCTGATGGTGGTGATGATGATGTTCCTGATGTTCCTGATGTTGGCGAGCTGCCTGATTAGTTCACAGCTTCTTCACAGCCTCCTCAGCTGCAGCATGCTTAGAGCTCTTCTTAGATCCTCTGGCTTGAGCCAAAAGCTCATCTTGTAAGTATACACTACACAGCCACAGATTGCTGTTAGGTATTGGGTCAAATGTGTAATCAATTTTCATGCGGTTGTAGGCAGCAGAATTGTTGAGGATGCAGATGGCATCATGGGCATTCTCCATTAGCACAAACTCTGTCCAGTGTTTGCTTCTATCAGGCACATACTGACCCTTGGTATTGGGTGGTGGGTTATCCTCTGGGTTGCGGAGAGGCGGAACTAAGGCTGGAGTTGGGGTGTTTAACTGGCACACCACCATGTCATTGACATAATTACGCTTATACTGACGCTGTACAACACGAACTTCCACTGGCTTCATGAAAAGTTTGACAGCCTGCTCTGATGCGCGATCCCTGGCACCATTTTTGCTTCCAGAGTATCCTGTTGCAAGGTACACACACGAACACCTTAGCTCACATGCGTAACCTTCAGACGGCACTTTTCTGTTCTTAGGCAGATCAGCTGGAGGGATATCCTTTAAATTTACATAAATGTACTCCGGGTTAGTTTTACAAGCTTGAATGCTGCGGCTGAGAATAAAATTGTAATTTGGACCATCAGGTCCTCCCACAAATGCAGGATCCCGGAGAGTAATGGCTATAGCAGACAAAACCCTGCCAATTAGCCTCTGCTTCTCCTCCAATGTTGCTGAGGGAATTGGGATTGGCATAGATGGTGTAGGCAGTAGGCCAGGGCTGCTCCTGCTTGGACTGTCATAGACTCTACTGAAAGCCCTGCTAGATGATGGTCTGTCCTGATGCCCATAGCCCAACCCTTGCCGCCCTGAATCCCAGCCTCCAGGCCTACCACCTGCATATCCATCAAATCTACCAGCTTGGGTGGGTGAGTTTGCCTGTCTTGCAGTGTGTGCCTCATATCTTGCGGTGTAATCCTGCTGCAGTTTTCCCATAAAGTTTGAGGTGGACCCTCTACTGCCATAGCCAAGACCACTCTTGCTGCCGAATGACATGTCCTTGCCTCTGTGATCAGCCCAAGAATCATAGCCATACGACGATCCTCTGTCGAATGAAGAGGCGGATGAAGAACTGTAACCACGTCCACTGTTGTATGGCTGGTCTGGCTCCCTTTGTCTCACACTGTTCATCTCCCCACCCCTGCGCTCCTTCTCATTCTCTTTTTCATCGGTACTCCCCAGACAACTGCTGCTGGTGCTGGTGCCACTGACAAACTGCACTGGCTCAAATCGTGGTCTAGAGCCAAATTTTGACACAGGCATCTTCCTCATGGGCTCCTCTCCTGAAATAAACAACAGATAAATAATTTTAGTTCATGTCAAGATACAGTCATCCTTGTGTAGACAAATTAAACTAGCAATGAGAAATCATCTAAGTTTCAGCATGAGAAAACATTACAATGCACTGCTTTTAAGAAGTTTCTGGAGTATCTAAAAAGAATACAGAAGCCAGATGAGTAACATTGTCAGGCAGTCCTGTTACACTCACTTCCATCAGATGAATTCGGCCTCTTTTTTGCTTCAGCACTTGGGACTAGTTCATAGGAGGGCATTTCGCCAACATGAATCCCTTCTGCCATCTCAAGCACTCGCTGCATCAGTTGTGGGCCATACCTGTAAGATAGAGCAAACATTTACATTATGCATGTTTGCAGCTGAAATGCATTTAGACTGAATGTTTGCTTAAGTACTGCAGTTTTGTGAAAATGTCAAATGTATAAAATTCTAAATACACACTTAAAGAACCCTTTTAAATTGGTTCTATATAGCCCCAAAAAGGGTTTCATTATTCTCATAAAAACCTTTTTTCATTACTATATAGAACCTTTTTTTCCTAAGAGTGCACAAGAAATTCTATGTTGCAGTGTAGTTACTGAAATGAGTAATAAATGGCTAAGTTTACCACGTATTCAGTTGCCTTCACAGCAGTCAATGCTCAAACCTCTGTTTAACAACTTATAATTAACCATAAGCAGTTCAAAATGTGCAATGAAAACAAATTAAGGTTACATGAAAACGAAAGCAGCTTAAAATCTACTAACCTGCATCCCATGAACACATGGTTTGCCCACACCATCGACAGGGAGAGCAGCTGATCTATATTATTTGCTTCGTACTTGTCAAGGAGTTTGTTTATAAATAATTTCCTAGCTAACCACTGCTTGTCGCTTTCAAAGTTTTGTCGGAATTCATCGATACAAAACGCCGTATTCATCCTCTTAAATGTCTGATAGGAGCCACAGACAACGCCATTGCCACGACATGGGCCCGAGGCGACTCTTCAGGACCGCCTATTCCGGCTGCGCTGCATACAACAGTCGGAGAAACTCAAACATGGTGGACTGCGCCAGGCTAGGCTAACTCGCTAACGCTAATATTGGACTATCTTCGGTATTGGCTATCTGATTATCATTAAACGTACGACAGCACGGAGTAGCCTGTGCAAGTAATTTAATCTACACGTTTAATATGAGGTTCTACATGTTAGGAGCGCTTTCCTATCGCAGTGAAATATAGCATATCTGTCACAGATAACAGGCAGAATTGCCGGTGTGGTGCATCATCGTGAATCTCCCTGCACAACCTGCACCCCAAGGACCGTTTGGTGGCTATCATGTCCGCCTGCATTAAAATCCTGCCAACACGGAGCAGCACAGCCAGGTAGCACCAAGTATGCTAGATAGCTAGCATAGTAATATTTAGAATGAAATGTTAAAAAAAACAACAAGGCTATTCATTTGAGTTGAACCCAAGCTACATTCGATTCAAAAGTTTATATTAAATGATCTGATCCATTCGCTAACGTTAGCTACGTTACACTCAAACGCCATTTGATTCAAATAGCCTAAACGTCAGTCCTCTAAGGTTACAAATTTCTGACTAAGTTAATTCATCAAATACAACCGCAACAAGAAACCAAAAGGTGCAAGATGTTTTGCGGAAAGGTGATAACTCAACACCGGTTAAGGTAACAAAATCCACCAAGCTAGCTAACTAGCTAGCTAGCTTCCTTGACAGCCTGTAGTGGCTTGCTGTCCAACAACTCGGCTAGCACAAAGGACTCGTTTGTATGCCGAGTACACAATACACACATTATATAACCGCTAACGTAACATATATTTACGTGAGCTCATTATCGTTCAGCTAAGTTCACAGTTATATATAAGTTTTTCTTTGCGTTATCCATTTCAACATAAGCCAAGCTAACGCTAATTGGCTAGCGCATTAATGCACAACGCCGACAGCAAGCCAGCTAAGCTACGTTGCTAATTTGATTCACTGGGGTGACGCAGTCATAGCATCTATAATTGAATTATTAACTACATAATTCAGGTTCATTTTAAACCAGCAAGTAAACTCAAATGTTGTTGTGTAGTCCTTGAACAGAATATAAGAAGACGCTACTGAAATACACATTCCGCATCTTTTAGAAATCTCACCTCGCTAATGGTGAAGCTCCGTCTGTTTACGTCCTCTGGAGTGGATGAAGCCCCACTGCAGTCGCTCAGCTCTGCGCTTCTGATGCAGCTTCAGTCTCATTCAGCATCTGAGCTAATGCTAATCCTTAAAGGGACTAGGCTAACATGTAGCCCGGACACAGCCATTCATCTACAGTCTGACAGCAGATTATTACTGTTGACAGCAACAATAATCAGAATCAGACTTGTCTGTTTTATTAGCCAATAATGGAAAGAAATTTTATCGTGTCAGTAAGACAAACAAGCAATTAAAATACAAGCAGAGAAAAAAAGTAAATACAAAAAAAGTAACATCATTAACAACAAGCAAATGTGTTAGTATAAAATCATGTTTTAGCATTATAGTAAAAAGGAATACAATTTGTAAAGCAAACCCAAATTGTCAATTTGACAGGAAATTATACTCCATTTGGCAAAGGGTATGTGGACATATCCATATACACTTTTTTAACAGTTCATCTCAAAACCATGGGCATTAATCTGGAGTTGGTTCACCTTTGCTGCTATAAGAGCCCAAACTCTCCTGTGAGGGCTTTCCTCTAGATTCTGGAACATGGCTGCAGGGATGCGCTGATGTTAGCTGTTCAGGCTTCGCTCTCAGTCGACATTGCCACTAAGCATTCTCTAGAACTAGGGTGTTCAAGGTTTAAGGCCAGCGTGCAGCAGAATTTCCATACGCAAACACACTGACTGAATCTGGCAAAACAGCCCTAAAGCCTTTTTCCTTCTTCACCAATTTTGCTCAGTTGGTACTGCATTTGGACAAATATTGTTCTAGTGGCATCCACCAAACCCAGATTTAATCAGACAGATAGTAAGGCGTCCTTACTCACTTCAAAGAACACTTTTCCGCTGCCCCACTGTCAGTGTACATTACATCACTCCAGCAGACACTTGGCATTATGCATGGAGATCTCAGACTTGTGTGTCTCTGCTCAGCCATGTAAAACCAATCTATGATGATCCTGACAAACAGTTCTTATGCCACTTATTATGCATCACTGTTTTTGCTCCTAAGCTCCTTTTGATTTTGCAATATCAGCACTTAGAGTTGTTATTATAGGCTTATTATAGAAGTCATCTATTTTAACAATGCTAACTTTTTTGAAACTCAAAACCCCAAAAAAACTAGCCTCTCCCTTCAGTGTTTCATCCAAAGCCTCAAAATACATGTATGCACACTGCCTAGATGTGAATGCCTAGTTTCAAGTGCATACAGAGCACGGTCGCTGTCACTGCTCGTGCCCTTCAACTCCTTTAGCTCTCTCCAGCATTGAAAAGCCCCACCCCTATTCATTCATCTTCTGGTTCCCAAAACAGGCCTCAGGGCCTCCCAGACAGTCCACATTTTTTGCTCCGACCCAATTTTCAACACATAGGGCTGAAAGGAAATTGTGGCTGTCCCTGTAGACCAGGTTGGGTATTTTTATTAAGTTAATTACAGTAAAACTATAATAGTATCACTGTAATAATATAGTAATAATAGCCTCACTATTCTAGAGTGGCCATTACATCTAATGCCCATAATGTACTGTAGCCTGTGATGTGAAATGTGATTCTTGCAATTGCCTGATGTTCTCAAATAGGTTTGACTCAGATTGTTTGGAAACTTGATGTTAGGTTTAAGACTAGGTTTCTTGTTTTATAACCTAGACTTTGTTAAATATGTTGTTTCACTTCCTGTATAACTCTGCGTAGCACAAGCTCACTGATTGCTATAGAAACATACTCATGTTCTGCAGCTCGTCATTGGGATTAAACATAGTTCAACAGGGCAGCTGTTTAAGAGTTCAAAAAGGAAACTACCAGTACTGTTATTCAAAATGATTTAATGTCCGAGGTACCAGCATGTATCACTAAAACAATAAATGCATTTTCTGACACTTCCTGTCCTGTTTTTCTAAGAATATAGACATTAAAATAAAACAGTTAAAACTATTTAGTATTATGATTTACAGTATGAATGCATTAATCACTGAGGCCCAGCATAAGAGTTAAGAAGATTGTCAAGTGGGGTAACCAGAATTTGTACATCAAATACATGTAATACCCAAATAAATAAATAAATAAATACCTTTGCAACAAAACATAGATGTTTATGTAATTGTATGCAAATGAAAACTTTCTACCAATATTTACAAAATGCACAGTAAGTAATTTGTGAAGATAAGTACAATGTAATTGATTGTGACATTTATTTTAAACAAATATGTGCCTTGTTTTTTTGCATACAGTATCAATATTATTTCTTTTATGTTGGTATCAGTTTACCCTGCTTGACATCTCCAGGCTTATTTAATCAAATATTTAGTTAAAAATAGTATGAAAATTATTCAAAACACACAAAACCAACATGACAGAACATGAGAGAACACAGCATTTTAAATAGTTTTTTTCACAATATTGAAGTAATTGGCTTATAAACATATTTCCCATAAAAATCACAGTGTATCTTTTTATGTCAAACATAGCTGATTGATCATTTCTGACAAACGTAAGACATCATTATCTAAACAAGGCAAGCTATTCAAAACTATCAAAATTGTCTTCAAAATGAAACATTTGCTATAAAATCTACAAAATCTGCACAAACATTTACAGAAGGATCTACATGAAGAACAGTTATCTGCTCCACACAGTTATCTGCCACAAAATGCCAAGAAAACAGAGAGACAACAGACAGCTTTCAGTAATTTACGTTGGAAGCAAATTAGCCTGCTAAGTCATCAGTCCAGATTTGTAAGTCTACCTCAGATTGTGACAGTAAATGGTTAACATCTTTCCACAATGTCTTTCACCAGTGTCCGAATTTGCTGTAGACAGTTGTCAGTGTTAGAATGTACAGTTTTTTTTGTTATTAATATTTAAACTACCCAAACATTGTTAACCCTATAGAACCTTGTTTAAGTTAAAGTCTGTACAAAGTCTTTACACTGACCTAATTCTCTATTATGAATAAGGTACTGCATTTTTCACACAATGGCCAGTATTCATCAAAGTTGTGTAAATTTGAAAAAAAGCACAGATTTGATTGCCTTTAATGACGTACTAACTACTCTGCATCTGATTCATGAAAACTCTCTGTGAAACTTACTGCAGTGTTTGAGATGTGTTTCTATTGCTTATTCTTTTGGGTGGTGTCAGTAGTATGAAACAAAAGCACAGTGTAATATGTCCTTAAATGGAGCCTGGAATAGTTGCAGCATTTGTTTATATCAAGATGCATGTAAAATAAGTACATCCACTTTTGTACTGGATTGCCATGTACACAGATTATTATTATTGTTGTTGTTATTTTCTATTTCTATTCTTATTATTGGTATCATAGATTAAATTGATAATGGTGTTAGTTAGTTAGTTAGTTAACTGCAAATCAATTTTTTGTTAGACCATTACTACTACTCAAACTAATAAACTACTCAAACTATTATTGCTACTTACATTTACACACCCTCCTACCAGATGTGAGTTTATTCATACAGATACGCCAAAGATGAAACCGATGAATAACAAAGTCTGTTCAATTTGCTCATATTATGATCAGAGTTGAGCACAATTCGCAATACACAAATGAATATGGGCCACTGTTTTAAAAAAAATTCTATAAGCAGATATTCAGAGGAAGAAAAACCTTACAGTTGTCCATTAAACGATAAAATATCTATTGATGTTTTCAATGTTTTTAATATCCCTTTCACATTGCATCTCATCACTACAGTTAGCATATCATTAGGTAAAATTTCTGTCTAGTTCTTGTTCTATCAAATCATGTACAACTGATTCAGGTACAAAAACAAAACAATTCTAAACTGAGTTCACATGATAAAGGCAGAAGTAAAGTCAAATTTAGTGACATTGTGGTTTAACAGGCCTGAGGTTTAGCTGAGTAGTTTGCAGATCCCATTAGTGCATGCTTGGGTCCCACACAGGTTCAGGTGTGCTATTTAACACGAAGGTGTCCAAGCTGTGTCTGGCTTTGCATATTCATGTTCCTGTTCTCTGCCTTTGGTGTTCCTCCCTACTATCTGCCAGGGGATCTATTCGAGTTTGATGTCCGTGCTAGAGTTCATGAAATATACAAACAAAAACAGGCGTCCTTCAATATGATTCATTAAACTCTCATGTTATGTTTTAATAGGACTTTTATCGAGACAGGAACACACTATTGAAATGACCCTTGGAGATTGTGCTTTTCTTTGGCTTCATCTGATTTCCTTTCTAGGAATTGCAGCAGGTTACCATGAAAACCCTTAAATACTTGAATGTATCACATGGTGCGCAATAGTTTGTGATACATAGCTCTTATAATTGATTGAAATTTATTGAGCAGTAAAAAAGCAAAAGAACAGTATGCACCACTGCAAATGGCAGAATTACCCTTATTATAAGGAGCTGTGCATTTCTTTTTTTGACTATTATTATTATCTACCACAGTGGACCAATCATAATACAGCACTGCATGTTAAGCAATAAATAAACAGATTGATGATTTCCTTGTGTAGTCACAAAATCCATGATCATTTGCTGCTTTTTTATTATTGTTTCGTTTTTTTATTTTTTTTATATCTGTTCAAGAGACACCAAAGTCCCCGAAGAAGTGAAGTATGAGACTGAGCAAGTTTGGGACTGACTCCACTTTCACTACAGGGTAATTTATTTCTAGATTACTGTAGCTCATAAACAGCACAAATACAGTCATATGTAAAAGGTTGAAAACTCACTTCCCCCCTTAAGTATGGCATTTTCTGCAATTTGTAGTGCACAGTTTCGATATCTAGTTTAACAAATTGGAAAAAAGTAAATCCCCAATTTAAAATTCAGCAATTAAAGTGATTATACCCTAAAAGGTGAAGTGGTGTGATCCTGTTGAGGATTTGTCAACTTATTTTCACTTAGAAAATGAAAAAACACATGTAATGTGAACAGGGACACCCAAATATTGCATATGACTGTACATATCGGAGAAACATTGGGTTGTGAGGCATCAATCACCATCAACATTTCTAGTAATACTGAAAAGCTTTAAAAGGAGACACCTTTTATATTATCATGAACTTTGAATAAAGCAGGTGTGATTTAAACTTTAGACTTACACATCTGTTCCATTTGAGATACAGCAGAAATATGGAATAAAAGGAAATAATACCAATTAGTAACTTATATTTAATATACATAATACTCTGTAACTGTTTATAGCCACAACATTTAAAGTCATTTAAATAATAGAAACCTCACCTGCTGGCTTTGGTGACATCAAGATCAGAGGTATCTCTGCATTGACGTCACTGTGAACAGAAACCGTAAAATACTGTAAATAGTGGAACGTGAATCAGTACTTTGCATTAGGTCTCTCATTTTTATTTATGTAGGATATCACTACACTACATGGATTTGACAGAAAAAGTATTAAAGTTATTAACCTGGATGTAAGGTTCCCCAAGAGACCACCACTGGCCACCATGAGGCTAGCTTTAATTTTGTAGGAGACCAGAATGCCCTGTACTTCTTTGTCCATGCCAGATCGCAGACTACAGGAGGAAACAAAGAACAATCGGCTGATTAGATTGTGGCTCTGTATGAAGCAAAGTGAGTGGCTTTTGCATACAACTGTATGTATGTTCTCACTACTCATAGTGTAGGTGCATTTTAGTGGTAATAGGCTGAAAAGTATGGTCTTTCATGTTAAGATGAATCTTAACTAACATTGTAGAAGATGCAAGATTGGTGTCTTCATCTTTTAGCTTGCCATCCAATGCCAGACCACGTTTTTCTTTGTTGTTGGCCAACAGAGGAGTGACTTTGTATTCTTTCTCAAATGTGGAGTTGCTGTTCACTTGGTCCCTGAAGAATGTAAAAAAAAAATACATAATGATTTTTAAAGGGGAATTCCACTGATTTTACCATCTTTGTACACAATTCTGTGGTTGGTACATAAACAAAGTAATTCATAAATTTGCAGTGTAGAGCAACTTATCAACTCAGACTTCTTTACAGTGGTGGTTATAAGAACACACAACATAAATATATCCGTTTTATTTATTATCCAAAACCACCAGTGAACCTACATGTGTCTTGGGATCTTTTATATGTATTTTGTATGTTCATAACAGCAAAATAGTGTTCAATCTGAAAAAAATCTGTTTTCTTTGGGGACTATTTTGCCTTAGAACACTCTGTATGTACCTCTCAGCCATGAATGCATTAAAAAAAAATACATTTTAGGGCAAAACCTTATCTCTGCTGTAAAACAATCAGGCTTCAAGTAGTGTGTCTGTAACCATTTCATGTAAAACAACTTTTAGAGCGTTTTTCACCTCTCCCGTGTACATGTATTGTTTGGTGAGTTTCTCCAGAATGAAGCATTTCATTTCATTCATTTCAAACCACTCTGAGTGACTGTTTGCTCTCTTAGCAAATTAATTATGCAGAAATTATGCAGGAATTCACCTTTAAGTAATGATATTACATACATATTTAGCTTTTGTAGAATATGAAATTGTGATATTGTGTTACTTACCCAAATTCTTCACAGAGAACAACTTTGGTGTATTTGTCAGCTGAATAGAGCACAACATCTGTTGTCTGGTCAACTGTATGAGATACAAAACAAAGTAGGCTACTGTTTTTTCCATTTATTTTGTCATGTGATATTATTCAATCTTCACTTTTGAATCTTTTGAATCGTTTGAAATTACTTACTGGAAATTCTGATTTTCTTTACCACTTTATTAGTCTCGTTGTTTATTTTCACTTTGACAGGGATTGGATCTCCGTGATAGTAGACCTTTTGGAAGATTTGGAAAATAATATGGAACATTAGCTTGATGTGTTTTGCTGAAATTAAAAACAAAATGCAGGGGCAGAATTAAATTAGTGATAATCCATATCACAGAAAAAAATAAGATTTCAGACAGTGTACCTCCTTCTCTATCGAGGTTTCCAGGTGAATTGCTTTGTCTGACATAATGAATTGCTTGAAGATGCTGGCCTTGGGCCCAGCCTCCAGCTTGTCTGGCGCAAACTGGATCTTACGAATGACCAAACGGCAAGTGTCCCTATAGAGTCAAAGAGATGAGAAAATGAAGCCAGTCATTGCAAAATGAATGAATACATGTAGCTGTATGTATTCTAGATCCCTAAAGATAATAAATTAGGCCTATACATACTTCTTAGAAACTTTCTCGTCTGGATTGTCTGCCTCATTAGCAATATAGGCTTTCAGTTCAAAGTCAACACCGCAAGGCTGCAGTAGTGAGGAACAGAACATTGAAGTGAGTCACAGGGAGAGCAATAGAGAGTAATTGTGAATGCTGGTGCATGTGTGAGGTAATACCTTGCCTGTGTCACCTGGTGCCGGCTGAAGAGTTACAGAACATGGCAAATTTGTAGGGATCTGAAACAGCAAGAGAAACACAGATTTCAGCATCATTACCTCAGTGTGAAAAACTCTACATGTACACACTGGTGTGTAGGTTCACGTACGATAAAAGTGAAGGGGTGTCCTTCTTCACCAGCTTTCTTCATGAGGGCATCCTGCATATGTGTGTTAGCTGGCTTTTCTCCAGCCGTTGGAGGATAAATCTGAATGTGCTGTATCCAGATATCTTTCCTGAAGGACAGTCCAATCACATCCAAATCATCCCGCCCATAGCGGAAGGCGCAGACCAGCTGCACCCATACTGCACCAAACAGAAAGTGATTATTGTCACTGTTGCACCAAAATGTTGCATTTGTGTTGTTTTTCATGTATTTGCACAATCTGAAAAGTCCAGTTACGCTTTACATTGTGTTAAAGTTTTACAATGACCCGACAAATAGAAATGGTCCAAAATAAGTGTCATAAGATTAATGTCAGCGTAAATGTAGACGTAAAGTCATTGAACACATGTATAACTGATTATTTTTGTATACTAAATGCAATTTTTCAGATGGTAAAACATTATTTTATTCGCCCACTGTTTTTTTTTTTTGCAACAACATAATTTTCACAGGCAACATGAATTCAGTAGCCAATCACTGTTTCTCTGGTGTTGGCATAAAGGCAACTGAGCTGATAGATCGGCTCTGTCCCAGCAGCTAGAACCTTCTGACAAAGGTCAAAAAGATTAGTTTGTTTTCGACATGTTTGGTGCTCACATCTCCAAAAGCAGCTTAAACTGGGTTTCCGTGTCATTTATTCACTTTGCATTTGGTGTGTTTCTGCCTTTAAGCGGCAGAACACGCCCAGCACTCTCAGTTTAAATTCCTTTTCAAACCTGGTATAATGCAGGCAGTAAAACAAAAATACTAAATAGCTTACTTCAAAACTTAACAATTCAAATTAATATGATCAAACTGCTCCATCCAGCCATCTGCTGATCTAACTTTATTGCTGTATTCTGCTATCTTGCTTGCAAGATAAAGGCTAAATCCCTGGGATAAATAACACCCCTGGGATAGCAACAACAAACAAGAAGGGTAATGCTTCTTCCTTCTAAACTAAAGTTCACACCAGACAAAGCAATTCTTCACAAAGTTAATGTGTGTATGCACATCTTTACAAAGCTCTTTCAGCTTGCTAATTAGATCCCTGATGCCAGCCTAGACAAGAGCAAGTTTGTTCCTACGGAGAATTTTTTTTTTTGTTCATTGTCCTGTCCTCCTCTTGATGAGGTCACTTATCTAACGTAGATGCTGTGCACTTCTGTGCTGTAGATGAAACTGTCGTAGTTATGTTCAAAAAAGTACTGAAACAGAGGGACTCGGTACACTATTTAAGCTATAACGTTAATTTTAGCACTAATGCCCACATTGATATGGATTTTGTAGTAATATCTATAGTGACAATTTCCTTTCTTATAATGCTAGTGCCATCCTACCTTTCCTTCCATCAAGCTCTGAAGGGTCCACTTTAAGCACACCATCTGCCAATCAGATTACAAGTCTTATCCAACAAAAGATACAAATTCCTTTAAATGGTGTGATTTTTAAACATACTGATGTCTCGAAAAATGTTTTCGTGCTGTTATTTAATAAATAAGAACATACCAACAACATCAACACTGTCCACATGGTCTACAAAGTCTCTCTTTCCCAGGTAGAGGCATATCTGAAATTACAGGGTTCATTAGGCTGCCATGGAATTATATTACATTGCCATGTATGTTACATATGTGCACAGACAATATTATTTCACTAAATATGGCTGATTTATTAGTGCAGTGACAAGGAAGCCTTACCGAACCATTCCCACTGTTCTTCTTATAAACTCTGAACAATCAGAACATATACGTTAAAACAAAATTCTCTGAATTGATACAGTGAATATCCTTAGCAAAGCTAAGCAGTTTACTCTGAAGTGCTGTTCATGGAAATAACAATTATAACCTTGTTCACTTTTAACGTACATGTAATGTATCTCCATGTGGAATATTTCAGGTGCAGTATTTGAGAAAAAAAAAAACTGCAAAATATAAAAAGTCTGATATTCATTTTTCATTCAACTCTACATATTTTCTTTAAGATGATGCTGTTTGTTGTCTTCCTTCTGATGTAAGTGGTCTTTGCCTATTGTCCCCAAGTTACATTGTGCTAAAGGGCCCATATCCCAGTTTTTTTCTTGTATTTGATTTTTTCCCTTGAGGTCCTCTTATAATGCTTTTTTGGGTTCATGTACAAAAAATGGTCACAATGAATTGTACGTGGCCATTTTCTGACTTCTCTTTATCCCTTAGAATTAAACAGATGGTTTTGTTACTGTGCCTTTGTTAATGCTCCACTTTGTATGTTTAGGGGATTTGGACACCTCACTGGTGGAAGTGTGTAATTGCATGCAACATGTGGAAGTTGTTGGTTGTGCTCTAGACCTCTTTTTTTTCCTGACTCAATAATGCTACTTCTTTCCATTTTAACACAAGAATCTTACATCGTGCTAAATTAAGATTTATCTGTGTAAATGAGGTCTGTTTCGACTGACTGCCCTGTTTTGTGCCTCATTCAAAAAGCACTCAGAGCTGAAACACTACTTTTAACTTCACCATGAATGGGTGGCGCTAAACAGCTGTAAGCTGAATAGGTGAATATATGCAAATCTGTTGGTTTTTGTGACATCACAGAAACAATAAATCCAAAATAAGATGTTTTTGTAGCATATTTTCTATATATGGACTGTAATGGCCTGGTGAGTAAATGGTATGAATTTTGAAACTTTAACAATGTTTACATACTATATCAAACTCCTTTATTCAAGAAAAGCAAGGGAAATTTGGTTTTCCATGAAATTTTAAAAAATGAAGGCATCGGTTCCTCAAACCCTGCTGCTTAGACTTTGGATTAGCTTGTTATTGTACAGCTGTTCCTAATGGCCAGCAGTGGACAAATTCTGCTACAGAAAGTAAAAGTTCCGCCAGGTTTTCCTTCCAGCTGTTTATATAGCCAGGTGAATTCAACCAATTAAAAAAAATAGCTTAACATTGCATTTATAGCTTATCACTTCGTAGTTACCCTAAAGCGATTAGCCAACCGCATACATCAGGCTTTGCACTGTTACTTTTAAATGTATTCACTAAGCCAGTAAAATCCACTCTAAGAAGGATTTAGTACAATCTGATAATCCACCTATACTGCACACCCAAAAGACCCTTATACATTAATAAAGTTGAGAGGGCAGAATGTATAGGCATTAGAATGTAAAACTTGCTTAGGTTCAAACAACAAAGCAACAAGATGATAAATTTATCAGGCACACATTTATGAAACATAAATACCGAGCTGTAATAGTGCTTCTGCAATACATCTTCAGATCACTGTACTAATCTTTGTCTCATATCTGAATGACTTAATCTAGAACTTACTTTGACATGGCTGCGGTTATTCAGTTGAGGGTTTCTACAGAGGAAAATAAAACAATGGTATTAGAGAACATGCATTGAGTAAAACAACATCCGTGCTAATACCTTGTTTTGAATTCTCAAAATTGCCTGAGAAAATGGCATTATAAGTAATGAGTTCTAATCTAGTGCAGCTAATCTGGGAAGAGGAGATTAACATTACGATTGACTGTCCACTAATCTTAGCCAAATGCTGCGTGCAGGATAAGCTCTTGCCAGTTGCTAATATGTCTGCTCCTAAAGTCAGGAGATGAGGCCCAGCTTTCTTAAGCAGTGAAGTGCTGACGCCACCTTGCAGTATTTCTGTGCAATTTCTGTGCAATTGGACCACAAGTCCACTAGCTCTTAAATAATTGTTGTTCTATATACATAACACTGAATGACACAAGGTAGCATTAAAAAAACAGTATGCTTTCTTGCACTGTAAAATAAAGGTTGTTATTGTTAATATTATGGTGAATTTGACATTGTATGTCAGAGTAGTTGAACTAGTGAAACTGTTGAACTATAGTATAAGGCAGTATTTCTAAGAAATTACTGCAATTTTAATGTAATTTTACTGATTTTTACCATCATTAAGAAAACATAATTAACAAGTTTTGCTATCATTGAATATTTATAACAGTGAATATTTTTTCTGTGATATATTTCTGAGCTAAACAGAGTATTAGTGAGAGTCTTTGAGCTAGCAGAGCGTTTCACTTTATGGCAGCTCGTAGTGGTGGGAGGTGAAACATTATATTATTGGTCAGTATTATTGTTCCTACCCACTGGTAGATGGTGAAGTAATGAAAAATCAGAGTTTTGTAGGTGGCGAAAGTCATTATAATCTGATGGAAGATTATGTGGAAAACAGCATTTTTATATGATTATTAATTGAGCTTAATATGACCAGTTATATGAACTAACAACATGCAAAAAAAAATAATTTTGATTTTAGGTTGACTTAAATGCAGAACATCTTTCTTTCAGATTTTTGTTTTACCAGTTACCATTTTCATTTAAATGTAATACTCTTTTCCATCTTGCATTTAAAATAGTACAGTTTGATTTATTTTCCCTTTACACTGTTAAATTCCACTAATTTTTCAGTTTTTGTCTGCGTAATCAAATCTTTAACATGTAAACAAAGTATTTTAGAGTGGATTGATGTGAAATGCTCCTTTCTAGAGAAACTTACAGAGTCAAATTAGTTCACAGTGGTAGTGATGGATGCCTCTAAAGCTACCTCACAGAAAGTTATTACATGGTTGGTTTAAATGGTTACAAATATGCTGCCTGATTTCTGAGACCTTACTTTATAATAACTTTTAATGGCTTAGATATAGTACAGGCCTTTGGGAAGTTCTGGCCTAAAACGCAGCAATTAGTCAAGTCAAAGTTTATTTCTATAGTGCTTTTTACAACAGGTGTTGTCACAAAGCAGCCTTACAGAAAAATTTGGGTCCAAGCACTCATGAGCAAGCCAGTGGTGACAGTGGCAAGGAAAAACTTTCTAAAAGCAAGAGGAAGAAACCTCAAGACTCAAAAGGGGAACCCACCCTCCTCTGGTCGACACCGGATAGCAGACAACAACAGCAGAGAATGAGGTTTGACCGTCAGTATAAGATACGGAAAAGGGGAAAAGCAGGAGAAGCAATAGCTATGATTAAAAAATGCAGCAGTATCATCAGGAGGGTCAGTGGCATGCAGGTGAGCTTTGCACAACATTAGAAAAAACAGTCTCCAAAGAATATACCACTATTTTACCATAATCAGCTTTGCATATACAAACTCAACGCCATGTGTAGGCACACTGTTTCAGATGGTAAATAAAATGGCTATATTTGTGTTGTAGACATCATCACCCCTGGTTCCTATTACTACCACTGTCAAGAAATCAGAGTTGGCAAGTTTGTCTACAGTGGACCATTTCACATCAAACCACAGGAGGTTTGAAATATTGATGGAATTACCCTTTAAATAACAGTCCAGAAAGTAATAAGTGAGTAAAATAATTCCACTGTCTAACTAAGCTAATTGTTACCTATTATGTATTCAGACCAAAGCAGTTTACATCCCTTCACTTCACTACTTTTATAAACTTACAATCATCTAGATATGAGTAATTTAAAACATCTGTGTCTACAAAACATTGCTGCTTGACAACAAGCTAAGAGTACAAACAGCAAATTTAGCCACATGTACATGTCCTCATTTATATCTGCTAAATGAAAACTTTCACTCTTCTTGCTCTTATCAGTTTATCTTGTACACAAATCCATGTCCACTTTATGTCGCTCTACTGTCCCTGTCATTTGCAGTAACTGTGTTAGAGAGAGAGCCTTGGTCCAGTTTGCTTTTACTTACCCGCTTTGGCTGTCTGTCTGCTCTTGTGCTTTGGCTGTAATCCGTCAGCCTGGTTGCTCTGAGAGTGCGTAAGTCACCTCCACTCCGGTCACCACCTGCCTTTATACTGCAAGCTCTCCTCCCTCCCGTCACTGTACACAGACCATTATTCAGAGAAGTGCCCTTTTTGGCGCCAATCCTATTACTTCATTTGTGTTTTTCTTTTTATGGCTACAACATGAATAAAAATAAGCATTATATTGCGCTTAAGGGGATTACATGTTTACATGCACAGTGTATTGGGATTACAAGCAGACTATATTGTACAAATGGCAGGGTGTCAGAAACGGGAATGTTTGGTTGGATTACATGGAATGAAATAATAAGGTCATGTCCCTTGTCAATCTACAGTGAGCTCCACCTCCTAGGCAAAGTGCCCAACTGTGGCCTTACTATAGGAGTCATGAAGTCTGGATAACTCTGCCAGCTGACTGTCTGACACTGGGCTTTCATTCCTGTCCTAAACACCAATGATATGTAATGTGCATCTGCTGCCATGGTAATAAAGGGCCCGAATATCTGCCATCAGCCTACTCTACTGAGAGCAGAAAATGCTCCAGTCTCAGATCTGCATCCACATGTCTTAAATTGTTATGAAAAGCTCTCTGGGGAAATTGACATTTGGAAACTTTTCCAAACTTTCTGCATAATTCAATAATTGAGATGTAAACAATTATTCAGAGTGGTTTAATGTAAAATAGTTAATTGTTGAGAAACTTACTGATTTTTTTTACAGTGGTGGTGATAGAAACCAGGGGTAGCAACATTTGCAACACAAATGTAGCCATTTTATCTATTACCTAAAACAACCAATAAACCTGGTTTTTATGTGTGATACTGATAATGATAAAATAACACCTTGCATCTACCCGAATGTTGTTCTGCGGTCCCTGTCAGTAAAGTGAATGGTGGAAAAAAATGTTTTAAGTCCAAACCTTCTCTTGGAACAGTTGTACAACACTGTCTCAGACATCGAGCAGTGCATTCATAACCATTTCATGTAATAGGTTTTGTGAGGCATTGAACTCTTCAGACGTCTGGTTCCTATCACCACCACTGTGAACAATTCTGACTTGGCAAGTGGCTCTAGAACGGTGCTTCTTTTAAACTTCTACACAGTTTTTCTCTATATGGAACTCCACAGGTCATGCATGTTTGATGATGATGCAGTTTTACCTTAAGTAAAATCTTTGAAGCTCCAAAAGCTAAAATCTAAATGCTAAAGGGGAAGGAAAATGCAGACTTATGCCCTCTGCTGTTTGCGTTCAAAATATTTTGAATGTTCATCTGAGAAGGGTCTAACAGCAGAGCTATGGTACCTGTCAGGCTTGGGCTGTCAGACCCACACTTTCAGCTCTGGATATGATGGCGTTACATAGTGGTCATACGGTAGACCCAGTAGGCAGTTAGTTATAATTTTCTGGTCTGTTATCTTGGGATCACAACTTAATTGTGTTGTGATCTCAAGATAAAGTTGTTTTCTTGATATCAACTTATTTTTCTCGTGATCTCGAGATTATCTTAAAGTTATCTTTATTTAAAAAATAAGACAAATAAAAAAAACAAGACAAATAAGTCAAGATAACTGTCCAGAAAATTAATTGTGTACATGTATATACCTACATAGCTAGATTCAGTTTCTCCTCTCTTGATGGCCCCTCTTCGATGAATAGTCTGTACAAAGAGTGAGTTGTCAGTTTTTTATTATTCATATTATTATTTTATTTTATTTTATTTTAAATTTTTCAATTGTTAATTATTTATAATAAAAGTAAAATAAAATCCTGAAACTGACTGAGACACATCTGTAAAATCTGATTGGAAACACATTTCAAATCACCTCCAAGTGTGGTTTGTATTCGATTTGCAAAATCAGATTTCAGGTGGTTTTTAGCTGTCCAGCTATCTGGATACAACCTGGAGATGCCAAAAAATCGGATTTGGGCTGGCAGTGTGAACATAGCCTGAAATCACTGAAAAAAGCTTGTAATAATGACATTACCCCACCTCCTCTTGTAAAACTAATCCTGTCTGAATAGGGCTTATGGCTCTCTCGTAGTTAGCGGCTCCCCACAGCAAAAACATATCTTCAGGGTAATTTGGTTTGCATTTCCAAACTAGTAAGCAAGGGATTCTTCTCTTTAAGGGTTCATTGTGCAGTGTTCCAAAAATGTTCAAGAAACTAGAAACTAACATTCTGTGTGTGTATTTGTGCGTGTGAAGCTTAACAAATTACAATCATGGTGTAGAATATTTTAAACAGACATGGAGTTGTTATTATTATTAATTTTTAGTCAGCCATGAATTCATGTGCTCATCATGTACTCACATCATTAATGTGAGTGACGGTTGACGTCATTTGTTTCCTGGTTCTAGGGGATAAGTAGGAGAGGATCATGCCCGGTGGATTTTCCTCTGGAAGCTGTCTCAGCAGATGGTCTACAGAGGGTTTAAAGTCTCTGTCCATATGGCATGTAGCCTTTCAGCACTGATCAAGATTCATTCATTCAATTTAATCAACTGTAAATAAATATAAATAAACTATAAAGTAGGAGAGGCTACAGAAAATGCAAGGAGATGTTAAAATTCCAATTTCTTAATTTTTCAAATTGTTAATTATTTGCTTTATTATTTTTAAGAAAAACCAAAACGCAAATAGTCATCAAATACTATGTATATTTCTGCTACTAGAATTTGAATGATTTGGAAAGTACTTGATTTCCACTTAAACCTGAATAAATCCCAAAAGACATCAATCACTTTTTTTAAACACTAAAAATAATTTAAAAATGATCAAGTGCAGTATATAAAAAGTTAGAAGCAAATCCATGTTTTAGCACATAAAAGTGACGTTATGTGAGAATGAGGTGTGGTTAGAACCCTGTTGGAAAGAGCACACAGTAATATTTTCAGGATTGTTACTGCATGAGCCCTTAGAGCATGCCCCTGTGCCCTATACCGTTGGGGCATAATTGTTGTGTGGTTGAAATTGGGCAAGAGGCTGCATGTGTGTGTGAATACTGCCACGTCTAAGTGGCACTCTAAGTGAACGAGCTCTTTAAACACACCTTATCTTACCCCTGATCCTTAGTGCTGGGTGCAGTGGTCATGGCCAGGTGCATGGAAAGGAGAGCAAAAGTTCCCATTAAACCTTCCTTTCTGTCAGTAATTCACTGTGACTCCATCTCTTGGAAAAACAAACAAACAAACAAAAAAACAGATGTCAGTTATGTCAGTGCCATGTATGTAGAAGTTCTTGGAATAACTGAAATTTGATGTGTGCATGCATGTGTGTCTGCATCTGTGTGTAGGAAAGCAAGCAGGTGGGGCATGGGGTTCAACAAAAAAGTTTGCTGTCAAAACAAAATAATATAATAATATATAATGATTACAAAATAAATTTTCATTATCATTATCATTATTGCCATTATAAGGGATGCACAAGTAAGCTGATGCTGATATTCAATATGTTTCATGTACATATGTGCTAGTAGTGGGTGTTAAACCGGTTCATCCTGTTCTCTTGTTAAAAAATTTCCTCAGGTATGAATTTTTTCATAACCATAATACCGGTATGCCATATATAACAGCAAATAACACAGCATACAGGCAGTGCAAAGTTTAGCATTATTTTCAGTGGGCCTGCAGGGCAAGTGTTAGAATGCAATATTGACATAGGTTTTAACTATATATTGTCCAGTTTTCTTTTTACTAGTTTGCAGAATAAAAATATTTAAATTTTTTATTTGGTTGTTAAAAATAGCTCTTATTAAAAAGTGATCCCACAATAATAAGCCAATGCTGACATACAAAAATAGGTTTACACAAGTATCTATAATGCCTTTATAATGCCTTTATAATGTAAAATTATATATATATATATATATATATATATATATATATATATATATATATATATATATAAATACACGTCATCAAATATAGGTTTGAAATATCAGTTGATCCTTTTTTAAAACAATTATCTGCCACTACCCAAATGATTCTAGTCATCATGTATTTAAGCTCAAGCATTTTCAAAACGACTAAAGATTTTGTGACAAGTACTTTTTTGTTTTCTTGTTATAGTAAGCAGATTTATTTCTTATTTATATTTACTATAGTTTTACTATAGATTTACTAGAAGTATCAGCCACACAGTTACGTCAACTCTTGGTCAAAAAAAGAGAAAACTTTAGCCACACATAGATTAGTCTTCCTTTTCTGTTTTCTCTTTGTAACGTCTCATTTTTTAATCTTTTTGGCGTTATTTTTTTAGCCTTTGCTTTGCTTCTCTAGCCTCTCTCTGAGCACTGTTCTGATACTTCCAGTGTTAAGAACATCCTCACGTTGATAACCTTTATTAATCATGAAGAAACTAAATCTAAAATATCATCAACTCATTTTGTTCTTTCCTTTGTTTTTAGTGTTTAACACCCACAGCTGTCGAAATGACTGCTTAAATGATCAAATGGGTTCTAACGGGAGCAGATGTCTAGAGACACCACAGAAAGTTTCATCACCCACTCATTGTGCATAAGACTGCTGGTGCTAGTCTCTTCTGGGGAAAGATTTAATCCTTGTCATGCCAGACAAGGCCTTTAGGCTACAGACACATGGTCAATCCCAGTTCTACTGGCACAGGCTTTATATCCTTACTGTCCCTCAGAAAAGTGATGTGGAGTAAGGGTCATAACCCAGTGATGAGTAGATTGCTATACTGTATGTAGGTACCTGGTGAATAGTGTTGTACTAACTAGGGGGATCATTGTCCTCAGATGGCCGAGGCAAGGGGCAACTGACAGTGAGAGTGTGAGAGGGTTCATGGTTGAGTAGTGTGTGAGTGTGCATGGGAGTTTGTGGGGTGGATTAGCTCTTCGGTCAGGGGTGAGCTATAATCCACTGCTGTGTTGTGTAAACACAGCCGCTCATGTAATTGGATGGACACTGTAGCAGTGCAGGGACAAGTCACAGGCATTGTGTTAGTCTAGACTGTGTCAGTACTCTGAGCCAGAGTTACATCAAAGGAAACTCAGTATGATTAGCCCAAATTATCCAAAGGCTGCCATATTTGTAAAGTGCTGCTCCACTAAATGGATTTACTATAGATTATTAACACAATGATATCCATTCTCGGGGACAGAAAATACAATCTGTGACATTTGATTTCCATTCAGAACAGCCATTAAGTACAAACTACTTATTTTTTGGAGAGATAAGACCTGATAGACTACCCAAACTGTCACCATCAGATTAACAGTAATTTCACCTTTGAGAAGTAGGAGATAATCAAGCTCCACTCTTTGCTTCAGATCTAAAAAATCCACAAGTGTTTCTGTTCATACTTTCACGGTGAGAAGACAATTCAATGCTATGGGTCTGAAAGGACGTGTAGCTGTCAAGAAATTGTTACTGAAATAGATCAACTAGAAGACAAATCGCAAACCAAGCAAAGAAGCCGCTGATATTCTCAGAACAATGGACTGGCCACCCCAGAGTCCAGATCTCCACATAATTGAAAGTGTTTTGGAATGCTTGAAACGCAAAAAACCAAAAAATGCTGAAAAATTTGATATTTGTTTTTTTCTGATACTGAAAAATGAATACTTAATCGCCATCCCCAGGGTGATCTCTGACTTTCGCACAGTACTGTATGGATATACTATGTATGTTTTTAGTCTTTATATTCATTTTCTATTATTCTCAGCATTAGCATCAAACTCAGGGAGTCACAAATTGGATCTCCTTCTAGTCTATTCTACATCCTAACGGAAGGGGGTGCTGTGAGGCCAAATAACTTGTACCCTCATCTGACCCTCTGTGGTGTGTTTCCACAACAGAGCAGACAGAACAGAAGACAGCATGCATCAGGCGGGGACTGGAGGTGGGTGCCTTTAGGGGCTCAAACCTCATTTCCTTCATCAAACTACTTAAGAGTGGAAAAAACAAGGACTTTTATAGGCTACAGACAATTAACAGAAGTTTGGGGTGGGGCAGAGAGTTTTATTTGTTTGTGTGCATGTGTATACTCATGCTCTTTGAGTTTTGCTTTGGTGGTCGAGGGCTAGGCAGAAGATTTTGCTGAGTAGCAAGAGACAGAGGAGCCATGCAGCTGGAGCAAGAGAGTTCCATACTGTGAGAGGAAGAAAGAAAGAAGAAAAAGAGGAGGAGGAGGAGCACAACTGTGGTAGGACGGAACAGAGGCGTGGAGAGAAAGAGAGAGAAGGGGGATGATCACATCCATATGGAGGAGGCTGCTCCCTTAACTTCCTGAGACAAACAGGCAGGGAGAGAGACACAACGAGGGAGAGAGACAAATGGCAAGCTAATAAAAACAGATAGAAAAACTGATTGTTATGCGCACAGGCATAAATTTATATTTAAAGATGAGTTAAATACAGTAGACCATCTGGCTTTGCCCCTCTTTGTACTCGAGAGTGCATACGAGGGGCTTTTCTGAGTTTTGGAAATGCATGAGAGTCTTCAGTGGGTTGGGCTTGGTTTCACACATCAGTGATGAAGTAAAGTCACTTAGAGGAATTCTCTCTAGACTTTTTTTTTTTGCTCTCATCTCTCTTCCTCCCTTACCATCTGGAGCAATGAAACACTTCCTTCTGCCCTGCGCTTGGTGGGGGCTGTTGGCTGTGGTCCCTTCGTGTCTGGGACAGCACCATTCTTTGGGGGGACATGAAAATGGGACTGTGCAGGGACAGACTGTTTTTGAAGCCCTGGCATGTCTACTCCACTGAAACAGTTTCTTGTTGGACCGCTGGCTGCATTTGACTGCTGGAGGAGGTTGCAGACATCAGCTGAACTTTTCTGAGGGGTGCATGCTCCCCCCCTTTTCCATATAAGGCTAAAATGACTGAGTGGAAAATCATTTGAATTTTGTGGTGGTTCTACTCCGCTGCTCTCTCAGATCTCAAACCAGCTCCTCTTTTTTTTAAAAAAGTCTGCTCTTGGTTCCTCTTCTTAGAAGAGTTTTCATTCTGGTCACTTGTGCTGGGGGACAATAGATGCTTTTGTTAATGTTAAAACGTGTGCATGAGTAGTGACTGCAGTGCTGTCTTTGCAGTGTCAGCTCTGCTCTGGAGGGACTCCTGTCTGAAGACTGCAGAAATGGGCTCTACTGGAATGTTGTCCTACATCTGAACAAGTGTCAAGCGTTATTCAGAAGTAAGCAGGCCCGGAGACACCCTCGGTACGGCACGCTGTCACGGGAAGGCAAGAGCAGTTTGCTGTGTAAACGCTGTGTTTGGATATTAAAAGGCGCTGGTGCTGAACGCTGCTGGTGCTTTTGGATCTGATATATCTGGAATGCTCTGAAGAGGGAGGAGATGTGACCCTGGAGGACTAACCTGAGCGTTTCAGGCCAGGGATAATGTGTAAAGTGTGTGAGCTAAGCTCTTCATACATCCTCCTCTTTGACACCTCTCCTTTGTCTTGGATTAACCTTTTGTACAACAACTGTTCTGTTCCGTGTTTTTTTTTTGTAAAAGCCACAGCATCTTTATTTTGTCCTTTTGGCAGCCTAGCTCTTAGTTCATGGGCTGAACAGCGGAATGGCTAAATGATTACAATTTGAGGACAGAAAACCAAGAGACAGAAATAACTACGACTGAAGGTCACAATGGCTAGTGGCTTGGTCATCATTTGGTGTGGCATCTACCGCTACATGCGCTGGTCACTCTTCTAGTTTGTATCTTGGTTGTTGTGGCCACCTAAATAGTTTGTCTTGATTATCTGTTGTTGGAGGCTAGACACAAGGACTTGCAAGTGGCTGTGCCTCGTCGACATGGCAACGGCAGCATGGTATCACCGGGATATCAGCCGGGTGCTGGCTGAGGAGCTGCTGGCTCGGGCCGGGCGGGACGGGAGCTTCCTGGTGCGGGACAGCGAGTCAGTTCCTGGCGCCTATGCGCTCTGTGTGCTGTGAGTAATGCCCAACACCCTATCCACAGACGCAGGCACATACAGATACACTCATAACTTTAAGCACACCATCGGCAGCCCTTGGTTCACTGCGCTGATGATATGATGAATCGCATAGGCTTGTAAGTGCTCATTTGGACTGTAGTGTTCAATTGATGACTGATGCTGAGCATTACAGAGTAGTCACAAAATGAAATTTGATTGCACTTGTACAGTACTATGCAAAGAGACCGCGTTTTATTTATTTAATTTCCAGTGAAAAAGGACATACAAATTATTCACTGTTTTAGGATATAAGATAATCCACTTGTGTAAAGAAGGGGAAAGTCAAAGAAAAATAAGTAAAGAAACAGCATAGTTAGAGCACAGTTTGGTGAACATCCTGCTCAAACACACCTGATCCAACTCTGCAGTTAGTTACAGTGTTAAGCTGTGTTTGAGTTTGGAGCTCACCAAACTCTGCAGGTCTCTGTCCCTCCAGAATTGACGACCCCCATATTCTCCTGCATCCTTGCTGTCTCCACTCTGTATCTCTGATTGAAAGCTGATTTTATCACCAATGCTCCAGTGCAGTAGCTACCTTACCAGATTGTGGCTCTATGGGGTTTTACTTTGGAAATTACCTTTACCTCACAGAGGCAGGATGTGACTCTCGCGCTCAGTATGTGCTTGCATTCAGCAAACCCACATGGCTGTTCTTAGGAGTCGTTTTTCTGAGAGCAGGAGTGTGTCACCACACCCATTGTTTATTGGCAGCTTTCCTCTATGATGTCCATTTAAAATGTCTGTTTAATTTTACACGCAAATGCCACTTACCCAAAAACAGATTGTACTAACTACTGTACGGCCTAATCAATCAGCAATCTGAGATTTAGCTTGTGTCAGAGAGATTGTTGTCCGCCTCCCACATCAGATTTCTACAGAGCCCTGCCAGTGAGGTTGTGGTAGTTCAACATTGGGCACTAACCCTGGTCCTGGATTACCTCTGCCCTGTAGATTTTGATGTATCTCCTGACCTACTCTCTTAAAAATAAAGGTGCTTAAAAGGGTTCTTTGGCATGATAATGTAGAACGGCTGCTTTTTCTCTTTTTAAGGAACCTTTGAATGAATGACTCTGTAAAGACCGGCCTACACACATGCTTTCTAAATGATTAACCTTTCTTGGATGGCTTATTATGAATTTGTAGTTTGGCATTCATTCAAATGTGTTACCATAATGCAGATTTTTCCACTGAAAAGATGAAACTGTTTGGATGACTGGGGACATGTGGGCGGTTTCAGTTTTTATAGTCTTTTGTATTCATTCATTCAGTGTAAAGATTTAGAGATGCTTCTATGACTTTCTTTTTGGTTTAAAATACAACTTTAGGGTTAGTTTAAATGTTTTTGTAAATTAAATAGCCACATATTATAGATTCTATCTATTAAGGTCTGTTTGCCTAAGTATTTAGATAACTTGTAAAACTGTACATCCAAGCCAAAACATTTAGGAACTTTTAACCTTTTTAAGAGTAGAAGACACCTGATCCAACCAAACAGGTAAATAACCCTTTTAGGTAGAAAAAAGTGCTCAATGCCATTGTTGTTGTTTTTATTTATGGTTGAAATTATTCTTGTATTCATTGGATTGTTGATAAGTAAAGAACAGAATTCCTTTCTCACAATGTATGCACACTTGCTCAAAAACTTTCACAGTGCATCCAACAATAAAGGCACATTTGAGCTTTCTTTGGTACAATGATAGAAGGCTTGGTAGTACATGAAAACCAAAGCTAAACGATACTGTTTATCTGACTCACCTGTTGGCTAGTTAACTAGATAAAACTCAAAATGTAGCTAAGGCCTGTCCGCCACATTAACCGTTATCCATACGTCATGTGAAGGAAGTGAAAGTCGGCGCTATACTATGTGTGTGCGTGTTTGACTTAGCTTGAGGAGCCACAGAAAGAGGTCAGCTTATTCGCCTATTCTGTCCCAGCGGCTATTATTCCAGGTCGACAACTTGGGCCAGCACCGACATTGTCGCCACTAGTTCAGGTAGTTCAGTTTTGTTTTGTTGGTAGGGAAGAAAGAAAACCTGAAAACACCATGCTTGGGGTGGGTGGACTCACAAAAATGGCGCAGAATGTAGCCAGTGTGCCTCTGAGCATGCTGAAGTGTTTTTTCGTGATTCAAAGGTGAAACATTTCTTTAGTCACAGGTAAGTAACATCATCTGAGCTCCCTTTGGAAAATCTGTGGCTGTCCCAAACCATGTGACCTAACTCTCCTGATGTTGATAGCACACAGAAAGTTCCAATTGCATATGCTAAAAAACTTTGCATGCCCAGCATGGTCATGCACATGCTCTGGCAGCAGTGTTTAATGGGTTAAAAGGCTCAAGTACTCTGATTATATTGCTGGTGAAATGTGAAATTTGATGGTGTTAAAGTCCTTCCTGAGTTGAAGTTGAAGTGGATGTGGTAGAGCAGGGAAATACTCACACACACCAGTCAGGGTTCTCCAGGGACCAGTACTGGGAACCATGCAGTTTTAGATGGCTGTCACTTTTCAGATGAAACAGTGAAGTGCTGGTGCCAGAAGAAGCCCTCCTTGGCTCTCACTAGGTCAGAAAGTTTCAGGCCCCAGGCGCCCCCTTCTTCCCTGTGAATACTGGGAGTGTGAGTGAGCTCCAGTGACCGTGCAGCTCTCTCCCTCACTTCCCTCCCTGCCGGCAACATTCCTGAAGGCTGAGCCCTCTAGCTCTCACTGCTTTTCTGCTCTCCCTCCACTTTCATTCTCTCTCTGTCTCTCTCTCACTCTCTTTCGCGCTCTCTCTCATTCTGTTAACATCGCTTTTTTCACTGTCACCTTACAGTATTCATCTCCTTTTTTGTCTGGTTTTCTTTATTCATTCAGTGTAAAATCTTTACAGCAGCTTGTTGATGGCTAGCGTGTGTAGCCAGCAGGAATGGCTGAACGGCAACAATTTTCTGGCTTGTCTGCACTGTTATGAAAACTGAAAAACAAGAGACAGAAATAACTGGATGGAAGATGAACATGGTTACAGTGGTTAGTAACTGGGTCACTGTGTGGTGTGGCATCAACCACAACATATACTGGTCACTATGCTAGTTTGTACCTGGGTCACTGTGGCCACCTAAATAAGCAGAAAAATTCCCAATGAACAAGAACACCCATACATAGCTTTAGAGTTTGAGTTATCTTCTCTTTTATTTGTCTGTGGACTTTGTGGTAACGCTGTTTATCATGTAGTTTCTCTTCCCCATGATGTTAACCAGAACTTCTGTCCTGTTTGTAGGTTCCAGCGTCATGTTCACACTTACCGCATACTTCCTGATGCAGATGGAGTACTAGCTGTCCAGGTGAGAGCACACAAATGTTAGCAACTGATAATGCTGCCACAGTCATTAGTACCTGTTAGGACAAAACCCTAAATACACCATTACACTGACTGCCTGCTTTACAGCAAGTTTAAAGGCAACACTACATACGTTTACAAATTTTTGCTGGAAACATACATTTGTGAACAACTTGGATAATAACATTTTTGTAATGTCAGTTGTGATGTGTTCCTTCAAGTGGATTGATCTGGGCAACTGGGGTTGTTAACCTAAAATGTCCTGCATGTTTAACAAGGTGACTTACCGTGGTGTGTGAGAAATCTAGCCCTCACTGGTATAGCAGTGGCATTCCTGCCTTTTAGATAGGGCTGCAACTAACAGGCGTTATCTTTAACGTTGATAATTTGAAAATCATTGGCAGGAAACCTTACTGTGCATTAGTTGTCATGTTGACAGTTTACATCACTTGAATGAAAAGAATACGGTAACACTTTAACATCATCTAAAAAGACAATTTCCTGTAAGATGTGTAAAGCTGAGCTCACCTTTGATGGCAGCACGGCTGTCAAGCATGAGGATAAAGAAAGCATGGGGATAGAGAAACACACTTGCAGCTCAGCATGGTGAGTAAACCATAGTAAAACTGTAGCCAAAAGTTAAAAACAGCGTGTCATTGTCTGTCTTTCAAGTGATCTCTGAATAAACACAGCTGAAGGAGTGAGCTGCATTTACATCTAAACTATGTGGCTAAATTATACTTATTTGTTAATAGTGCCCTAATGCACACAGACCTGCTTGTCTGCAGATATGGATATTTTTTGAAAGTGTACTTTCTCTTGTGTCTTTCTTTTTTTTGGCTTCCTCCCTGCACAAAAACAGTATTTTAGGTCTTTTGGGTGGGAACCCTTTCTTTTTCTTCTGTTTTCTGTGTTTTCATGTGGACAGATGATTAAAAATGCTGACATCACATGCATGTTTACTGCTGTACTACTGACCACACAAACTAATCAGTTTGCCTTTGCTTTATCATTAGAGGACAAATAATTTTAATTCTTGTGGAATCAAACTACCTCCTTAATAGTGCTTAGACTGCCATGTAAGATTTATGCATGCATTGCTCCTTAGTTGCTTCTGCACCTTTTACATTTAGTAAAATAGTGTGGGCAACGTAGAAGGCATCTTGTGCTGCTGTTGAGCTTGTTATAAATATGATTTGGTGGAAAGGGTTGGTGTTATGTTCGAAAAAAGATTGTGCATTATGTCCATAATGAACTGACTAGTCGATTATGGAAATCATTGTTAGTTGCAGCCCTAAATTTAGGCTTTATAAGGTGACTCACAGGAGGTAGAGGACACTGACTCTGAAATGTTTTAGTTTTAACAACAAAAAAACGTGCATTTTTAACAATAAACTTCCTTTATGTTCTCATTCCGCCTTATCTTTTTGAGTGCCTGCAAACACTACAGTTTTGCTATGGTTTACCCTAGCTTGTACTCACAGGTCGAATACAAGTCTGCTTGTGGTTCGTAAGATCAGACTAACATGGTTAAAAGCCATATCTTTCAGTGTTTGTCCTTCTGACTTTAAAATGCCATCCTTCAGTATCAATGTGACTGTTCCTCTTTCTCTGTGATAACTTACATTTTCACTTCTAAAACTTTTATTACCTCTCAACTCCTCTTCCTTTTAACTCTTTTTTCTCTTGCAACTGTAAAGCATCCTTGAGTGAGACAGGTGCTTTGTAAATAATCAAAGTTGAACTCATTCAGACTCAAACTAATGTCAGGATATGTGTCTTTTCACTTGAAGTACACTGAATTTCCGTTATGGAGATACTGAGGGTTTTGAGTTTTGTTATTTGCATAACCGTGACCTTTATAGCTGCTTTCAATTCTTTAAGCAGTAAGAACTCAACAGGGCAAGAGGAACAGTGCCATTCTTGTGCTCACAGCGTGTTCTGGTTTTGTTACAATGGCAGCAGCAGTACTTGTTGTTGTGTGTAGCTCCATGTGGCAGCATGTTTGCAGAATGACCTCAGTAGCTCTCTGAGTAAATGATGTGTTTCGCACAGATTCCTCCAACACCCACTCGTAGTATCCAGCACTGAATAGCTGGAATAGCCACTTTGCATGTGTATGTGTGCTCATGCATAATGTACAGTCAGTATATAGTAATATGTGTAAGTTTTGCAGATGTTGCTTTAATGCAGGGTGCTAGTGCTGTTGACTGGAGTGGCATTTGGCTGCTGTTGCTTATTAGAGGCACACAGGCACAACAGTCACGGGAATAAAACACACCACAAACCAATGAGAGCATTTCTGAATTTAATCTAACACAGGCACATGTGCACACATACATACAAACACACGCACATTCTCATTTTCTATCATCATTGTTTCATGCTTGGTTCTGTCTGTGAAAGTAAGAATAGGAGCTGGCTTGTCTGTTCGTTTGCCTGAAGAGGCAGACATTTTCCGAATATCCAACCTCTCCCACTGCTTCTTTCTTTCCTTTTAATCGTTTTTCAAGACAGCTCTTTTCTCCCAGTCTGGAGGAAAAATGCTACTATTTGAAGATTTTTTTTGGCAACTAATGTGCACTGAATCTGCCAGAATGGTTTTCTTCTACCATGCTAAAAGAATCTTTTTGCCATTCCGGAAACTACATGTTTTATTTGCAGTGCTGCTTCACTGTGTTGCTTGATCCTGCAAATTTTTCTGTGTGTGTGTTTAGAATATTCATATGTGTGTGTGCAGAGACATATAGACACTCTACCAGACAGTGTGACTTACTGCCAGGTAGAAAATATTTGTTCAAGCATGCTGGAAGTTGCTGAAATAGGGGCCCCATGACATCATGCTGTAGTGTAGTTGTAATAACAGGTCTACTACACTATATGCCAAAAAGTATCCGGACACTCCTTCTAATTAGTGATTTCAGCTACTTTAAGGTGCACCCTTTGCTGACACAGGTGTACAGTTGCACACACAACTTGTATAATCTCCATAGAAAAGTATTGTCAATAGAACGTGATACTCTTTAGCAGTCGCTCAATGCCAGATATCGCATGGAAGGGTAATAACTTCAATCAGGCCTAAGATTTTGGTCTGAATCTAAATACAACCTGAGAGATTTCTATCTAAACCCAACACAAACCGGACACGTCAAGTTTTGAGCCCAAACCCAACCCCTGCCTGATAAAAGTGTACCCAAACATGACCCAACAAGCTTTGAGTCCAGAACTCATCAACCAAAATGCTGATAGCCGCAATTACGGCGTAGAATGATAATATCAGTAATATCCATTTTTAGATTGCAGATAAATAAAATAAAATCTAAAAGTACACTTTAAATTCAGATTGAATTACTGTATTATTCCAGCAATGATTTCAAAACACCCCAATTTTTTTTGATAATGAGTTGTTCTCATGGTGTGTGGTGCTGATAAAGCAATTTGTTAGCCAGTATAAAGTTCGACTTCTTGACAAAAAACAATGTGTAAAATATTAAAAATACACTATTAAAAATTTTATATTTTTGGTCAGACAAAATAAGTATGAACTTCTTTTTGGCTACACTAAACTTTATTTGCCTGAATCAATTTGCTGTTTTGTTCTCAATGAATCCGTGCAACAAGCATGGGCCTTTTGGAACTTTGTGCAATTGTGTGGCTTAGTGAGTGATTTGAATAGGCCAGATAATAATTGTTTTAAAGTAATGAAAGTAGGAAGAATAAAGTAAGGGAAAAACTAAGCTGGGGGAAATACAGGGTAAAATCAGTCAAAAGTGAGAAGTGGGCTGCGAGAACCCAAACATGAAATTTGAACCTGACCTGAACCTGACATGTTTGAGAAATAACATCCAAACCATCAATCATATCCATTTGAGTTTGAACAAATCTGAACTTAAAACTCTACGAGGTGCATATTGTTTCCCAGCATTTGGCTGTAGAGCAGTGCAACTGGATTCTCTGGAGTGATAGAACACCATTCAGTATCTTTTGGAGTTGGAGTGCTGTTTGTGAGCCAGAACTAATCACCCAAAATTAGTACCTGACCTTACTAATGCTCTTGTGGCTGTATGTAATCAGATCCTCACAGCAGTGTTTCAACATCTAATGTAAACTATTAATACCTTTGATGCTGAAAGAAACTTCGGATAAGCAGGTGCCTACAGATTTTGGGGTATATAGTGTGCCTTTAAGGTTTTGAAGAACTGTCTTGGTAGTAAAATAGTATTTTTTCCTTGTTTCTTAATGTATTGTTTAAATACAGTATGTGAGAAATCTTGACAAGTGTAAGAAAATATGATTTCAGTTGCTTCATTTGAAAATAATTTTGAGAGATCACATAAGATCACATCCAGTGACCCTGACCTTTACAGAAAGTTCATATGAGTTACAATGCAACTAACCTTCAGGGTCTTTTCATTGTTACTCATGAACGAAATGCTTCAGACATTCCTGAGAGTACAGGCAAAGAATACAGAGAGCTGAGCTGTTGCTTAATTCAGATCTCTTTGAACATTGAACATTTGGCAGTTTTGCCAGCATAAATACCAGCTCAGTGGCTTTTTCCGGAGGTTACTTTAGAACTTTGGTCAGTAACTTGAATTAAGTTAAAGTAGGAAGAAGTCAGTATAGAATCTAACTGTAAGAGTTAGAAAGGTCATTTTAAAAATGTATGCATTCTGGTACAGGTTGCTAATTTTCTGTACAGGATAAGTAACATAATCCAGAGGATTACTATTTTAAAGTAACATAACCTGATTACTTTCTATAGCTTTCTAATCTATAGTGCTGTTCTGCTGGTGACCCAGTGCCGCTTCTAGACTGACCATAGTTAGACAGCAAAATGACAAATTTCCCTTGCAAGATCAATAAAGAAGTTTGTACAGTATAAGTTTTGTATGTTACCATTCTGTAGGCAAGCTGGTAGTATGTTCAATCACATATGCCAAAAACACTGTCTTAAAGCTCTCCACAAGGAGATGCAATTAGCACTGAAGTAGGTTTTATGTGCATTGCATTGCGCGTGCAACTCGGGGGCAGAAAGCAACAGAAAGCAGCACTCTTCACGGCATAAAGCTATAATGACAAGGAGCTGTTGTGCAGTAAACTGCACCAACTGCAGAAAAGATGGTTGGAGAATGTTTAATATGCTGAGGGGGTCGCTTTTCTTTGCCAGACACCACAGAAGATTGTGGATTATGGTTCCAGGCCATCTTAAGGGTGGATTGGGGTCCTGATGGTCCAAAAGGCAGTGAAAGTCTGTGCAGCGCCCACTTCATATCCGAATACTGGTAGCATTTTCTGATACAGTGATTTAGACAAGGCTGAAGTCAGCTTCCTATCGCCAACTTGAATTTTCCCATTCTGCCTTAAGTGGTGCCTCAGTGGTCAGTAGCCCGAGGCACCAGGATGTGACTGTTGCACCATTTAAGATGGAACAGAAAAATGTGTGATTGTGTGATTTAAGTTATCAAAATATTCTTCCTGCAGTTTTATGTAGAGTACAATTCGTCAGAACACTGGTAAGTTTCTGTTTGCTAACATTAGCTAGTTAGGTAGCTGATGTGTAAGTTAGCACTGTGTGTGATTCATGTCATTGATAGCTAAACATAATAATATTGGTTTTGTTCAGTAGTCAAACTAACTGGCCAACTAAATTGTCTGTTTATCCTTAGCAACGCTAACAGTACCACCATGCTCCTGATATTGTCAAACAAGGAGAGGATAGACAGGTTCAACAAACAACTAAACCAAGTTACGTTGGGCCAAATTCATAAGATAGGTCAGCAAGCAAGGTTTTTGTGATTTTAATAGCTCCTATTAGCTAAATGTTTAGTGAATAGCAAACTTACTGCGGTATTCATGGAGACCCAATGACTAGCTGATACTGACAGTCAACTATTGTTGGTTAACGTGTTACATTAATATGCGAATGAATGACAAACAGATTTAGGTCAAAAATGGCATTTTTTATATGAGTCAACAAAAATTTACAAGCTTTTCTAGCACTGTTATACAATGGATCCTCTTCAGTGCTTACTCATGCACAACCCAGGCGGGCATAATAAATTGCACTGACATCACGGCTTACTGACGTAAGCAATACAGTGCATTTAAATCTTACTTTTAAAATCATTACGTTAACATTTACATAATCCAGTGGTAAAAAGTGCTGTTAATATAATCATGCTAGTAATCACCCTTCATTACAAATATTTCATTACAAACATTTATGCTGCATCGACTTACCTCTCGTAGCTGTTTACGTCATTTTTTAAATAGTTTTGCATTTTTTGGCAGGAACACAAGGTACACAATTCCTTTAAATGCTCAGAAACAAGGAGTGCATTTGTTGGTTGTACTGAAATGATTCCTCAAAGCAGAACAGTGATGTAGAGGATGAGAAATGTCACCTACCTTGGCTGCATCCTTGGCTTTAAGAAAAAGTTGAAAGATAGGCTTAAATTTGCAGTATTTACTGAAGGATTCTGTAATGTACATAACATACAAGTATATATAACTATCTGTATTCAAGCCACAGCTGCCATAAGTAATAATTAACCCAGTGTGGAAAAGAGAATGTACACAAGCGTTAGCTTAACCCCAAAATAACTTTAAAAATTCCATAGACACACTAGTGGAAATAAGTATTACAGTAACTGTGATAACCGAACAAAGGCTGCTTCCAAAGTGAAGGTTTATGGAAATGGCCACAGGCAAGTAAATCACCTGGTGTACTATGAAAAAAGTGGTTTTAACGTAATCATGCTAGTAATCACCCTATTTGCGCAATGTATCTGTGGTCAGCTTATTGAATTTTCTCTATCTGTAATGAAATACAGTTGTCTTTTTTGTATCCTGAAGGTGTAACAGCGTTACATGCCTTCTGTTACTTCCAAACTCTGATAACCATATGTTTATGTTCACATTTTTTAGGGGGAAACATGTCTTTGTTTGTGTACATTTGTGCTTTTTGTCATTGTGAGTCTTGACTGTGTATTTGTGTGCATGGGTGTGTTTGTGTTCATGCATGGGGAGTGGAATAACAAAACTAAACTGCTGAAAAAACCACATATTCTTTGGTAGCTAATGTGTTTTGCTAAAAATTTCACATGCACATTTGTGGACTTCATCAGTTTGATTTTGTTACTTCCACCTCTCATATTTTTACACTTCTGTTTGATTGTTATTAGACCACGCAAGGAGTGCAGGTGAACTGTTTCCGTACACTTGGTGATTTAGTTTTGGCGTACCAGCAACCACATAAAGGCCTGGTGACCCCATTGCTTTACCCAGTGGGCCGAGAGACAGACCCAGCTGACGAGAGCTCTGGTAAGACACACACTCTCACACCAGTGTTCATTTTCTTTTTGATATAGTTGTAGTTTTATCCTTTTGATGAAATGTCTTTTAAAATTTTGTCTATTTTTAGTCATATTGTTTTGGTAAATTTCACTCTGGCTAAAATGGCTAATCAAAATATTGGACTGTATGTGAGCTTACTGTAATATTTTTTCCCCTGTTGTGGCAATGAGAAACTAACCATGCTTTATCTACTTCATACTACATATGTGTTTACACATTCTATGTGAAATGTTTTAATATGATAGACCTATCATAGGTACATTACCAAATGAATGAATGCGTCTTGGACCTATTGTAATTTTGAATGCATTTTCACACTCATTATAAGCCTAAATGATAAGAATCTTTGGCAGATATATGTAAGTGGATTTTGCTCCAAGACATGTGACATCACAGAAACAGTGAAATCAAAATGGGCTGTTTTTGGAGCTTAGTTTTCAAATATGGACTGCATGGACAGTCTTGACCGATCATGACAAAAACAGGGTAAAATTACAGAGTGTAGTCCATCTGTTTCTCTGCATACTGTGTTAGCCCCCTTTTACCCTGTTCTTCAATGGTCAGGCAGGTATTATTTGGGCGGATCTTTCTTAGCACTGCAGTGACACTGATGCGGTGGTGATGTGTTAATGTGTGCTGTGCTGGTATGAGTGGATCAGACACAGCACCTCAGTGTCACTGCTGGACTCATGGAATAATCCACCAACCAAAAATATTCAGCCAACGGAGTCCTGTGGTCAGCATAATGTGACCACTGATGAAAGACTAGAAGATGAGTAACACAAACTGTGCAACAACAGATGAGCTGTTGTCTCTGACTTTGCATCTACAAGGTGGACCAAAATAGTAGATGTGTCTACTAGAATGGACAGTAAGTGTTTAAAAACTGCAGTAAAACTGCTGTGCCTGATCCACTCATACCAGTGCAACACACACTAACACACCACCAGCACCACATCAGTGTTGCTGCAGTGCTGAGAATACTCTGCCACCCAAATAATACCTACTGTGTTTGTTGTATGGGGGTCCTGATTATTGAAGAACAGAGTAAAAGGGGGCTAACCACAAATTATGCAGAGAAACAGATGGACTACAGTCTGTAATTGTAGAACTACAAAATATACCTAAATGGTGAGTGGAGCTGATAAAATGGACAATGAGGGTAGATATAAGGATATGTTATATATATATATATAATTATATGTATATTTAATACTAGTGTTTATTCAATGATACCATTAAATAAAGTAAAAGAATAAGCCAAAGTCACTTTTTCACTGTTAAAGTCACTTCCAAAAAGAAAAGACTTAAGAGTCATATTTACATGCTCCAAAATGCTTCTTTACATTTGCAAGGCCAGAGTTGTTGCATCTGGAAAAAGGATTTACAAATCCGTCATTGTGGCTTTTTTAATGTGTATGTTGAAGATGGAGATGATGAGAAGCCGGCTCAGGGGTCAGCAGCATGGAACAAACCCGTCTCTCCTCCTGCAGCTTCAGTGCCCTCTGCAGGCCAGTCACCTCCTGCACCCCAAACAGGAATGCCTCAGTTATTGCTGCAGAGACTGCAGGATATCACTACCCCCAGGTGACCTCGCCCACCTTCCATACCTTACATTACAGAGTCAGTCAAGGACATTTGTTTACTTTGTCTTCTGCCTTGTCTTGGTACAGACACAGCATTGATTTTGTGATAATAGTATCACTTAGACATGTTATGTGACTAATGTGGATTGGAGTTTTATGAAGGATAGAGTTTGTTTCAAGTCCAGCTCTGTCAATCAAATAATGTAGAGGTCTATGGAATGATGTTGTGTTGTCTTTAAATCTATCTTTGTACACCTATTTAGACACACTAATTCTTATGTCAGTATTTAAAGTACAGAATGAGTCAGTCAAGTGCATAGTTCTGCCTTGCTTCTAAATCATGGCCTTGGTTTAGAATCTTTAGCATGTCTTTACTGCAGAAAAATAATTATATGCTCACTCGAAACTTTCCTCATAAAAGCTTAAATATCTCATCACTATCTGATTAAAGTCAGTATGTGATTAAAGTTTTCCAACATGTCTGGCATGCTTAAATCAAAATTTACAATATACTTTTCAATAAAGTACAAAATTAGACAGCCAAGTTTACAAAAAAAAGGTAAAATTTTGCCTATTTATCATACTATATGGTTTCAGATCCTCATACAAAATGTAATATAAGAGAACATGAGGAAACACAAAACACAGTTTTTAAAGGATCATTTCTTTTGAGCCATTTAGAGGTGGACTTTCTGATCGTTGTCTTACTGCATTACCCAACTGCACTTGAGCTTCAGATCATGCAATTCCTGACAAATTTTTTCTGGCTTTGGTTTACATGAACATGCCTCCCATTTGTTTTTTTTTTTTACATGCTTTCTGTGTTCTTTGGTTTTGAACACAGAAAGCATAATACATGCTTCCGTCAATAATGGCAAGTCACCCTGAAGCAGCAAAGCTTCCCCGCACCATTGTTGTACCACCAAAATGTTTGTCTGTTGGTATGGAGTTCTTATTGTGGAATGCTGTGTTAGCTTCATGCCAAATGTTACAGGTCCATGTCTTCCAAAGAAGTTCCACTTTTGACTCATCAGTCCACAGAACATTCCAAAAGGCTTGGGGGTCATCAGGCTGTTTGCAAATGTGAGGCAAACGTTTATGTTCCTCTTGGTTACCAGTGGTTTTTGCCTTCTTGCTCTTCCATGAATACTTTTTTTGCCCAGTCTCTTTCTAATAGTGAAATCATGAATGCTGACCTTATCTGAGGTGAGCGAGGCCTGCAGCTATTTAGATGTTTGTGTGGGTTATTTTTTGAGCTCTCGGAGATATTTTGGTAGGCTGACTACTTCTTGGAAAGTTCATCACTGTTCCAAGTCCTAGGAAACATTTGGAAATATTGACTCTCACTGTGGTTCACTGGAGTCCCATAGCTTTAGAAATGGCTTTGTAACTCTTTCCAGACTGATATATTTCAGTTACTTTCTTTCTCATATCTTCTGGAATTTATTTGGATTGTGACATAGTGTGCTGCTTGTTGAAACTTTTTAGCCCACTTCATATTTCTGAAAAGGTTTTGTTTGAGTGATGTTTAGATTTAACAGGGATGGCAGTAATGAGACTTTAGTGTATTCATTTTAATTGATTACTATTTTCAACTAAATTTGGTTAATTGGGGATCGATAACTAAGCAAACAATACATTTTTTATACACAGGATCAGTTGGTATTGAGTAACTTTTTCTTCAATAAATGAAACAGTCATTTAAAACTGTATTTTGTGTTCACTCTAGTTGTCTTTGTCTTATATTAAATATTGTTGGAAGATCTGAAAGTGTGGCAAATATGCAAAAATAGAAGAAATCTGGAGGGAAAAAATACTTTTTCATGGTTATGTATATTTTGTCCAGAAACGTGAGCTTGGTTCAGTATCTTTTAAAACATACTCAATTTATGGATTTGCCTGAAGCCATTTTATTTTTACTAGAAGCATTGTTTGAAACAGTAACCATGGCCTTTTTATATTTAACTGAATCTGGAGTGTTGAGCATTAAAGCATTAGTAGCAGCAATGTGGAGGACTGTTGCCTCGTCTAAGCACCAATATTGTTAATCAGTTTCTGGTGAGGCACTGTTAGATATGATGGAACTGACAGCTGTATAATTATAATCTTTTATGTAACAGTGTGGCATCTGAAATGGTGGCTCTGCTGAGTGAGTATTTACGTGGTGATGTGGCTCTGGATCTGGAGAGTTTGAGAAAAGGAGGCTCAGGACTGCACTTCCTTCAGCGAATCCTCTCCACAGCCTGCCACAGGCTGCACAGGTACCACACCAGAGACTGCTTATGCACACAGCCACTGTATTCTCTCAGCATGCAGGCATAGCATAGAAAATGACACTTTAAAATGAAAAAATATTGAAGTTTATTTAGCTGTACTGAGGAAAATGTTAATGTTTGATGTTGCCACCTGCAGTGAGATTGATCATACAATGTCCAGTTTGGAGACTCTGGCTAAAGTCTTTGATCATCCCAGTTGCCCCCTGACCTGTCCTAAGATCCAGGTAAGGCCTATTACTTACAAATCTGAAAGATGGTAATTTAGACTTAGATTTGAAACTGTGTAGGGACTGTGCTTCAGATTTAGCAGGCTACGTGCAGTAAGAGGGGAAAAAGGGAAATTGTCCGTATTTTGCAAAATAACTTGAGATGTAAGTGAAGTCATACAAAAAGGTCTGATCATTTTTTTACAGTGGTGGGGATAGAAACAAGAGGTCGCAATGTCTACAGTGTTTTATTTACCATCCAAAATAACCTGTGAATCTACATCTGTCTTCTGAGTTTTTATATGCTGATGACGCATTTACCTCTCCACCATGAATGTATGTTAAAAATATACATTTCAGGTCAAAAACCTGTCTCAAAACTACTGTAAATCAATCATGTAGCATATCCATAATGTAGTTCTAATGTAGCATCTGTCTATGAGGGAGATTTTAGAGGCACTAAACACTTCAGATGTCTGTTTCCCATCTGTGAACAGCTGTGACTCAGTAAGTTTCTCTAGAATGACGCATTTCACATCAAACCACTCTGAATGACTTTGTTTACATCTTAATTTAGCAGAAATTCCAAAAATTTCCTGTTTAAGAAGAATGTGACAAACTCAAGAAATTGCCCCCTCTGGTGGTTCACATGGGTATTAAATTCTCATTCATAAAGTTTAAGACAGGGGTTTTCAGCACTAGGACTGCAATAATCCTGCCCTTCACATTTTAGCATTTTCTTCGCTCCAACACAGCGACGTCCACATAGGAAGAGCTTGTTAATGAGCTGATTAGTTAGATCAGTGGTCACTTGTGTAAAACACCTTTAATAAATTTTGACCTTAGGTTTTGTCTTTCACTTTAAGTGAGCTGAAATGTTGAAGTGGAAAGTGAAAAATGTTTAATTTTTTAGTTTTTGTTGTAAATTGAGTTTTAGACCCTAACTCTAAGATTCAGCAGATCAACAAATCAGTAATTGTAGGTCTTAGGCATTTAACTTAAGATAAATACTTAAGATGTTTAATGCAGGTGACCACAAGTGTGTTGGTAAATGGAAAACAACAATGTGTAGGGCACTCAAGGGGTGCTCCAGGACCAGGATGTAGAGTTTGCGGTCTAATGGAAGATAATCTTGATCCCTAAACCACTTAAAGAATAATAATGAGCATAAAATATCTAAAATTTTCTTGTCTTGTCTTTTATCCTTTAGAATATGGGTAGGGGTCCAGAGGAGAACCTGGATACTCTTCTCCACAAGATAACGGCCCTGTGTAACCTGCTATCTTCTCTAGAGAAGAGGGTATACAAAAAAAGACTCCAATCAGTATCATCAGTCGTGTCATGTTTCTGAATGTTTACACAACCTACATTTCTTAATCTTAGGAAATTTTCAAGTATTTTTCATTGATTAACTGCACTGTGCTATTTCTTTCATAGGTTCTTAAGGCCCTCCAAGAGGCTGTGACCAATCACAATCTATCTGTGCAGCCTGCACCTGAGCCAGCGTCACCTGTAAAACACCATGCCAAGCCTATTCCTGTGCACAGCTTTCAGGCAAGAGACTGAAAACTCTTTTTTTGTGTCTGTAGAGCTTAAACCAAATGTTATAAATGTGGCTGTCTGTAATAATATTTAGTATCCATACTTAGTTATCAGTATTAATGATATACAGTGGTATAAAACCAAATTAGTATCATAGCATTCCATATTATAATAAGTCTACCAATACAAACTTGCTTAATGATAATAATGGTGTTTTTCAAAAGTGTTCAGTATATTTTAACACTGCAATAATACTAAAAAAACAGTGATAATTTTGGTCACTGTTATAATGTGGGAAATTTTTGTAATGTCCCATCACTACTTTTGTATGTGTTTAGGTGAAGGTGGTCAGGTATGGCAGGCAGACAGTGTCAGTGGACGTGGACAATGGGGTCCTCCTTTTTGACCGGAGGATCGGCTCATTTGGTGTAGAGACGGTCACACATGACAGGAGTGAGTTTGACTTGCACTATTCACTTCATTACAGAACTAAAAGGCTGTATGTTATGGTCTGATTTCATACTTTCTACCAAAGCTCTACTGCAGGGATATCCAGTTCTGTTCTTGGAAGACTGTAGTCCAGCACAATTTGGTAACATACCTGATTCTACTTAGCAGTTAGTTAGAGCAAAGAAATGACCGAACTATGCTGGGCTTAGGCGCTACAAGACCAGAGCTGGATGTTCCTGCTCTTTTATCTAATGTAATGTGTGTTTTGGTGCTAGTACTGCAGGTGGTGAAATTTCAGAGCAGCCCGGCGAAGCTAAGGATGGTAGTTGATAATCATCACAACCCTCCACGAGAACTGCTGTTTGAGAGCTTAAAGGTTAGACAAGAAACTGAAACAAATTGAGATATTTCAACGAAGTCTTTTACTAAGCACAGCCGTAATCTCAAGGAAACAGTAGAATCACATTTAAATGGAGAAAATGTTACCATGTGATCTCCTCTGTAGAAAAGAGAGGCTTTCTGCCAGCTTCTGCAGTTGATGAAGACTACCCATTCCCAACAAAGCGAGCCTGATGTCATTTCTGTGTTTGTGGGCTCATGGAACATGGGTAAACCTGTTGATTTCTTTTTTTTTAAATGTATGTCAAGCAGTGTTTGGTAAAGTGCTTATGAATAAAATGTCAATATTTGACACACAAGTATGTCCTGTCGAATCTCATTGTCTAAATGTAGTGATGAATGCCCATACTGTGTCTGATTGTCATGATAATGTTGGGCAAATCCTGTTGGTGTGTCTTTGTGTTACTCTAGGTGGTTCCCCCCCACCCCGTACTCTACAGTCCTGGGTGACATGCTGTGGTCTGGGACTGACCCCTGATGAGTCTGTTTCCTCCCTGCCTCATGACATCTATGCACTTGGTACTCAAGACAATCCGCAAGGAGAGAGAGAGTGGGTGGAGCATATCAGAGCCACGCTCAGGAGTTCTACTCACATTGACTTCAAACAAGTGAGAGACTTGTGGAATATCAGTAGTTTATGAAATATTCAAACCACCCCATCTGGCCCTTTTCTTCAAGCTGACTGGGCTTTAATTTTTAAACTCATTGTCTTCTTCTGCTCTGAGCCTGTGCTCTCTGTGAATGTCCTGCAGGTGGCACTGCAGTCTCTGTGGAACATCAGACTGGCTGTGTTCGTGAGACCAGAGCATGAGGGGCGCATCAGCCAAGTAAACACAGCCAGCGTGAAGACGGGTCTGGGGAATACACTTGGTACAGCCATTACTCAAACAAAGTCTCATATACATTAAGCCTCTGTTTCTCTCTCTCTTTCTTTCTCTCTCTCTCTCTCTCTCTCTCTCTTTGTCTTCTGCTCCCTCCCTTTCTCCAGTTCCCCTCCTCAGCCCCTCATGGCAGGCAGCCAAAAATGCCAAGTGAGAAGAAACAGTCCATTAAACTGACGTTCATAGAAGCAGTACAGTTTTTGTCTGAATTATTGCAGGAAACAAAGGGGCTGTGGGCATCTCCTTCCTCTTTATGGGCACGTCCATGGGCTTCGTGAACTGCCACCTGACCTCCGGCAGTGAGAAAGCACTCCGGTATTCACCCACACCCACATCCATGCACTAGTTTCATATCAGACAGCATCCGGTGCCATTTTAACTCTCCTTTCCTGTTTATTCAACAATCCTTGACTGCGCACTAATGTGCTAGACTCTCAAACTCTAGTCTTGGAGGCAGAGCTGCAGGAAGGAGTTTTAAGTTGGGGGTTCTGAAGTTTTAAGCAGCATATAATTAATGTACACATTGATGTTATACTAAATGCTCTGTCTATTTATTTTCTTCCATCTAAAAATAGTGGTGATGATGCAATTGTTATAAAGTGGAGAGAAAAGACAGTGCAGCTCTACACAAGCCATCGACCAGATTTTAACATTAAAGTTAACTCTGAAGTTGAATTTAACAGTGCTTGACTGTGTCAACCGTAAATGACAGTGACAAATGTGAGAAATACATAAAGCATAAAATAAAACATAAAATCAAATGCAAACTCCCAGGTACACAGAGGTTGATATAATACCCAAATGCTACTTTATTATGTCCTTATAATTATTAACGTTGAACCTGGTGTAGTAAAGCAGCCCTCCACGACTGTAGTTTGAACCCTTGTGGTATAAAATTTGTGTCTTTTGAGAATTTATTTGAACAGCAGTACTACAGCCTGGGTGTTTTTGGAACACTTTCTGATTTCTTTCTTTATTATGTTCCAGGAGGAACCAGAACTTCCAAGATATCCTCAGACTCTTGTCTTTAGGGGACCGGCAACTTGGTGCTTTTGACATCAGCCTACGCTTCACACATCTCTTCTGGTGTGGTGACCTCAACTACCGCCTGGACCTTGACGTTCAGGTCACACACGCTTTCTGTTCAAAGCTATTTGCATTCCATTTGATTCCTTATACTGTTAAACTCTATGCATACCAGTTTAATCGAATTCTTTATGTCTATATCACTACAATGTCTCTTTTGAGCTTCAGAACAGACCTACTGTTGGTCTGTCAGATGTTTTCTTCTCAGTTTCTGAGATCAAGGTCTCTTCCTTTTGACTCACTCTTTTTTATACAGGAAATTCTAAAACATGTCTCAAAGCGTGAGTTTGATGAGCTGATGTGTGCAGACCAGCTGACCCGAGAGCGCCATAAAAGAAAGGCCTTCTTTAGCTTCAGTATGGATCTCCTTGTCTCTCTCTTTACACTAAAATCAGTATACAATGTGCATATATACAGTCATGCTTTTGTTTATGCTTAATGTATTCTGTTGGTATTCTGTCTTTCTCACTAATCAGAGGAAGAGAAGATCACATTTCCACCCACCTACCGGTATGAGCGTGGCTCCAGAGACTGCTACCTATGGCAGAAATACAAGACCAGTGGGGTAAAACTTTCATTTCAGTCACCCTTATTCTCTCAGTCTCGTTAGGGTTGTTTTACTTATAATTTTACACCTAAATTCAAAACAGACAGAGATTGAATTATGACCTTGTATATATGGTACATAGTTTATAGGACCTTTCTGACCCAAATTGAATAGAATGAATAGCGTGGATGACTTCAGTTATGACCTCATTTGCTGCAGGATAAAAGGTTTCAGCTTGCTCCTCTTACTAGCGTGACTTTGTTTACACAGTACAGTGCAAAGGTCAGAGACCACCCTTTTGTTTCAAGTTCTTAATTTTTTAGCATCAGCGAAAAAAACAGAAAGCATATATCCAAGGGAGTATTACACAGAAACATTAACAACTAGGTATAATATAAAATAACTAAGCTTTTATTAGTATTTACAGTGTCCACCCTTTCCCTTTATCACAGCTTGTTGGGAGCGCACAGCTGTAATTTATTGAGTCCCATTTTCTCTGTATTGTTTGTTAATTTTTAAACACCATTTTTTCACTTATTTTACTTTGATTATCCCCTTTCTTATGTGGGTGGATCATCTCATCAAATATTTTCAGAAACATCTCCTGAAGGGTGGTTTCACACTTTTGCACAGTACTGTATGCTTTCTATTTTGAATGCACATTGGTGACTGATGGATGTGCATATACAGCTTTTCATGGCTCTAGTAATGGCATATGTTTTCTTCATAAGCCACCTACATTGTAGCCAGACATTAAGAAACAGTGTGGAAGATCATATGAATGGTGTTGAGTAATTGTCTTTATCTGCTGGCCTTGAACCATTAATAGTACTGATGTTCAGTGACTAAAACTCAAAAATAGGAACTTGTTTAATTCAGGGGTAAGCCAGCCTTGTTAGTTCAACTGTCATGTCTTCTAAAATTGGGTTGAGCAATGCCTATGTGCTCCTGATCCTTAAATGAGGGGAGCAGATGTCGTGCTCTTTAAGGTAACAAGAATGCAGCAGTCTGATGTTTCCAGCAGATGCGTTGTCAGTGAATGGAATGAGAATTTCTCATAGTACAGCATCTTAGAGCCTAATGCACTCAACCATACACTTGATTCAAGCTCTCCTGTCTGTCCTCAGGTGCGAGTGAATGGGCCTTCGTGGTGTGACCGTGTTTTGTGGAAATCCTACCCAGAAACTTATATTACTTGTACTTCATATGGTATGTTAAACAACACTATCTCTGTGCCACAGTGCTGAAGATTCTTGTCAAAATGTGTTAAGCTTTTTATTGGAAAGTTTGTTGGTTAAGACACCAAGCCATTTGACTTTTTATAAAAAGTTTTGCTCTACAGCATCTAAGATCTGCTAGTATTATGTATGTTTTGAGTACTTTATTTGATCTGTGCCTCCAACTCAAGCTATCAACTTCTTAGAAATAGCAGAAATGCTTGTAGGATGGCAACCAGACAGTTAATTTGTCGGTTGGCTAGTGTTTACACTTAAAAAGAAAAAAATCAAACACTGGACTGTTATTCCAGTGGCAATGATCTTAGGATGTTTGTAGAGGCCACAATACAGGTCTGTGGTCCAACGTCAGAGTCATATCCTGTGTATGTTATGGTTCTAAAACTGAGTGAGTCTATGCAATTTGTTCTCCTCAGCAAAGTCACCCATAGTACAAGAACAACTTGAGTTGTATACTCTGATACAGGAATGTGAACTCAATTCAAGTTCACTCATTTTTCTTAGGTTGCACCGATGACATCTTCACCAGTGATCACTCTCCTGTTTTTGCTACATTTCAAGTCGGGTTGACTGCACAGTTTCCCAGGCAAGGTTCGTGAACTTACACTGTCAGGTTGTCCTTTAGACTGAATCTCGTGAACACTCTTATAGCCCCGTTCCTCATTTTGCAATAAGGCTGCTGATCATGCACTTCTAAAAAGGATATATTCTTTGCAGCAATTTGGTTCTCTTTAATTTGTCATTGATGCTGAGAACATCGTCATTGCTTCTGTTTTCTGAACCGTTTAGCACTGTATCAAATTAATAAGTATTTTACAGATTAGTTTAGACATTTAAGTTACGCTGAATAAGTTCTGCAACATACTATAGGTCAGAAAAGTTGTCTTGACAACATTTGTGGTGGTTTTACTACTCTCTTGACCAGATGAATCTGTCTGTCTTGTGGTGGTAGATTCAAACTCTTCATCAGACCGGGCTTGGATTGAACTGGAAACAGTTGAGGCCATAGTGAAGACTGCTAGCAAGGCCAAGTTCTTCATCGAGTTCCACTCTCGCTGTCTAGAAGGTGTCTTTTATTCATCGTTTTCCTTTAGCGTAAGAGGCATGGTAGTCTGGCTTTTGTTAAAATGTCAATGGGTCATAAGATACATGTGGGAGTTCCTTGTTTTCTTTTTGCCCTCTTCCTGTACAGAGCCACGTCGGTCCACGGAGAATGACTCGCAGAGCTGTGAGGTGCCAGGGTTCCTCAAACTGGGCTGGTCTTCCAAACAGCTTCCTAAGGTTCAGATACACACCACAGTCAGGCTTTTCACTTTTCTGTTTATTAAGCAAATCGCTAAAAACATGGTGTCTAAATGTAATGCTGTGTAAAATCACTCCCCCCTAGTTATTTGATTTCCACTATTTTTGCATATTTGTCATACTAAATGGTTTCAGATCCTCAAACAAAATGTAGTACAAGAAAGTGAGAACATAAGGAAAACAAGAGTTTTTTAATGATAATTTCATTTATTAAAAGGTGTTTTAAATGATATCACCCCTGTGAAAAAGTAATTGCCCCCTAAACTTAATAACTAGTTGTGCCACTTAAAGCAGCAACAACTGCAACCAAACTCTTCCTATAACTGGAGGTCAGTCACATCACATCACTGTGGAGGAATTATGGCCCACTCTTCTTTGCAGAATTGGTTAAATTCAGCCACATTTACTGTCAGTTATGACATGTTACCTGGCCATGAACCAGCAAAGCATCCTCACACCATCACACTACCACTGTATGTTTGACCGTTGGTGTGATGTTCTTCTTGTGGAATGCTGTGCTTTACGCCAGATGTAACAGGACCCCTGTTTTCCAACAAGGTCCACTTTTGGCTTATTATTCCAAACATTTTTCCAAAAGGCTTGAGGTCATGAAACTGTTTTTTGGCAAATGTGACGCAAGCCTTTATGGATACCATTTTTGCCCAATGTCTTTCTAATGGTGGAATAATGAACGCTGACCTTACTTGAGGCGAGCAATGCCTGCAGTCCTTTAGATGTTCATCTGGGGTCTTTTGTGACTTCCCGAATGTTGCTGAGCTCTTAGAGGAATTGTGGTAGACATGTTCCAAGTTTTCTCCTCTTGGAGATGGCTCTCGCTATGGTTCACTGGAGTCCCAGAGCCTTAAAAATGGCTTTATAAACCTTTCCAGACTGATTTACATTATGTGGCCAAAAGTATGGGGACACCCCACCCCTGCTAATTTTTGAATGCAGGTGTTTTAGCCACATTTACTGCTAACAGGTGTATAAAATCAAGCACATAGTCATGAAATCTCCCTAGACAAACATTAGCAGTAAATGGATTATACTCAGTGCTCAGTGACTTTAAACATGCTGCTGTTGTGAAATGAAGGCATCTAGGTGCAACAACAGCTAAGCCTTGAAGTGGTAGAACTCACAAACTCACAGAGCAGGACGACCAAGTGCTGAAGTGTGTAGCACGCAAAGATCTGCTATCTTTTCACTCACTACAGCGTTTCAAACTGTCTCTAGAAGCAACGTCAGCATAAGAATTGTGCATCGGGAGCTTCATGAAACAGGTTTCCATGGCCAAGCAGCTGCATGCAAGCCTGAGATCAGTATGGTGTTGAGTAACTTGTTTCCTTCAAATAAATTAAATGATCATTTAAAAACTAATTTTGTTTAAGGTTGTCTTTGTGTTATATAAGTTTTGTTTAAAAATCTGAACAAGTAAATGTAACAAAAATAGAAGAAATAAGGAGGGGAGCAAAAACTTCTTCATGCCACTGTGTAGCGTGTTAAGTATACAGCAAATAGGAAATTGGCTATATGTATAACATTTTGTATATAGCTTTGTTGGGGATATACAGTACTGAACAAAAGTCAGAGACCACCCCTCATTTATTTAATTTCCAGTCAAAACAGCTATTATGCAAGTTATTTATTTTTCAGGAAATATTTCTTGGAAGATTAGACATATGGTCCACTTGTGTAAGAAAGGGAATCGAAGTGAAAAAACATGAATTTCCAAAACTGTAATTTTTAAAAGACACAAAGAAAATGGCATTCCTAAAGATGAAAAAGAAATTTTGCACATCAAACAAAGAAATTGCTTGTATTCTACCTCAGAGCCCAGACCTCAACAATATTGGATATGTAATAGGTTTGGGATTACTTGGATCATGAGAAGCAGAAAATGCAACCAACCTCTAAGACTGAAATTTCTCCCAGAAACAATGGAAGCTGTAATATATGCATTAGGTAGACCCACTAAATGATGAAAATTTTGATGTATTTAGTTGTTACAACTTCTGTGTAATTTTCTGTTCAAAATATGGTTTCTCATTTTTTTCCTGATAATGACAAATAATTAACTTGTATTTAATAGTCTCTTTGACTAGAAATTAAATAAATGAAGGGTGGCTCTACTATTGAATAACATTGCTGTTGTAAAGAAATTATAGCTTTATAAGAAAAAGAAAAGTACTTTTAACTTACATTCCTAAAGCACAGGAATACAAGTGTAATGAGATTCTATTTCAAGTAATTTTGGAATATTGGATTTTTTTTCTGTTGGTCCTGTTGATCATGAGATGTTTACAGAATGTAAGTGGCAGCTGGCATTTTCAATGATATAAAAAAAAAACAGAATTGCAGTGTTTTGGTATGACCACAACATTGATAAGACAATATAGACAAAGCCTGTATAGCACTTAGGAGAAATATTTCTGTTTCTCTCTTTCTCTTTCTTGCTCTCTTTTTCTTTTTCTCCAGCTTCATCCCCTTGTTTCAGATATGGAGTTTCTTCGGGACCAATACTTGCTACTCTCTGTGAAGTCATGTGATGGCTTTGAGTCATATGGTGTGTTTTTAACTCTTTCTCTTTTAGTTTTGTGACCAGCTTAATTGGAAGTGTAGTTGTGAAGTGATCTTGTGGTTTACAGTAATAGGAAATTTGTGGCATTTTACTTGTTTAAGGTGAATGCTGTGTGGCTGTGCAGTCAATAATAACCAGCTCCTCAGAGTCATTTGAGACGTGCCTGACCCACAGAGGTGAAGCAATGGGCTCCATCCGAGGTCAAATTAAGGTCTATGTACCACCGAACAGGCACCGGACCCGGGAGAGGATTTATGGTGAGTCAGCTTCTTGTCTTTTCGGCTCTTCGCTTTTTTTTTTTTCAGCCCTCTATCACTTCCTTATATTCGACCTGCTCACTATACACCCTCCATGGCTCTTCCTCTTTTGGTTCCTCTGTCGTTCCTGCTCTGCTTTCTCTTTTATCTGTTATGGCTTCCTTTTTTGGCTCCCTGCTGACAGACCTTGTCCAGATGCATCCTGAGGCCTTCAGAACGCTAAGCGTGAGTGTGCCACTCTCTCTGTATGTCCCAGGCTTTTACCCGAGACAGCTTAATTATTTATAAGACCACTTGGGATGAACTGGGTATTTCATTGTCTGTTACAGAGTGGTTTTGCACTGAGAAGGATGATAAGGGATCAGTTAGGGGCCCTTGGTCTCCTCCACCTATCCGTGCAGCCCCCCGTCAGTGAGTAACTTGCTTTTCAGTTGATGAGAAGTGAAACCGTTTGTCTTAAGTTCTTTATGTATGAGTTTGGGTGTTCTGGGCATTCACATGGTCTTTTAAATCATTACCTCTCCTTTTACTGACCTTTGACTTTTAACAGTTCTGTTTTCTGTCTCTATTTCAGAGGCCCATCAACTTCTCGCTCTGCGGCTCCCAGCAGCTACACTAACCCAGCCTACTTCATCTTTGAGGGTGTTCCCATATTGCGAAAAGTAGAGGAGGACCCCTTACTCAAGGAATCGAGCATATGGGCCAGAGACTCAGCAATTCAGCTTCCCAAAGTCACAGGGGCGCAAAGCCATGACCGGAGAGCTGCCCACAGGTCTGACTTCACCGAAATAGAGATTCCTGGCTCTCTGCCACCTTATACACCACCTTGTGACCGGCCAGCCCAACTGACTCCTCAACCTACTTCTTCCTATCAGCTCTTCCCTGGACCGGACCTATCAAACCCTTCCCAAAACCAAAACAACAGCACTTCTTCAAATCCTCCTTTTCAGTCACAAATTCAAAGAGCTTGCGTAATTCAGGAGTCCGTATTACCTGTCAAAAAAGTAGGGAATGCATACATTAATCATTCAGTCTTTGCACGGGATGTGCAAAGACCACACAAGGAGATGGTAAAGAAGGACTATCCCAGGTCGCACCAAGAGCGGCCAGTGCGCAACGGACCGAAGCTCTACCCAGTCAAGTCCACCAGGGTTCCCCATTGCGAGGCCTCTGTTCCCTGGGTGGTGGAACATCCACCTGCAGCTTCAGGAGATAATTCACTCACTGCTCTACAGATCGCCAAATCATTGAGCGAGGTGGACTTCATGCCAGTAGAAAAGAAGTACCCCTCGAGTAACAGGTCCATCCAGCCGAGGCATTATGGCTATGATTATGCCTTAGCCTCAGAGGCCAGTTATTGCTGGGAGAAAGAGGTGAATTGAGAGAAACCTTCAACTGTATAAAACTGGAGTCCATAGTGTTGTAGTTACGTATTAGATATATATTCACAGAGTGTTGTAGTTTGTTATTAGCTACATAGTTTGCTATTTACACCATAAATGTTCATGTTATATATGAATGTAACTTTATTTAAGATTGTAGTGTTGCTATACTGCTTATGTGTTGGTTTATGTGGGCAATAACATGATTTGTGTTGGTGTGCACAGGTGTCAGTTTTGCATGGAGCTCCAGAGACAGTGCGGGAACTACTTAGTACTTTGGGGCTGCAGCGCTACGCTCAGGGTCTTAGTCTCAATGGCTGGGATGACCTGGATTACTTCAGGTGAGGAAACTACACTGAAGAGAACATTTACACTGGATTTCCTTGAAAATATAGAAAAGAGTCTTTACACATGTCTGATTCAAGGCCTTACACAGTGACCCAGCACACCTGATTCAGCTAAGACGATTATCAAGCCCTTAATGAACTGTTTCAGGTGTGTTGGGACAGGATATACCGTGAGGGGAAATAAGTATACAGACTTTTGGTTTTGTAATTTAGTGTACTTTCAGTACTAATATGCACTTCACATTCACACATATAGGGGCAGATTTACAAACATTTTGCACAGTTGTAAATTTTTGCCGTTAAAAAGTGGCTGTCGTGATTTACTAAGCAGGCACAATGGTGCTTTAGCACCTATACAAAGACCACCGGGGTCACTGCTCTCTTTTGCCTAATTGCATATGTATTTATAGGACTTTCCCTTTCAAAACGGAAAATACTCAGAAGAGATTATTATAATGAAGCACCTACTCTGACCAAGAAATATACTAATTTATCAGTTTTACCGAGACCAAGTAAATAGTGACTGCACTATTTAAAGGAGACCAAGTAAACAAACCTGCATATTCCCTGCCAGCTCACTTATGCTTTACTTGTCACTGTATATTTCATGTGAGAAATCGTGAAACATGAAGTCTCTGCTCTTTTGCCATATTTTCATTTTAAAAAAGGCATATGATTCAGTTGAGATTTTCCTCTTATTTATATGTCACACCAGAGTTGTGCCTCCTCCTCCATTAGAATAACCATACCCATCAACCCACAACAATAATAAATATGACTTCTTTGGATGCCTAGTTTCCAGTGAGTCATGTTTTCAAGCTCTAGATTGTATAGGAACACTAAACTATTGTTACACTAAACTAACACTGGGGAGGGCGTCCCTTTGCTCTCAAAACAACCTCAGTTATTTGTGGCATGGATTCCACAAGATACATTCCTTTGAGATTCTGGTCCATGTTGGCTTGATTGCATCATGCAGTTCCAGCAGATTTTTCAAGTATACTTTCATGCTGCTAATCTCCCATTCTGACACATTCAAAAGGTGTTATTTTGGATTTAAATCCAGTGACTGAACCTATGTTCATGTTAATGAAACCAGTCTAAGATTTTTGCTTTGCGACATGGTTCATTATCCTGGTGTGGCATTCAAGCAATGATTGATTGGTATTAACGGGCCCAAAGTGTGCCAAGAAAACATTCTGCACACAATTACACCACCTCCACCAGCCTGGACTGTTGACACAAGGTAGGATGGGTCTATGGATTCATGCTGTTGGTGCCAAATTCTGACCCTACTATCTGTGTGCCTCAGCAGAAATTGTGGTTCATTAGACTAGGCTATGTTTTTCCAGTCTCCTGTTTTTGTAAGCCTGGGCCAACTGCAGCCTCAGCTTTCTGTTGTTGGCTGACAGAAATGGATGCTGACATGGTCTTCTGCTGTTGTAGCCCATCTGCCTGAAGGTTCAACGTGTTATGTATTTTGAGATGCTTTTCTGCTCACCACAATTTGACAGAGTAGTTATCTGAGTTACCATAGCCTTTCTGTCAGCTTGAACCAGTCTGGTCATTCTCCGTTGATCTCTCTCATCAACAAAGCATTTCCATCTGCGAAACTGCCACTGACTGTTTTTTTCTTTATTGCACCATTCTGAGTAAAGTGTAGAGACTGTTATGCATGAAAATGTCAGGAGATCAGCAGTTATAGAAATACTCAAACCAGCCTGTCTGGCATGAACAATCATGCCACAGTCAAAATCACTGAGATCACAATTTTAACCATGCTGATGTTTGATGTGAACATTACCTGAAGCTACTGGCCTGTATCATCCTAAAATTTGAAACCTCATGGTGTGCTCTAGCGCAGACACTCCACTCAGAGTACTGTTCAATTTCTCAGCGCTCCACTCAGCATTTTACCATTACATTAAATTGAAGCCATATTGAGACTAAATAAAGCCACAACAGATCCCATGAGGCTTTTAATTTACATAGAGATACGCAGTCAGTCTTTTAGATAAACTATGCAAATGGTCTGTTACCTCAGCTAATGTTCATTTTCATTAAAGATAAACAAGTAGAGTGTAAAATGACCTTGAACTGCATGACACAGCCAACTTATGAGAAGTCAATGTGATTGTTACAACTGGTTTATACATTCTATAGCACTGCTCTGCTACATGGCGCTATACAGGCTCACAATGCTAGGGTCCATTGCAGCCTTTTTTGCACTATACACAGCAGCTCAATGACAGTTGGTCAGTGAGAGTCTTCTCATTTGAATGTAGAATCAACAGCCAGAAAATGACTCCTTCTTCACTGATGAGAAGATTAAGGGTTAAAACACACTATACAAAAGCTGAATTAAAGTGTTTTTGCCCTCATCAAAGATATCTTTCAAAGAGAAAGAGCACAATGAAGTACCACATTATTCTTAATTTAATAAAAGAAATTAAAATGAATACCAGATAGTTTTAGAAAAACAATGTTTTGAACAACTTTTTCTTAATATTTTGGGAATGGTTTACAACACTAACAAAGCAGGTTTTGACAAAATAATTATTTATTAATATTAATAGTATATTAAAATTATTGGCTCTGCAATGTCTGCATTTTTTATAGGCTTCTATGCGCTGTGGTTAATGTAGGCACTGTGTAGAATGTCACAGCCATTCTTTGATGTACTGCACATAGCCAAGAGGTTATGCTCAAATATTGTCATACAGTCCTCAAATCATGTAGTCTCAATGAAATAATTAGGGTTTTTACAATATGGCATGGTTCCCAAAGGCACTAGGTACAGAACTCAATTTCAGGTCACCCCTCTAGCTGAAAAATGAACAGAAATTAAAATCTCCTTAACTTAATGTCTCATTTTCTCAAAATAATTCCTCATGCATCAAAATCTGACCCTGAAACAAAGAATGCTGGAAAAACTTTTTTCCTCTGGTGGAAACTGGCTTTAATATAAAAAAGTATTAGCCAAACATGCTTATATTGCCTTGGTCATGTGTTAATTTACCAAGTTGCATTGACATGGAACTGTTTTAGTAGATAACCTGCTGAACTGGCCACCTCAAAAGGTGCGAAGTGTTGGCAGACTCTCGGCAATTAGCACCTCTCTTAGTAAATGTTCCCCATAATGATTTTTGACTTGTATTCATAAATATGAACAATAAAAATAAAATAAAGATCATTAAAAAAAAAAGTTAATAGGGTAAAAAGTATTGAGACACCACAAATTAAAACCTCTTGGCAAATCACCTTCAATTTCCCAAAGTTACGAGAATACCTCTGATGGACTCCTAGTTTCAAAATCCTCCATAAATTTTCAATTCCAGTCAGGATATTGGCTAGGCCACACAAAAAAGCCTTGAGTTATTTTGGCTGTATGTTCAGGGACTTTGCTATGTTTTCTATGGCTCTGTAGCTTTTTTCCATTTATTGCCTAATAATGTTGTTGCTGAGAAATCTTTCAAACCAATGTCAGCATCTTTTAGAGTGACTCCAGGTCACCAGGTGCGATTTGCATATATACAGCGGGTGAAGTAAGTATTGAACATGTCACCAATTTTCTAAGTTAATATATTTCTAAAGGTGCTATTGGCATGAAATTCTCACCAGATGTCAGTAACAACCCATCCAATCCAGACATGCAAAGAAATCTAACCATAGATGTCCATAAATTAAGTTATGTGTAATAATGAGAAATGACACAGGGAAAAAGTATTAAACACATAAAGAAAGAGAGTTGCAAAAAGCCATGGAAAGTCATGACACCAGCTGAAATCTATCAGTAATTAGAAAGCAATCCTGCCACTTAGTGCAAATTAATATCAGCTGGTTCAACTGATGGCCTATAAAAAGGTGTCTCATTACCAAGGTGCCACACAAGAAACATCTCATGATAGGTAGAACCAGTGAGCTCTCTCAAGACCTTCGCAACCTTATTGTTGCAAAACATACTGATGGCATTGGTTACAGAAGAATTTCTAAACTACTAAAGGTTCAAGTGAGCACTGTTGGGGCCATAATCCGGAAGTGGAAAGAACTTAATTTCACCATAAACTGGCCACGACCAGGTGCTCCCCGCAAGATTTCAGACAGAGGAGTGAAAAGAATTATCAGAAGAGTTGTCCAAGAGCCAAGAACCACTTGTGGAGAGCTACAGAAAGACCTGGAATCAGCAGGTACAATTGTTTCAAAGAAAACAATAAGTAATGCATTCAACCGCCATGGCCTGTATGCATGCTCACCACGCAAGACTCCATTGCTGAAGAAAAAGCATGTTGAAGCGCATTTAAAGTTTGCTCAAGAACATTTAGACAAGCCTGTAAAATACTGGGAGAATATAGTCTGGTCAGATGAGACCAAAATTGAACTCTTTGGATGCCATAATACACACCATGTTTGGTCAAAAGGCACTGCATATCACCCCAAAAACACAATACCAACAGTGAAGTTTGGAGGTGGGAACATCATGGTGCGGGGCTGTTTTTCCAGCGTACGGCACTGGCACGCTTCATATAAATGAAGGAAGGATGAATGGACAAATGTACCGAGACATTCTTGATAAAAAATCTGCTGCCATCTACCAGGATGATGAAGATGAAAAGAGGGTGGACATTTCAGCAAGACAATGATCCCAAACACACAGCCAAGGAAACTCTCAATTGGTTTCAGAGAAAGAAAATAAAGCTGCTAGAATGGCCCAGCCAATCACCTGACCTGAATCCATTTGAAAACCTATGGAAGGAACTACAGCTCAGTGTTCATAGAAGGAGCCCACGGAATCTTGAGGATTTGAAGAGTGTTTGTGTGGAAGAATGGGCCAAAATCACACCTGAGCAATGCATGTGACTAGTTTCTCCATACAGGAGGCGCCTTGAAGCTGTCATCACCAACAAAGGCTTTTGTACGAAGTATTAAATAGTTTTCAGTAAGCGTGTTCAATACTTTTTCCCTGTGTCATTTCTCATTATTACACATAACTTAATTTATGGACATCTATGGTATGATTTCTTTGCATGTATGGAACGGATGGTTTGTTACCGACATCTGGTGAGAATTTCATGTCAATAGCACCTTTAGAAATATATTTACTAAGGTATATATATATATATCTATGTGTGTGTAAGTGTACTTTTTCATTCATATTTATAATTAAGGTTTAAGTGGATATATGCTCTGGAAGTATATTATATAATAAAAACACAGATCTCTGAATACCTGTTTTCCCTCACTGTTCTTGAAACAGTGATGATGATATGAAGTGGAGCTGAAAACCACTTATTTAGGGCCAGTTTTTCTATGCCCAGATAAAGCCTAAGTCTAGAGTAAATGGATTTTTAAAAGGTAAAACATGATTGGCATTGCAGTTTAGTCCAAGATTAAGCATAATCCATGTTCATGACACTGGACTGCAGTGTGAATAACATGGAGCATCAGGTCAATGGGCTTTCATTACTGAAATTTTATTTTAGTGTGGAATTACATCTCTGTCTAACTGTGCAGATGTGCTGATGTAACTAAGCTGTGGCTTTTCTACAGTGGCATCACAGAGGAGGATCTGCGTGCTTCTGGAGTAACAAACCCATCTCACCGCAGGAAAATCCTGGAGAATTTACCCAAGATCTGGGACTGAGCACATGGACTGATCAGCACAGTTTTCAGATATAACAGAGATTTTACATACAATAGCAGTCAAAGGTTTGGACATAGATGCTAATAAGGGATTGTTATTAGAACAGTAGTGAAGGCATCAAAACTATGAAATAACACATGTGAATATATGTAGTGATCAAGAAAATGTTAAATCAAAACTATCTTCTATTTAAACGTATCCTCCCTATGTCTAGAGGCAGTTTTGCACACTCTTGGCATTCTCTCAAGTAGCTTCATGAGAAGCCACTAGGTTTGTTTTTTCCAACAGGACTGAAGAAGCTCTACATTTGTTGACAATGTACTGAAAACTACTTGGTTACTGAAATCTACTTGTTTGGGTGGCATTAAAAGTGTTTTTTTGTTGTTATGGAAATAGATTCATAAACAGGCATTTCTAGTATTTGAGCACAATCAGGTGGGTCCAATTTTTTGAGTGGTACTATAAAAAAAGAAAATTAACTCTATCCTTGTAAATATCACTTTCTCCACATCTTGTCTCTAAGAACCCCTTAGTAATGGTTGTAATAGTACTGCTGTTTGGTCAGACCAGACCAGATTGCCCCATCTCACATGAGATACATGAGGAACTTGTCTTTATGAAACAGGAACATGTTTACTCCGTGAGAAATGGCACACTTGTGCTCTCAGCGCATGGAATAACCTGGCCATATGTTCATGGACAATTTACATGTACCACAGAGGCTGCATGTCATATTTGTACAGGAACTATAACATAACTCTAATTCTCCTCCCTGGTTTTACTATGTTTACTGCCACACAAATTCACTGGGTTCCAAATGACATCCTCCGTCATGCAGGCCCCATTCTTTATCTTTGATTAAAGCTATTGCGTGAATTGACTGTAAATCTGTGGCACCTCTTCAATAAGGATGCTATGTTTGCACTTGTTGGTGTTTCATCTTCATGCTAGTGAAACAATATAAATGCGGTCAAGCAAATGACTCCTTCACTAAGAGCTTTAAAAGGAGAGTTCATTAAAGCATGAGTAACCGGTGAACAAACAAAATTATGTCCGTTTCACCCATTTCCAAACAGATATGAATATAGTATTGCAGTACTTGTAAAAATGCATAATAAAGTGAGCACTGTACATATTTTCCAGCAGATAGAGGGTGTATCTGAAATTATATGTTATATGGGGGATTAAATATCAGATTGTAAAGTGCTATCCTGTTTGCTTTGTCTTCATATAAAACTATAAAACTATCCAGACCAACAGGATCCTTCCCATTTTTACAACATGAGCTTTTCTGGATCGTAGGGAGAGAAGGTTCTCCTCCCTGATCTCACCATAACCTAGTTTTCTGTGGCTTTTTCTGTCAGAGATGGCCACACTTACAATTATATGCTGTTTTGGTATTTCATTTGTTAGGATAAAGAGCATAAAAAGTCAGTCATGTCCAAATTTTCACGAAAGGTAATACAAACTGCTACTAAGGGCACTTGGAATTCAATTAGAAGAGCAATGCTACACCCTGCTAAATACTACTTAAGTGCCTTTTACATTTCTAACTACTGCTGCACTAAAGATCTACTTCAGTGATGCTACTAATGTGGGGGTACTTGATCAAACATAGTTCATATGGTTTGCTTTTTGGCACATTCAGTAAAAAAAATGAAAATCCAGAAACAAGACGTAGTAGTGCACGATAGCTGTTGCAGAATAACAGTGAGGCAAAGTAGTGTCACTTGTGACATGTGGGAAGGTGTGGTAATGTATTTTGTTTAAGCAGAGAACTTCCTTTTTTGGTTTCATTTTGACTTCATTTTATTGATTGGTTTCACTTTTGATACTCTCTCAGAACTTGATATTCTGTGATATGTCTCATGTAACCAAACAATGATGCTGGGCTTTCTCCTTCCTAGGAATGCCAGGGCCTGGCAAAAACACAAAAGCCACTTAAGTGCTTTATCTGAGAGAGACAGAGGCAGAGAGGGCAATGATAGTTACTCATTATTACATGTACCAACACGTCCTTGTGTGCTCTCCGTGTGAGTCAGATGCCACGGCCGATAAACCAGCAATACAGAAGCTCCAGTGTTTCTGGTAAAGGGCTAAACCACTTCTCATTCTCTTTTTTCTCTGAAATACCCTTTACTGTCGCTCTATCGGATGTGGCTTACTTTTGTGGCTCAGATTTCACTTAGCTTAACAGTTAATGCACAAAAGAACAACTTTTTTGTTTTACTTAAATGCCTTATGACCACGAGCACAAGTGGGTGGAGAACGAAGGCTTGGTCAGTTTTGCAGCTGTTGTATGCTTTCTGAGGGCCTTAACTGTCAGTACTGTTAACTAAGGATATTATGTAAAGCACTGGGGAAAGGTTTAACACTGAGCAGACTCTATTCCCGGTGGTCCACCTAGGCCAGATGAGATCAGTGAATCATTGTCCTGCTCACTTTCTCACTCAACTCACTCGCTTTCCCAGCAGTACTGCGCTGCCCGAACCTCCGGTCAGCTCTGACAGGCGAGGAAGGCCCTTTGTCTTCCCTGCCAATAAGCATTCTTGGCTATAAAGAAAAAAAAACTTAAGGCTTGTGTGTAATGATTTAGAGTAGAATCACTGGATAAAAAAAGTCCACATTCTATGATGAAACCACAACAATAAACAGAGATAGAATTAAAACCTCAGTAATAAATAGGATTATTTTGGTATACAAGCTGAGGAAGGTTTAAAATTTCCTAAAACTGCTCAGTAATTCTACCCAAGGGATTACACAATCCCACTACTGTGGTCTGGTTATATCCTGTTCTGTTAGATGCATATTTATTCGCACAATTGAGTTTCCATAGATTTAAATTCCTCCCCACTATCACACTTCAGTTTTTTTCTTTTGTGTATTTTCTCAATGCATTGAGGGAAAAAAAAAACATTTTCTGACTTAAATGTCTGTTCTCTCTTAAAGGTGAATTCCACAGCTTCTGCATAGTTCATTCATTAAGATCTAAAAGTGGTTTGTTGTGAAGTGCACCATTCTAGAGAAACAGATCTGAAAAGAATAGTGATTAATTAGTGTTTAATGCCTCTAAAAGTTACATCACAGAAAGTTTTTACATAAAATGGTTACAAAATACATGCAGGCTGGAGAAGTGCATGCATTACATGGCAAAATACTACCGAAAGGAAAAAAAAATAACATACTTTACCATGATTAACATTACATATCGCTTCTGTCGGAACAAAACCTTGTATCTCTATTTTTGCCATTTTTCAGTTTTTGTCATTATTTGAAAATGACTGTTGCCCTTTACATTGTGTGTAAATTTCATGAAGACTGGACCAAAAGAAATGGCCCAAAATGACTTGGAAAAAGGTCTGGTTCCATTGACTTACATTAAAAGTAAACTATGTTTTTTCCTTCTCCTGTAAAGTTATCTCCAAAAAGGTATGAGGTTTTGTTCTGACAGCAGCAATATAAAACGTCTAAGTACTCTTGTTCTCTTGTTTTGGATAGTAAATAAAATAGTTCTGTTTGCGTTGTAGACATTGTGACCCCTGGCTCCTTTCGCCACCACTGTAAAGAAAATCCAGGTTGACAAGTTACTCTACAATGCATTTTCACATCAAACCACTCTGAATACTATTTACAATTGAACTATGCAGCATTTCTGAAAAATTGGTGGAATTCCTTTGTAAAACATTTAAATCTAATCTCAAGTAATCTGCCTTTTTTTTCAAATGCATTTGCAATCTGATTACTTTCTTCTCAAACTGTAATGGACTTTAAATACATAATCTTATTTTTGTATTTTCCTCTCCAGTTCAGGATATATCTTTACAAAATAAAACAAAACATTAGAATCTCATGAAATAATTATTTTAGCTCTGCCTAAAAGTATCCACTGTGATAACTGCATTCTTAAAACCGTATTATTCTTGCATTAGATTACTCAACAACTTATCACATCACACAATCTAAGAATGCAATAAACCATATTGTGCAATCTGAAGATCTAAAATACAGAAATTATTATCCAGAGCATTTTTTGCAAATACCGTTTAAAATGATTGCATTAAAACTGCATTGACAGCCCTGCCACGAAGTGAAGACCCAGTCTGTACGCTACTTTTGCAGAACAGAAAACCATTGTTAACAAGGCATGAACTTATCAATCACTCACTGCACACGTGTGCACTTCTGTGAGGGATTATGTATAGATAAAGATCTCTCACTGTAACATCTTGCCCTTTTCCCTCAGTGTACACTGCCAAGATTTCCTACAAAAGTTTGCTCTTCCATGTTCATGACCGTCCTGTCTGAGTAAATATTAACCCCCACCTGCATGCCAAACCACTTTCAGCTCAATGCTCAAACCTCATGCTCCCACTGACACCCCTGACAGCAGTTTGTGGGTTGTTTGTCCAATCATTCCTGGTCATCATGAGGGTGAATTATGCTGTTCCTCATAAGGCACTGAAAAAAACGTGCTGGTAGGGTCTTGAAACATTTCCTTTCTCAGGAAACGTTGAACACTTTCTGTATGGAGTTCACATAGTTCACAACATGATCACTTCTAATGTATCTGTCAGATTGTTACTCAACACCATTGTTTTGGAGACTAAATTGTTTTATGATGACATCTCCACTTCAAGTTTGATTTAACTTTTTATCTAAGAAAGCATAAATGCATGCCTCACCCTTAATGTTTATTTCTTTATGAGAGTGTTACGTTGCTAGTCAGGTGATTCTGGGAGATTACTGTTAGACTTGGCATTCTACCACTTCTGTGACTTAGACTAAAATTATTAGATTTCTGGACAAGATAGTTCAAGACTAGAAAAATCCTACTTTTGTTAGCTCAGTTTTAACTAATCTTTTAAAAAGTGTGGTTCAACAACCCCCCTACCCACCCACACACCCCCCAAAAAAAATTAAAAAAAACAAAATAATCCAATAGTCAGTCACCCAAGGCATGTTTGTTTTCTTAATTTTGTACTAGAGCTTTGAGATTAAGCAATGAAATTCTATGACTATTTTTAGGTGACCTAGACCTCTATTATATTAGCCTAGTAGGGAAGAAATCTACTTGAACATTCTTCTTTCTAAACAACTTTTCTCTCAAAGTGGAATTTCCCCCACATTTTTGCATAATTCAGTCATTTAGAGTGGTTTGATGTGAGATGCATTATTCTAGAGAAACGTACCGAGTCAGGATTGTTCACAACGTGGGTGATAGGAAGCAGACATCTGAAGTGTTTAATGCATATTAACGTTATCTTCCAATAAGTTATGACATGAAATATCATATATATATGAATATACTCTCTGATACCCAAGGCATTGTTTTGGCCCAAAATGTATTTTTTAAATAAATGCACAGTGACGCGGCAAACTTTGGACACAAAGATATGTTTGGTTTGGTTTGGTTTGCTTCTCTGGTTTTGCACTGGAGCTATGAGACGGGGTCATCTAGGGGCCTGTATTCCCAGGGCCCTATTATTCCAGGTTCCTATGTTTCAGAGGGTCCTATGTTTCCAAGGCCCTATTTTCCCAGAGTCCTGTTTCCAGGGCCCTGTGTTCCCACTCTTTGAGTGTACATTTCAGTGAACAGAAATGAAAGTCTTTTCAGCAATAGGCAGGATTTAATTATTTTTTTATGATTTTATTTGAACTTGGCTTTAGCACTACATTACAAAGTTTGCTTAGATAGCTAATTAGATCACTGAGACTGACCTAACTGCGGGCTAGTGCATTCCTATTGAAACGTTCCCTCCTCGTTGTCCCCTCTATGACCTGTGGTTATCAGGTTTCTTTAATGTATCTTGAGCTTAGATTTATCATAGGGGCCTGGGAATTTAGGTATGCTTACACTATGAAAAAAAAGTAATGTCTTTTTTTGGGGTGACACACACTTCTCTTTCTGTGGGGAAACTTGTGTACATTTCATTTTACAGTGGACCATTATTTTAAGTTAACTTAGGTATGAAGTAAGTTTTATTTTAATGCTGATGCTGCTTTAAACCATTGTATTAAGAATGACAAATATGTGCATTCAAAGAAGGGAGAAACGGGGGGAAGTGCTAGACGTTGCTTAGCTTTAGTGTAGCCTGTTTAAACTTGGCTTCAGCGTAGCCTGTTTAAACTTAGCTTCGGTGTAGCCTGTTAAACCGTTTTATCGCACTCAGTGAACCATTCAGCTATTTCTATACTTCTGCTAGTGAGGTATTTTAATTAGCAAAATCTGAATGTGAAAAGTCGCAATTACTGTGGTCAAATAAGGGTCTTTCCGTGCCATGTGGGCGGGGGCACCTCTCACCCTATTGCTCTCACTTTCACACGCATTCACACATACACATACACACCCGCGCAGTTGCTGCGGTCACTTCTTTCACTTCATACACAACTCGAATGGCTACGTTCATCACTGAGACTGAATAAAAGGCTCTGAGAGAATTTCACTAAAGTTCACCTGAATAACAACGTCCAGAACCCTCAGGAGAATCGACTCTGTACAATCGGTGAGTGGAAGAAATTATCATTCCTGTCAGTCTAGCGTTACTTTCTCTCATGTAGCCTAGTGAGTTAACGGCTCCGGGTAACAAAGATAGCGATTATAAACGGTCCATGGTGTGGTTTAAGGTTCAATGCTAATTTTCTCCTCTTGTAAACGAGAAAACGGTAAACGGTAACATTTTTTAAATGACGACTGAAACGGCGGTATAGACAAATTTAGGAAACTCGGGCAGCACACATGGACACAGCTGTACAGAAAATGAAGAGATCTGAGAGAGGAAACCGCCGCTTGTAATACTGTTCAGATCGCATATTTCGAAAAAAAGAGGTCTTTAGTTTTCCAACAGTTAAAACGCGCCTGGTGAGAGAACATCTGTCCTTAAGGAAGTTGACATTTCCTTGGGAGAATTTGCCTCTTTCGTTCTGCGGTGGCAGTTAAAGGTGCACTCTGTAATCTCTATACATTTGGAAAAACACAGGGATAATCCAGCCACTCGCTTTGTTTTAGACTGAAGGTGAACAAAAGAGTGTTGAAGGTGAAAATGTTGCTCCTATACTTCATAGACAGCAGTAGCTGTGTAAAGAAGCCAGTGTCAGTTTGTCTTGTTTATACTGTCATTCTTTGATAATGTACAGTAACCCTCATATACTGCCTCAGAGTATTCTAAGAGAGTTTCTTTGAGTTTTTAGGCAGTTGAAAGGAACCGAGGACTGTCTGAAAGAGGTTTTTGAGTACAAAAGTTGTAAATAAGGATGGCTGCAACTTGAGACACACTGTGTTCCATAGACATGCATCTTGATATTATAAACTGCTTTTTAGGGTCAAGTCTCTATAACCTATATTCTCTATATCGGTCAAGTTTCACTATGAGACTTGCTGTCCAAAATAAAACAAGTATTTCCAAAATGGTAAATGTACAGGACAGGACAAAGACATTCTTAACTTTTAGAGCTGAGCGATACGGCAAAAATGTAATGTCACGATACTTCGAGATCTGATAAGTCGGAAAAGACAAAGTATAGCAACATTTAAAAAAATCAGATACGATCAGATACAATTATTTGTACATTTCACACACTGAGCTGCACTAAATGCAATCAGACAGGACTATTTATGCCCTTTTTGTATTCAAACATGCTGTTAGGAAGTGTTTTTTTAGTACGGACAATACCTCAGTATGCTTGCAAAAGCATATTATAGCATATTGTCATATAATTTATCATGATTTATCATGATGCCCAGCCCTACTTTTAATGTTAATTAATATAACGAGATTGTATTCCAAGCAATTTTTGTTGGTCCATTCCATTCCAGTCCATTCCATGAAATTTTGGCTCAAATGATGTAGAAAAATAAAAATGGATATAATTGGGTTGTTTTGTTTTTTTCTCTTTTTTGTTTTGTTTTGGACAGTGATGTCTCTGTATCAGTTAAGTCTCACTTATTATCATATATAGTCTCCAAGATAGGGAAGATAAGGAAGCCCAGTTTTCATTAACATCTTAACATACATGCTTATTATTCATTTATTAGTCTTTAGACTTATTATTCAGAAACTACTATTTATCATCTGGTAACTACTGTGAAACTAATTAATATGAGTTTTGTTGTAGGGGTGGGCAATATGGCAATATTTTATCAATAGCATGATAAACAATGTCACAATATGCTTTTCAGAGCAGGTTGTGGGTATCGTCACATTAAATAGTAACCAACTGCTTGTTTCAGTACAAAGAGGGCATAATTAGTCCTGTATAAGTACACTTAGTGCAGTGTTGTTTCTGAAATAGTTTTTCACAGTATTTTTTAAATGCGACACTAATGGTCCTTTTTTGTCTTTTGCAGCTTATCAAAACTCTGGAAAATGAAATATTTTGATGATAACACATGTCTCCTAATAACAAAATGTCTCCTAATATTGTGATATTATATACACTTGCCACATTGCCCACCCCTATTATTGGTCATCAGAGTGAGGACAACTTATGGACCCTTGCAGTTTAAGGAATTATTCCTATTATTCTATTCCTTAAATGTTGCCCTAATAAGTCCTTCTGTTTTCAGCTAAAAGATGACTACACTACTCCAGCCCTTCTCCAGAAACCTCTCTGTCATTTTCACCACTTCAATACCAGTGGATTCAGGTGATGCCAATAAAAGCTGCCGCTTTGACGAGGAGTTCAAGTACATCCTACTGCCTGTGTCATACTCAATAGTGTGTGTGCTGGGCTTGCTCCTCAACTCCGTAGCCCTGTGGATGTTCCTGACCAAGATGCGTCCCTGGAACACCAGCACAGTGTACATGTTCCACTTGGCGCTGTCGGACACTCTTTATGTTCTCTCCCTGCCTACGCTTATCTACTACTACGCCAACCGGAGCCACTGGCCCTTCGGCGTGGCCCTGTGCAAGATAGTCCGCTTCCTGTTCTACGCTAACCTGTACTGCAGCATCCTCTTTCTCACCTGCATCAGCGTGCACCGCTACCTGGGCATCTGCCACCCCATCCGCTCACTGACACTGGTCAAGCCGCGCCATGCCCACCTGGTGTGTGCCATGGTGTGGGCCACAGTGACCGCCTGCCTGGTGCCCAATCTCATCTTCGTCACCACCTCGCAGCGGGACAATGACACGCTGTGCCATGACACCAGCAGCCCAAATGATTTCGAGAACTATGTCACTTACAGCTCGGTTGTGATGGTTCTGCTTTTCGGTGTGCCCTTTATGGTCATCATGGTGTGCTACTGCTTAATGGCACGGGCACTTTGCCGCCCCAGGCAGGGCCTTTCTCCTGGCCAGGGCCGCAGCTCCTCCAGAAGGAAGTCCATCAAACTTGTCATTGTGGTGCTGACCGTGTTTGCTATCAGCTTTGTTCCTTTCCACATCACGCGCACCCTCTATTACACATATCGTGTATTAGAGGCTGACTGTTGGTTCCTTAATATCATCAACTTCACATATAAAATCACCCGTCCTTTAGCCAGTTCCAACAGCTGTCTGGACCCCATCCTCTACTTCCTGGCAGGGGATCACTACCGCTCCAGACTCATCAGAGCATTCACGAGGCAACCGCCTATTGGCCGATCTGGTGAATATCTGCAGTCCCCCCCTGGCAAAAAGAACGATCTCGCCTTGGTGTATAAGAACCCAGATGATCAAGGCAGTAGTGAGTCTGATCGCTAGAGGCCAAGCTTTATGCTTACAAAAAGAAATTTCATTGTGATTGTTTTTTGTTTTGAAAGAATTAATCCACTAAACTTTGACTAAGACACATCTCAAGCAAGGACGCCTCTCACAGTGTAGACCCAAGGACAAGTTTTTACAGCCTTTACTTTGAGATTCCATATGTTCACCATCAACAAAATGTACCTTCTGAAACCACATCAAACCCCAAGTCGGGATGTAAACACGAAGCGTGGCATGAAAGAAAGGCAGTCTCTTTGCGGAGGTGATGTGGTTGGAAGTAGCTTCCTGTGTACACTCCAAATGAATGTTCTAGGCAGTCTCATGATTGCTGTTAATCTAGAGCAGGGGTGCTGGAGCTCATCATCTGAGATAAATTGAATGCCATTGTCTTTTCTTATTTACTGCATTTGCTCTCTGGTGGTCATCCTTGGTAAGTTACAGTAGACCAAGAAAACAACACCACCAGTACAACTAGACCACAGGCTCCTACATTTACTTCAGAGAAATGCCAACACAAAGGATCTTTTGCAGTTTATTACTTCTGAGAACCAGAGCACATAAGGATTGAGGTCCTCCTGTGTGGTTCAAAGGTAGAGCTCAATTCAGGCCATTCCACCGATCCCACAGGAGATCAGAGGAGGCATCAGGTAGTCTAATTGAATTTGCATTAGAATGAGGGCCTAAAGGCTGGCCATGGTTGTGAGGATGGAGGGATACTGAATGAGGAGGTGTTCTGTTGTAAAGCAGACTGTGTATATCAACAGAAACAGTGTACGTTCCTCAGAGATCAGTCCTGGAAGCTCCTGGCGCTCCAGCTGTTTTTGTCCTTCAGCAGAGGAGCTCTGTCTGCTGAAGAAGTGGGTGGAGGAAGGAAGATTGGAGAAGCATAAGGGGGCTTTTCACTCTTATCAGCACCCTCTGAGTGCAAGAGGAGTTTCTTAATACACCCATTTGAAGGTGAACACTAATGTTCAAAGAACGTTCTGGTCAAGTTGCCAGTTTTCTGTAAAGCTGGTGGGATATGTTAGCCACTCACCTAACCACTGACAGCTTCTGGTTTGTGTTTTAATATGAAGAAACATTGTAAAAAAGTCTGTTAACTGTCAGTCTCCAAAATAAATGTTTACTGTATATAATTACATAAATATACTATTTACATAATGCAGTTTTTTAAAAAAAAAAAAAAAGAAAAAAACTACAAATTTTGATTTAACTCTCCTGGCAGGAATTTGAGTGTGTGAATGTGTAATTATTTATATGTAGTTTTAGCTAAAAGAGGTAACGTACCAATTGTATACTATTGCTGCAAAAATGTACTGTATATGATATGTTTTATTATCAGACTTTTGAGTCATATTTTTGAAATAAAAGTTACTGAATAGATGTTAAATGGTTATGTTTATGTTGCTAGATAATACTAATTTTATTGATTAAGCTAGGATTATTTCTGATTGGATGAGGTGTTGTAGGTGTGTGTAGGAGTAGCGTGTGGGAAAGCGGTGGGTGCTGCAGTGTGCCGAGGGGCATGCAAGAATCATAAATCATGGCTGAGGTGAGCTGAGGAAGCTTCTTGAGCAGAGAAAGAAATGGAGGAAAATGAGATAACAAGCACTTGACGGTTGTAACTGGAGATTTTCCAAGTTTTCTAGAAGGAGATCATTTTCCATGAGCTTATGGAAAACGGTCTTCTGTTTACCTTTGTTTGGCAGGATGTCTATTAGACAGCAAACTAAGCTGTTACTAGTCACGCTGACCAAACACTACTTAATGATCACATGTTCACATTTCGAAATACTCTGGGAAAAGGCAAGTTGATTTTGTCACCTCATTAAAAAGATGTTTTAGAAAAGCTTTTTTACATCAAAGGATTGATATGATATTTGTTGTAAGCATCATATCTTAGGTCTGATCATGGTTGTACCTCATTTGCTTGTGAATTATCCTTTTGCTGACTTATAGTTTATTGTATTTGAGTTGGAATTGTGGTAGTAGTATAGTAAAAAAATTTGGTGCAAAAAATTTGGGTGCCTCTGGTCAAACGATCATGTTGTATTGATTTTCTAAATGAGTAAGTAAGTACACATTCTCTACAGAGAACACACTTCTGAACATTTTAATGTAGAATTATTGTTTGTTAGCTGAATTTAACGTATAAAAATGTGAAAAAATTTTAGATTTTAGATTTTGTTTTATTCCAGTGTTAAACTCAGCAAATTTAACCGGGGGTGTTCACTTTTGCATATGACTGTGAATAATCTGCATTTTTGTATTTTGTATCTGTGAAGCTGTTTTTATAATTTTGTTTTTCAATTTCTCTCCATGTGGGAGTTGTTCAAGATGGATTTTTAATTATTTGTCTTACAGAGCAGTTTAATCCCTCTGTTGGCCAGTAGATGTCCTTATTGCCATCTTCAAATGTGTGCAGCCATCAAGTAAAATAATCTCAACTTCTGAAGCTCTCTGCCTAATCACTGTGACTGTGATAAATAGACCTGTTGACTGTTGCTTTTGTAAGGTGGCAGAAAAGACGGGCTTTAAGGTCAGGGAGAGTTAAAGACAGACGAGGAAAAGGGTATTCATGAGGGAGTCTCTGTTTGGGTACTTTCATCCATGCTATGAGGGAACTGAGACAAATTTAATCAAGCTAACCAAGGTCCTGATACAATATGTGCACATTTTTATACAGACTTAATACTCTTATTCATATATGCGTCCTTGATTCAGTGCAACGTAGACAAATCCTAATTAACAGAAAGAGTTATTGCAATCAGCAGCACTTTTTCTTTAGTGTTTGGTAATTTACTGTAACTGGCTGATGTATGGTGAGTGCACAGTAACTTTAATGCTATTCACATGTAACTTTAAAATAATTGCTTTATGATAGATCATAGAAGTCATGTTCAACATGAACCCTAATATTAATAAGTTATGATTCAGTTATTAATTTTAAGACTTATTATTTAGTATAACTACTATGTATCTGAAGTATAAGTTATGTAGTTTATTAGGGTGAAGGAGTGAAATCTATGCCCACATACAGGCCAGGTTTAAGGATGAACTAACAGTAAAGTATATTACTCTTTTTTCCTAGGACAAAAAATGATGACAGCTATTGGTTAAATTATCTTGCTTAAAAAGGAATTCCACCAATTTCTTTCAATTTTTTGGTATAATTCAATCATAATGATGTAAACAAAGACAGAGTGGTTTGATGTGAAATGGTTCATTGTAGAGAAACTTATTGACTCAGATTTCTTTACAGTGTTGGTAACAGGAACCAGGGGTCGCAATATCAACAACACAAATACAGCCATTTTAATTACTATTAAAAATTGAATGCTGATCATGGTAAAACAGTTTTGGGGGCACTGGTTTGCCTTTCAACACCCTGCATGTACCACTCTGCCATGAATGTATGTAAAAAAAAAAATACATTTTAGGCCAAAACTTTATCTCAAAACTACCATAAGACACAGTCTCAAGCATGAGGCAGTGTCTTTGTAGCCATTTTATTTAATAACTTCTTGTAAGGTTGCTTTGAAAGATTCAATACTGAGACATCTGGTTCCTATCACCACCACTGTGACATTCTGACTTGGTAAGTTTCTCTAGAATAGAGCATTTCACACCGAACTACTTTAAATGACTGTGTACATACTAATAGTTGCAGAAATTATGCAGAAATTTAAAAAACAATCTGAAATTCTCATAATGATAAGGGACTAGTAGTGGAAAAGCATGTGGAATCACTGTTGATAATTCAATTCATTTTACAAAATCGCTTAATGGTGAGTCAATTTTGTTGTACACCACCAGAGAATAGCTTAGACACATCTAATTGAATGTATGTTTTTCCATTCTTAAAGACATTTTGACCTGTAGGATTATGCTTAAATGTTTGATATGTTGTTACCTATGTATGAATTTATTTCCACAATGAAAATTTTTCATTATTAGTTTCTTTTGGAATGCTTCTTGTAGCAGGTCTCAGCAGGCTATGTGGAACTTCTTCAGTCCTGTGGGAAAGGATTGTGTCTCCTCATGAAGCTGCCTAAGAGAATGCAGGGCGTGCATACAGTTCAATACAGCAATCAAAACAAATACAGGCTTTTGAGAATCTAAAATATAGGACCATTTTTATTTATTTTCATTAATCATAGTTTGTAACATAATTCCTTAAGTTATTTCTAGTGATGTCAAAGTTGACGCGTTAGTAACGCATTAGCCTGATAATTTATTAACGCCAATTACTATTTTTATTAACGCCGTTAACTCATTTTCCTAGCTTGACCCTTCGATCCTCCCGTAGTTCCGGCCTGTAGCCCAACTGCTCGCGCGCTGTTATGGCCCCGCCGTGGAGGCCTCTCCTTCAGAGAGCTTCTAAATAGTTGGCTAGCTTTCATCGATGGCTGTCTTGATAAAAGGTATTTCCATTCACTGCTATGTTGTGAATTTATTTATTACTGAAGCACTTCGCGTCCGAAGAATCATTTAAAGCAACACAGCACTGCAGTATCAGTCATATCAGTAGTTTTAGTACTGGAGGACACAGTCAGCGGACTAGCTTACACACAGGGACGCAAAAAAGTGTTTCGTTACTGACATTTTAAGCAGTATTTATGTAACGTGAATGATGACGCCATGTAAAGTTATCTCCTTTTTTCCATTCTTTACTGTGTCATGCTGCACTATAACGTGGCGCGATGCAACAATATGTAAATCTAAGTGACGCGTCAGACCGCTGATGCTCATCCTCTGTGCTCGCTCACTCTGGATGAGCTTTATGCAAATGAGTTAAGCGGCGACCGATCAGATTGTTGATATGTGGCGCGGAAACCCATTGCGCCACGCCCACAGTCACGCGGTGACGTAACACTGGAAGGCGCGCCGAGCGGGAAATATCACTGTTGATAATACGTTATTATTACGTTAGAGTATTTTTAACAGTTTAAAAACAGTATAAAGCTACTTTGAGGTTCAGAACTGGCCTCTATCTCTGCACTTTCGCTCTTTGAACCTCAATCAGCGTGTGTTTTAGTTACTGTTGTCGAGGAAAGCGATTCGACTCGCTGTGATGAAAATACAGCGTTTACTTGAACACTGCAGCTACCGCAGGTTTGGGAAAAAAAATAATAAAAAAAATAGAAAAAGTATACAAAGTATAAAACGAGCACACATGGGTCTTTGTTATGCTCAAATTATAAAAAAAAAAGTTTAGATCTCTCTGTTATTATAACTGCTTTAAGCAGTTGCAGTCCTGAAATCAGGGGGTGCTGAGGGGGCTGCAGCAGCCCCAGATTTCAGGACTGCAACTGTTTAAAACAATTCTAACATTTCCCGTGTCCTTGCTTACAGATAAAGCAACAACCTGCAGACTCACCACAGCAACAGCGAATAGGAAATATCCAGTTCCCCTCAGAACAAGTTTAGGCAAAATAAGTAGCTGGAGAATTTATGGAATTTATTCGGCCACTGTTGCTCTCACTGGAGGTCGGTGATGAAAACTGGAATTATTATTTCATGCTTTTGAAATTGAAATTTCAAAGGTAATACTTTCGAAAAAATGGGGAAAAACTTTCTTAGGGTCAAATTTGAGCAAATAAGACAAATATTAAGACAAAAACAAGACATCGAAATATGACGTCTGTACTTTTAAATGAGAAAAAATAGTAGACGAAAAATAAGAAAGCTTTTCTATAAGTGTGTCAATTTTTCTAGTGTATATTATAGAAGTGAAAGTTAATATCCATGGCTTGAATCAAATTTGCTGCAGTTTTCAGTGCAGACATATGGATGTTTTGCTGAATTGTCACTACCAAGGACACACAAACTTGTGCACACATTATGACTTCGATTGCATTATACAAACAAACAAACCCTTGCTTTCTGGATATTGTCTGGCGTAGTTGCTCTTCTTCGTGCAGGATGTTGCTGGAATACAAAGTAACTGAAGCAGCATTGTTAAAGAAGATGGATGTTAGAGTTGCTGTTTCTGCTTATAAACTATTTTCGTTTGGCTGATCTCATCCCTTCCTTTCCATCTCTCTCTCTCTCTCTCTCTCTTGCTCTCTTTTTCTTTCTCTTTCTCTACATATCTACCCACACTCTCTCACCCTGCCTTTCTTTTGAAGCAGGCCCCAGTGCCCAAGGACAGTAACATTGAGCGAAATGAAAGAGAAATCAATGCTGTGAACTCTGAGGAACAAAATACTAGACATCTAGGAATAAAGAGGAAAACCTAACAAACTGTCAGCCAAGACTAATTTCCCATAAGGTCTTCAAATAAGTAACCTTTCTAATACTCATTTGTGCACTGCAGGTCAGACTGAATGGAAACTTCAGCACTGCCTGATGTGAATTGATTTCTCTCAGCTGAGGAAGATATGCTCG